TATTATTTTAAGATGTGTCTAATATTCATTAATAGACATTTATTGAACAATAGATATGTTTTATTCACAGCTAAAAAATACAGCTTAATTAATTAAGACTATTTTTATTGCTAATAGTATTTAGAAATTTGAGTTGTTCATAAAGTAAACTATTTTTGTATTTCTAAAAGCAGACATGCAAAGTCTATGTAAACATCAGCATTTCTACTAGAAAGTTACGGAAAATAACAATTTAGAAAAAAAAAATAAACTGGCATGTTTTCTTTCTCAGGAAGAAAGCAATGCATGCCCTGTTTGGTCATACTCATATACTTTTTTATTTGTTCACTTTACACTACTTGTCGCCCCTATGAATAATTGTAAGCAGTTTCGGAACTACCGTGGAACTCTTTCCAAAGATAAATAATATTTTAACCAACCGTATTTTAACTATGTTGTATTACGAGAGTGAAAAGAACAATTACCATTTCCACCGGGAATATCAATTCGTCATTTCTTTATTTCTGTCTTATTGGTCAATTTTACGCTCGGATAAAATATGAGATACAAATTACGTTATTAGATTGTCTTGATTAGATAAATAAGTTCGCAAATTACCGATATTGAATAAAATTGTTATGTATGTGCATGATTTGTCTTTGAATAGACCTAATATGACGATCATTTTTGGGGGAAATGATTCTTGCAACATTATTTCTAGCCACAGAAGTGAATGAAATTTACATGTACTTTGCAATTGAAAATATAAGAATATGCGCGTTTTTTTCCTGTATATATTGTAAGTAAGTTTATTCCTTAAGTCAAGTCGTAGGTACACATATCCAAGAAGTATTTTCAACAGTTAGGTACGTTTGCACGATTCAGAAGATAATAAATTCACATGCAAATAGCTAATAGCTTCCTGCTGTTTGGAGTCCTGTGTGTATGACAGCATATAGCTAGCTATGTATAATATAATTATAAATTATGTCTCAAGAAAGAATAAGTCAATAAAACTGGCAAACAATATGTTCGTGCATGGCTTCATTTAAAGTCATGGCTCGTGTTAATCCAGTTAATTATTCAGTAAAACCTTTTTAATTAATTAAGTGATGAAATGGCCCTTTGAGACGACCCCTAGCAATTTTGAATCTGCACGCACCTTGCCAATTTGCATATCAATATTTCACCACGCATGCGCACTACATTCCAATTCGATGGGAGGCCGTTGAAACGGTGTAAACTTATGGAAAACATTCCCCAGTGTTTACAATGTGATATTCGAAAAGAATCAAGTATTTTTGTGGATGGAATAAATTAAAAATATTTCGATTTTAGAGAATTAAATTAAACGGTTTGGATTTACTTTAGCGAAATGGTGAAACCGGAGGAAATCCGTGATCGTCAAAAGCTTGCAAACTTGATAAGTCAGTGGAACTCGGAACATTACGATCTTTTTGAACTTAGTCCACCAAACGAGGTAATAACTGGTGTAAAATAAATGATTTAATATCAATTAATCAGCAGAATTAAATATATATTTTAAGAAAACAATAAATTCAAAATTTAAAAATTGACACCTGTACAGGTAAATCAGGTATCAAAATCGTCAACAAGTTTCCAAAATGGCCGACGTGTATACATTTGAGGTCAAGTGTGTAAACATAATAGATTGTCACCAGTTGAGCGTTTTAATATGTCTGAGTTTTTATTACATAGATATATTTTGCTTCATTGTTTTCGTTCTATAAATCACCTGTAGGTTTCATTGATTGCATTAATTATACGTTCTGGCAAAAGTTGTTTCCCTTTGCCATACTTCCTGATGTTGAATGATGTTACAGTGTTGAGGATTGGTTAACAAGTGCATTGACTGTCACTTAGTCATTAATATATATCTCAGTATGTATACACCTGTCATAGATATACCACAGTATATGATACATACTGTCTCCTGTGGTATGTAGGTGTAAAAATACACAATTTAGCTTAAATAGCACTTTTTATATCTAAAATTTGTTAAATTAAGATATAAAAATTATGATTGGAATGGGCCATTATGAATAACTGACACTAATGGAGCCAACATGCCAATCACAATGATTAGAACCCTACTCAGCATGTATATTTCAGAAATAAAACTTACACTCAAGATAATGGAATTTAATTAACCCAGGGCTCATCCTGGGGGGAAATTTTAGGGAGAAGTGACTTCCTCGCGAAAATTAGGGAGAAGGGAAACAACCCAATGTGTATGCATTAACATGCATGGCTATACATCCTTTAATTATAATATAAACACAATTAACATCACTTATAATATTTCTCCAGTTATTTAATTAATAGTAGATTAATTAATAGTAGATCTGGCAATGGCATCTAAATGTTTTTGAGCTGCAAATATGAATAAAAACAAATTATTTTTGATATCTATTTATCAGCTTTCTCTAAATATGTGTTTATATATTTTCATGTAGATTTGTTGATAATAATGTGTAAGAAATATGATTAAAAAATTGTTTTTTATATTTTTTACTTTCCTCACTTTTATTATCCTCACTTTTATAAGAAGATAAGTTACATTGGATATTGATTAATAAAATCTGTTCTATTCTGTTCTGATAACAGAATTTTCTTTTAATACCCTGTATGTTGTAATGTCGTATTTATATGCATATAATTATACTTATAAAACAATTTTCAAACATCGCAGAATATGTAAAATATGTATTGCAAACATTTGTGCACATTATATTTGATCACTAAAATTATATACATTCATTTCTTATTGAAAAATTTGACTGAGAAATTATAGAAAATAAATTTCTAATTACCTCCCTTTATTTTCATGAAATGTTAAATTTGGTAATATCTTTATAAATAATGCTTTTTGAAATTTACAATATTGATAAATCTTAATCTGAGCGTCATATTTACGACATTAAAACAAATATATATATTGAAACAGTAAGAACACTTCTTTCCTGACAAATTTTGTTGTTATATACGACCGATATGTAGTTTAGCCGGGATGTCGTGTCCACGTGCGTAAGCTGTGTCAAATTTGGCATTTCTACAAAGATAACAATGCCAAACACCCTCACTGTCTACAACATACCAATCGCAAGATTTTTGCGAATTGGCTTTCTTAAATTTTCGCGTAGGTGTAACTATCAGAATCAGTAACTTTCTTACTGCTAGGTTTGGGCATTTCGCCCTGTAGCCATGACGTGAGCGACATAATTTTACAGTAAAAATTGATGTTAACGGACTGAAATCATTCAAAACTATCCGGTCGCTGATCATTAATGAAACTGATTAATTTTAATTTAGTAACAGTTTTGTGACAGCCGTGAAAAATCCATTGCACATCGCCTTTACGCCATCGAAGTGCATTGTGTAAATCAATTAGGAAAGATTGCACATGTTTAGATAATCGGGAAATTATCGCCAAATCCTGTATTAAACTCGCAAAACTGTCACACAAATATACCGTTTCGGGTCGATGCTCTCATTATTTACTGTTTAGAGTAGGCGGTCTATCGCTTTGCTTACAGGTAGAAGGGTAGTATAAAGCGACGCTCTGATTGGATAATGATAATTAGCAGACGTTATATGGGCGGATACAATCTCTGCTCTTTACATCGCCAATTTATTACTATTTGGGAATTAAGATTTTATCGGCAATGTTGACTTCTCTTTGGTCAATCGGGAGAGCGAAATTGGAATATACACGGCGAAGTTTTCGCCCGAATCGCCCTTTAGGATGAGCCCTGTAACCTTAATTATATACTCCTGGTTTAGACCCTATGGTCTATAGGCCCATTTCTATCCTTACCAAGCATTTAAAGTTTAAAAAGTTTTGTCATCTAATATGAATAATGTATCAACAGTTTTGCAACTTTTTTATGCCTAATTTCAAGTTCCAACATTCAATTTGTCAGCAAAAGTTAAACAATAAATTTATGTATTGTTATTCATACAAATTGACACCAATCTCAAGAGTTCCAGCAACTACAAAGATCATTTTCCAATCTATAATGACATATTGACAATTGGCATATGGTTTATATAAAGATGCTTCTTTTATGAATTTATTACTAGTCTCATAGGATTTCAATTTAGGGAAATGAATCTCTTTTTGCATGCAAAAATATGCCTGTGTTTTAATATACAATCAATGATACAGGCATATCTTTATTATTTTCCAGGTTCATTCTGAACCTCCCTGCTGAAAAGCTTTAATAATGATATCACCATCTTATGATAGTGTCAGTGCAACTTACTTTAAACACGACATGCATGTACACAATTGCATCCTTTCATGTCTTGTGTAATATCGTCAAATTCAAATTTCATAAGTGTACAGGAAGATATAATATTAATGGGTATTTGCCCGAAGTTCGCAGATTTCTTATTATATTAAAGGCACATCTCTGCATTTTTTAAGATGCCTAAGCCCTTAAAACTGTTTGGAAAGGTAGCCTGCTCAGGTGTACTTCACCTCTTAAAAACGTGGTCATTGTCCCGTTACATGTATGTGTTTGAACTGTACAGTCATTTTCTACTTTCAATTATTTTTTTAATAAATATAAAAAGTAAGTCATTTTGAACATTTTTGATATGGCACCAATCCATAAGTAAAAAGTGTAAAACTGATAGAAAATAATATTAATTCTTCAAAGGTTAATTTAATTTTAACTCTTACATGTACCTTATTTGTTTGTACATATTCATTAATCATTACTTTAATTTTATATTATGCCATTGCCTTTTGGGGCTTAACTAAATTAAAGTTTTTCAAGCATCCTAAAAAGTGATAAAAAAATGTTTGAAATGAGTTAAGATAATTAAATGCATTTTCAAAATCTTGACAGACAATCTTTCAGGACAGTCATTTGTTTGAAGAGTTTACCAGATGTTTTAGCCCCAAAAAAAAGTCAGTGTTATCTTGTGCTAGGTGCTAGCTATAAAAGACACTGAACATATGTTTTACCTATCTGATTATCTACAGTAAGTGTAGTACTATTGATGATAGATTTGTTTTTAAGATGAGCTTTAGGGATGTTTTGTTTTACCATTATAAACTTTGTTGCATGAAAAAGCTTTACTACATGCAATACGCCTTGTTTTGTACAGTGTAATCTTTTAGAGACAGTGGTGGTCACATATGTTAGTGAGTTGAAGGAAATACAATATTCATGATTAGATCATGCAGTCAGGGCCTTAGTTAGGTTGAAATTTATGTGAGTCAATGAGGGAGTATGTCCCCCTTCTTTTCCTTTGGTTTGTTTGAGTGAAGTTTGGAGTCTCTTGACGAGAAAATGAACATATTCAGAAGTGTTGAAGATAGTAGGTAGACTGGTTAATCATTGACATTCTTTCACCTTTTCAAATAAACAAAGGTATCTTACTTTCTTGAATTCACACCATACATTCATGGTCTTTCATAAATTTTCTTTTTCATTTTTTTTGGGGCATTTTATTTTCTCACTTTCCTTGAAAAAGATGTAAGCTGTGGTCAATATGGCCTTAGATATATAAAAATAAGGAAGCTTCACACCCATTGCAGTTATTTTGAGTAGGCAGTCTAAAGTACTAAGGCAGTCTAGAATAAAAATTATAATTAAATGTCCAGTGACGAACTACAGTGGTCAAACATAGCATCATGGTCCATTGGAATTACGCTGTAGCCTAATGATAATTTGAGTGATTCAAAGGTTTTTCCAGAAATAGATTGTTAAGACACTGTCATCTGCACTAAACAGAAGATGGATTGGAATGCTCAGTCATGTCCATAGGTATATACTGCTGACAGGCATAATGGATTGCATGGAATCAATTTTCTTCCAGTACATGTATTGTATATAGCTAAGCAGTAGGTACTAAGTATTTTGCCTGAAGCTTAAATTGTTCTGCATAACTCATCAATAATAGCAGAAAAGTTTTGTTTGATGGTTTTTGAAATCTGGTTATCATGGAATAATATAAGAAGTGACATTGAAATTCTCTTGGGTGATATTAGGATTTAGATATCTGTGTCGCGATCTGTTTGATTATTTAATATGGGAATTTATAGACTTCTAGTTTATTCATGAGGTGGTTTTAACCTATACCTGATTTAGTACCAGGTCATTAATATGCAATGCATGTAGTGATTGTTATGCGGCACTTGGGAGAAATTACTGTGAAAAATCTGATTTATCATTATATCAAGTTATACTATTACTATTTCACAAATACAACAGAAAATGTAGTACTATTGTATGTGTTTGAATTTCTGCTTTCATTTACCAGTCATAACCATGCGTTTTAGTGCATGTTGTCAGACCATGCATTATTATTAGTTTACCTGAGCGATTTCTTAGTATTTTTACCACTTATTTGTTTTTTGAACAGTTTATACACATTTACATACATGACATTATCATACTTGTACACATGTAAAGTTTTAATATGAGCTTACTTGGGTGTTTTGGTTTTGTGAATTTTAAGAAACGTGGTGCACGCCAAACTGAATTCAGTATTGAACAGGTGAATTGATTTCTGTTTTCATTTACTAAGTATGATTTACTTTGTACAGGATTAAGAAGTCTTTTCAAGTTTGGATGAATTGTAGGTTTTTGAAGGTTTTAAGATCCTTCCAAGATTCTTTGAATTAATATTTCACTAGCTGCTATATTTTTCTGCATTTTGTACTTACCGGTACAAATTATTTGGTTCCCTGCAAGTGTTGTTGGTGTTGAAACACTGGTGGTGTACTCTAGCTTTCCTTAATAAAAAAAGTTAGTTTGAAAAAAGCTTTAAAGGGACTTTCTTTCAAATTCTTTGACAATTGAGTCTAATGATCATTTGTCTCAGTCATAAATCATGTGGGATATCATATTCATAAGTAGTTAGTCATTTGCAGAGAAATTGAAGTATAGGTTATACCCCGGTCACATATTCACGGAAAACGCCCACGGAAGAGCCACGGATTAATTCCGGCATCGTCCGTAGCTACCCGTACTGGTCAGTAGCTCTCCGTATTGTAACCGTAATCAATCGTAGTAGTCCTTGTATATCCGTAGCGATCCTTGACAATTTTTGAACATGCACAAAAATTTGCTACGGAAAAATCAACCGTAGCGTATCCCTACTAGTCCGTATTAATCCGTACTGATACGTACTGGTCCGTACGAAAACCGTATTAGTCCGTACTGATTCGTAGTCCACCAACTTGTCAAGGATTTCCACGGTTTGGTACGGAGAACTACGTATTTGTACGGTTACCCTACGTATAAGCTACGGTTTTAATACGGATTAATACGGCATTGTCACGGAAAGCCACGATCGTAATACGTTGTACTACGGAGAGGCAAGGATTAGCACGGTCTTATACGGTTTATTGCGTTGCAACACGGAATGGTACGGCCCACCACTGTTTAGAACGGATAAATTAAGTATCATGTACTTTTTCAAGGGTATAAATACTACCTTCTTGTTAATAACAGACATATTTGCGGGAACATTTAATAAATGATAATTGCCATTTACTGGCTGCAACTTTATATTGAAATGGCTCAGAATGCGGAGGCAGTGGTCGAGCTGCTTGATGACATGCATAGAAGTAAATTTATATTAATATCGTACTACAATTCATAAGTAATAGAATAACATTTAATGCTACATATTTTACAAACATTGGATCGTGAAATTGGAGTAAATATGTACATAAAACGAAGTGTCTCATAAGCCTCGGACGCTGGCCCTTCAGTGATAATAAGATTAATTAACACGCTTTTTACATATTTTTAAAACATAAACATCACGATAATTAATGTAATTGTAAGATGAACAGCAAATCTTAAAATTAAAAGAGAAGCAGTATTGATCAACATTTTTCATTAATGATTACTAGTCCATATCTAATCAGGTAAGAGAAGACAGACGAGATGGTGGACTAGAGATGGGCTTTTACGAAGACCGCTTTATGTTTAGTATGAGGCTCTCATGGCCGAACTTGTTGAGGATCCAGCGTCCTTTAAGAAATTCACTTTAATTGGACCTGATGTGTCTCGGGGGTCGGACGCGATTAGGCTGAATCCTCCCCGCCAAAATCATTGAACTCTGCAATTCGTTTTCTAGGTGTTCTTTTCTTTTGAGGCATTTTGAAAATGAGCAAGCAAGAGGTTGTGGACGGATGTATTAGGTCTGTATAGATCCTTGGCAATTCGTTCTTCTCCGTATCAATACGTTCTTCTCCGTATCAGACCGTACTAAATATTCGTACTAACCCGTGCTTATACCGTAGTGTATCCGTAGTGCGTCCGTCCTGATTCGTGTCGCTCCGTATCAAACCGTGCCGGTCCGTCACAATCCGTGTCTCTCCGGGGGCTTTTGGTGGTAAATCCGTCGGACTTCGTACTCATACCGTTGTGTGTCCGTACTGGAACCGTAGCGGGCCACGGAATTTCACATTTCCGTAGTGATCCGTGAGCGATTAGACCGTAGCTCTTCCGTGGCATTATCCGTGAATATGTGACCGGGGCATTAGCTAAGCCTAAAAGTTAACCAGAAAAACTGGTTAGGTGGACCAACTACAGAGATATGACCAAAGATTTGTTTTAACTTTTAAGCGGCATTAAAATGAATCAAACAAATTCATTATGTTTGGCACTTAAAACTGGAGCCCCAAAAAAACTAATTGACTGACTTGAGAAACATGTAAGAAACTTGCAGATTATATAGATTATACAAATATTTTAACATAAATCATACATGTATCTATTTGTTTACAGAGCTTAGAGTTCCACGGGGTTGTAAGATTTTACTTCCAAGATGAAGACCATAATGTAGTCACAAAGTGTATAAGGGTGGCGAGCTCAGCCACCACAAAGGAAGTTGTTGATGTCCTGGTGGAGAAGTTTCGTCCAGACATGCGCATGTTGACAGCTAACAGATATAACCTGTTCGAGGTTCATATAAATGGAGGTAGGATTGTTTTATTGTTGACTAAGTTATTCATTGTTGACTAAGCAAAAGAGGAGGTACATGTATGTGAAAATGAAAATTTAATGTCAGCATTGCATTTTCTCTCTTACATGTATATGACTGTGTTGAGCACAAATGATAACAAAATTAAAGCTATGGTCTCTTTTTATATGCAAATCATTATTCTTATGTTAATAATTACGTAGTTGGTAGATTGATGTAGCTTATTTATAGGACCATGTGTAGTGGTTAAAGTTTGAATTCCTTGCTCTCAATCACTGTAGGTTCAATCCTGCAGGGGTTGGGGTGGGGCTTACTTTTCAGTGGAGAAGCGATCCAATTTGTTGAATAAATAAGTTATAATACTGCTCAAAAGCTAGCTTGTACCTCAAATATCAACATATCTTGTTGTGTACAGTACATATCTTCAGAGAATTTATAACAAGAAGATAAAAGTTAAATAAACCAGGGCCTGACTGTTATATTTGTAGTTCAAAATTATAGTCTTAATTCAATTAAGTTAATAGAATTAATCTGTTTTGCTAATAATAATAATTAAGCTGTCTGCTTAAAGGTTGAATTTTCAACTGACTTATGATATAAGTTTATTATATATGCAATGGTGTGTGCACAGATAAAGTTTATTGGGGGAAATCAATTGGATTTTACACTGTAGTAATTTTCAATCTTCTTTTCACAAGATATTTTGTTAAAATAGGTGTAATTAAAGTTATTAAACCAGTAAGTTTGTACAACTTACTTAACAACATTATACAATTTTCCAAGGGCAAAATACATAGTATTCCACTAGCAACTTTTCTCGTGTTCTTCAAAGTAGGCTTTGAATTTTAAAAGGAAAAGAATGGAATTTATGCATTGTATTTTGAATGCATGATAAGTACAGTCAGCTGAATATGCATTTTCTACAACTTAATTGAAAGTATAAAACTTGCAATCCTATATGAAAATTACAATTCATTTTAACTGTAAAATATAGAGTCAATCTGGAGCCAATAGCGTAGAAATTCTATTATATATATTTGTAATTCCTTCAGTAAACAAAACAAAGCCTGCGGAAAAGTCAGTGTACTTGTATATATTCGGATCTGTTGCCAATTATGGCAATTTTGTAAAGGTCATTATTGAATGAGGACTATAATTGTCAACTGTCCAAAATATCTTCTTAGGTATTGGCAATTTTAAGTGTTTTGAGACTGCATAGTGCCATTAAAGAGCCATCTCTTAAAGGTCATATATATGAGTGATTTGTAAGTATTCTTGCATTGCTGGTGACAATAATAATGTCTTTCTGATGTCAGTCAAGTGCAATTTGAATCACTTGTGCCTCTCTCAGCACTGAATTTTTAACCCTGAAAAAGAGTGACAATGTTTTGTTTAAGAAAGCTTCATCATGCAGTCATTTCTATATAAAATGTTGGCTTTCGATGTTTTAAATTAAAGAATTTGGTTTGGTTTTTATGGTTGGTTTGCAAGTCACACTGCAGTGTCACTGACTGTAATGGTCAAATAGCATCTTTCCAAATATACTGGTTGGGGAAGACCTTATCTGCCATGTCCCCTCTTTCCATTATTTCAGGCATGAGTCAAACCCCTGAGTTGAAATTTTTCAGTAGACTATTTGAGTTCTTTAAGCCCGCTGGATAACATCTTCTAATGAAAAAATAAAAAAAAACCTGGCAGGATTTACACTGGGTTCAGGGGTAAGCTATAGGAAGTCTGTGAATATTGAACAATGGTGCCACTGTTGCTTAATCAAAATAATATAGCATGTGCCACTTATGCTTTATTAAAATAATAAAGCATGTAAACTTGAAAGGTACCGTATATTTCTATTAAACGCCCCTGGGGGCTAAACATTTTCCAAAAGGGGGGCTATTATTAAAATACATTTTTCCTAAATCAAAAAATCACTGTAAATACATTAAGTGTTAGCAAGTGTTGGTAATAACATTAAAAAGTATAAAGGTTTTACAGTTCATTTTATACATATTTGATTATTTGTGTTTACTATAAAATAAAATGGATTCTGAATGATTTGAATAATATTGTGTGTTTAATTATGAGTTCAGCACTGATGAGTAAATTATTTTCATTATCAAAAGACCTAGGGGAGGGGCATTTATTAGGAATTTTACGGTATTTTATACAAATATCGGGTGTTGAAATTTTCAAACACTAAAAGAAAAAAAGTTACTAGGATCATAGTGTTTATCCAAAATATAAATCATAATCAGTTAGTATTGATCTCCCTCCCACCACTAGGCCCACACACTTTTCAAATGTATATTATGATCACTGTATTTATCTAAACCCATGTCTGTTTTTGACTACCCATCAATAAACACTGAAAAGTTTCTTTTTCAGTGTCTAGTCAGCAAAAACATCATTTACAATGAATTTCTACTTTTAAGCTTTTGGTCTGTTTTAGAAAGGAATAAGTCAGTGACTGGAATAAGAAAAAAATTAAAGAAAAGAGGAAAGAAGGGTTTCAGGACCCACTGTTGTTATAAACGTTTTTTTTGTTAGTGTCAAATAAACTTTGTTGTTGACCCACTTTTGGTGGTTGTGCCTGCAGTTATCCATATAGAATGCTGCTGAATACAGTTTACTAGAAAAATAGACTGTCAGAAATTTTAAAATTTAGGCCTTTTCATCGGATGAAAAAGCGGGGCAAGAAATATATTAAAGGGATTTTCTCTAAAAAATCATGTATCAATAAGTTATTCCAATTAGTAGAGAGGTATAAAGAAGTAAAGGGAAGTAGGCAACCATGATGTAAGGCCACAATACAAGGGGTACTTCTATGCTGTTTATAGACATTCTGGCCACAGCAGTCGTTTGGTATCCTAAATGATGAAAAAGTTTGTTGATAAAAGCTGTAAATTATGTTGAGAAAAAAAGGACCAGACAGTCAGTTTAAAGAGGGGACTGGTTAAGAAAGGTTCCACTTAACGATGATTTATTGCTAAAGCTTTTATAAGTCGGACATTATGTTTGTTTATTTAAAGATGATCTAGCATTCATTGAGAAAAAAGCATCTTGGATAAAAAACTAAAAAAAACAGTTCCCATACTGTGATTTTAATGTAGTATCTACTTCCGTAAACTTATAAAATGGAGAAGTCAAGAGCATTTTTCTCACATAATTCAATTTGCTAAATAAGCTGTCTATTGAAAAATTGATAGTGTTTCAGTAGCTTTTAAAACGTTGTTATTCTCAAATTCGTTCCTTTAAGGACAATACTATATAATTACCTCCCATCTGTGTCACACTAGTGTATTCTGTTTCAAGCTATTATTTGAACCAGTTGTTACAAAAATGTGTTAAATTTCAGGAAAATTGTTATAATTGTAACATCCATTTGTTAAACTTGGTAAATTGATCTGTTGTATTTTAACTGTCAAAAATGGACTTGTCCATCTTTCAGCCTGGATAAAACCATTAATCATTTTTAGGGAAATTTCCAAAATATGGACTGACTGAATAGCTTGCAGTGTATGCCATCTCAGCTGGCTAAGAGTAAAAAAGAACAGATTTGAAAATCTGGACATTTTGGCCATTATTTACCATACTCATAACAGTTACTGATTTTGCAGTTAGACACTTGGACCATTTTGTTTTTTAAGATGCATTCTTGGCTAATGTGACTGTAGGAGTTTGACAAATAGCTCGACAGCTCAGAATGAGAAATTATGCGGAATTATAGTCAGGCAGTTAAGCTATAAAATTTACCTGCCTTCTGCTGTCATTCCTGGTTTACACTGGGGATAAGCTTGGAAAAAGGTACATTTAACAATTGCTGGATAACTACTGATACATGTATATATTGGACAGTTTGGATTCCAGCATTGGCTGAAAATATCATGGGTACCCTGGACCACTCTAAACAGGGGTTCCAGATGGATTAGGGAATGGTCACCTTCAATTGATAGATCAGTATCCAAGTACAAAATGTATCTTGAGTAAAATTCTTTCATATTACGCTAAATAATTTTTACTTTTTTTCATTCATTGACTGATAACTACGATATGTAGTGGGCATGTATGATAAATTTATATTTGGGAGCGTCATCAGTGTAGTATAGCAAGTCCAGAATGCATACATTGTATGAATTTAAGCCAAATGTGTGATGAACGTTTAAGAAATAATATAAGAAATAATTTTCACTGCATAGTGTACATATATTTGGATAACTAAGATTTGAAAAGTCATTTTGACATTTTATGGCTTTTCGTAAACAAAATCTGCAATTTTTATGGTGATCCATAAATACAAATGAAGTTAATATTCATGAGCTTGCATATATTAAACAAGTTACTATAGGCCTGTCCACTACCTCAAGGTACACATTGTGTAGTTACTTACAAAGGATTGTCATGTTTGTGCTGAATGGATGACATTTCTAACATTCCAGTGTGGGTAAATGCAGGTCACCTTTTACATACCTTTCATTAGCAATACAAATTTGTAACTTACTTATAAATACCATAATAACACAGTACCTATAAATAATAAAGTATTTTCAATAACGGAATTAACAACGCAATTATGTCAATTAGATTAACATTCCAGCTTGAAATAAATTTAGAAAGACCTCGAGTAAGCATATGTAAAAAATTTAAGCGAGAGGTGGGGGAGAAAGAGGGGAATGGAAGAGAAGCCATTTTAATGAACAAAGATTTGGGGGGGCAAGGAATGATGGGGGAAAATCCATTGAGACACAATTCACAGATCTCTGTCAAATTTCAGAGTCACTATGGACTTCCAAATCCTGTCTATTCACACTATTTTTCCCTACACCATTAATTTGCTTCTTAAAACATGCTTGAAGAGTATACAGTAAGAGTCTTTTTGGCTTTAAATTTGAAAATTTAATGTTAATGTGGAATTTTAGAAAATTTGGTCATTAAGTTTGACTAAAACAGGTCATTTCTTTTCTTTTTCCACCATTCATTTCCATTTAAAACTGAGAAATATTAAAACGGACGTTTTTACAATTTCTTTGAATTAATATGGGTTAATGCAATTTTTTCGTGCATTAACATATGCAAAAGCATAAAGAAGCATTAGGATAATAAGTCCAGCTTTACTAATCATACTAGGGTCAGGCCGTCAAATTGTTTATAAAACATATACACTGGTATGCATAATTATGCATTGTCCCTGATGTTTGTTTTATATAAATGTAAAAAAATACATTGTAATAAGTTATTTTATATATATATTTTATGACATTTTGACGTACTATATATTTCCCAGTGTTATGACCCGAGTGGCCTTATTTTCTGTTTATAGTGTTTTTATAATGAGCTCGCCTTAAGAAAAATACTTGTAATTCCTAAAGTCATTAAATATATACTATTTGATAAATTGCTATTGATTATGTTGATGTAGCGATTGAGATGCTAAATTTTGGCCGACAACGTACCTGACCCGCAGTTTTTAGATGCTGTTTAAGTATACAAATAGTGTTTTTTCCCACACAGTACTTTGTTAAAATTAGAATGTTTATCAGTTTATATGCATGGAGTACATCTTGAATTTCATTAAGGATGTAAATGGTATTTTACCTAAGATGATAACATGATTACAGTGACGGAGAATTTACTGTATAAAATTGAAAAATATCATCATAATTTTGCCAAGAGGAAATTTGTGGTTTTGATTTTTTGATTTGACGGATAAGAAGGCAATTTTTGATTGACAATGAAGTTTTTATTTATGATATTACATGTACATATGAATTGTACAAAGTAAGAAATAAGGCCTCTGTGGCCTAGTTGTCATTGACTGACTTGTATATGGGCACTGGCTTGGAACCCATGTCCATTAACTTTCCTGCTGGACTATACATAATACTATTTTTTCGGGTGAAACTTATGCCCACAAATTTCCTTGTGGCAAAATTATGATGATTGAAAATTTTGTCCATCCTCTTTTGTGCCCTCCCTACTGCAGTGGGTTGGAATAATTGTCAATTTGATATGATAAAACTGGCCAGCTAGTTTTCTGAATAATTTTGTTTAAGCTCTAGTAATTGCTTTCATATGGTATTGTAATTAAGTGCACCTGTCCTTCCAGTATGGCTGGGAGCCTAATATGACATGGCGTTATTGCTTTATAAATGCATATAATATATGTATATCAAACAATGCAATTGTTACAACTGTGTGTATTTTGTCTAACACTGATTTGCAAATATTCATGTCAGTGTGTTATATATTTATATATCATATTCAGTTTGATTAAAATACTCTTACATATCTGTTTTGAGGACAGTTACTATTTTCATAACACTATGATATAATATTTTATATTATACATCCCAGTAGCTTTATTTTTTGCAAGAAGATTTGATCTTGAGATGGCCACACACTATGTCAGTTACAAGAACCATAAAAATTGATCTCGCAAAAAAACGCAAACTATGTGTAGATATAATTTGGCACTTGTCTTGTAAACATCAAAATTAAAGAGATAAAACACTTGTTAAATCTATGTTAATATGCAGCCTTGAAATAGGACGCATACATAGAAGATCACTTTATCTCGAAATAAATCTGTTAAGAAATCAGTTAAAATCAAGTGGTAAAACGCAATAAATATTTCATGTTTGCACACATTGAGCAATCTGATGCAAGGTGTCCATTGAATTTTAAATGTGCATGATATTATTTACATATAAACAAACAAGTGGTGTTATGTTTGAAACTTAGATTGATGTTTTAGTGTAATATTTTAGCTGAAGTTTTTTTGTATTTATCATACATTTTATTGTTTATTGACCCGCTTGACATTTATTATCATATTGTTTTATCATATTAAATAAGAAATAAGAAGAAATTTGCAAAAAAGTATATTATTTTTGGGTTCCTCTCAAGGTTTGAAACTGGTTAATCTGTAGATTTGAAACTGGCTTCCACATGTCTGTAATTCTTTAAGCAATCCATGAAAATAATTGTTCTATATTAATATGCAATTACCATTGTCTTTAATTTCTTTACAGAGGAGAGGAAATTGTTGGATGACGAAAGAATTCTATACGTGCAGTTGAACTGGGGGAAAGATGTACGAGAAGGCAGATTTTTGCTACGCAGAGAGGTACGCAGATTTTATTAATTTAATCCTTAATCTTCTGATATAAAATATTTATTATTACTTGAAATTTTGATATATACAATCATGTAGGATCAGAAAAAGGAAAATTTTAATGTTAAAGGTCACTTTTCTCCTATTTAGATATGTTAGGATGTAATAGCTGTTACGTTTAAATTACATTTGTTGTGAACTTTAATCAATTTATGGCTTGAAGTTGTGAATGTGTTACTTAAGCAGTCTAGTGCAGGTCTTTGAAAGGGTGAAATTTCTCTTTTACCAAGATGTAATTGTATGTAAAATGTATCACCAGAATGTAGTGAATATGGCATTCGGTCTGAAATAAGTGATGGAAATATCTTATGTTTAGTTATATTTACACAATCTAGTGGTATCCGTTGCCGAGTGGTTAAGGTTGTTGACTTCAAACCACTTGCCCCTCACTGTGGGTTCAAATCCCTACAGAGACTTTGGATTCTTTCATGTGAGGAAGTTATCCAGCTAGCTTACAAAATGTTGGTGCCTCTACTCAGGTGCCCGCTCCTGCCTGAAATTATACATGGAAGGACACCTGAGGTCTTCCTCTACCAGTAAAGCTGGAAAGTTCCCATATGACTTATACTGTTTTGGTGTGACAAAAAACACAACCCAAAAAAAAAACAACAACTAAAAGCACAATTTCTGTATTTACATTATAAAGATTTTGATACATTTGCATCCTGAAATTGTTTTTAATGCTAAATAGTATTTAGTGCTATTGTTTTCTTCTCAATATTGTTAAGGGCGCTTGTTTTCTATCAGACCAGTGTTTAGGACTTGGCAATTGTATAAAGTTTTTTTGCCCCTGAACATACAACAAAATTTTACATCCAGTAAAACATTCAGCTTATATTTAAAAAAAAAAATCTTTTACACATGTTTATATAGAAGGCTGAACTATAGATTTGCCTTCGATCATTCTGTCCATCTGTTTTGCTGTCTAAAAAAGTTTTTTTCCTCACCTGTTTTAGGGTGCATCTGCTGCCCCAGAGAAAGAAAGTGGTCCAGGATTCAAAAGAAAGTTGTCAAAAAGAGAAAAGAAAGAAAAGAAGAAAGCAGATAAGGAAAGAAAGATGAACAAAGAAAATGTGGATAAGAATGGGGGTGTGGCCCAACAGTTGTATACTGACGCCCCTGAGACTAGTTTTACTCGGAGTATTTCCAATCCGGAGGCAGTTATGAGGCGGCGAAGGCAGCAAAAGTTGGAGAAAAAGTTACAACAATTTCATGGACAAAATGGCCAAGGTAGGAATTATATTTTTATTCATGAAAACTGCCCTTTTTTGAAACTTCAAATCTTCAGGCAGCTCCAGAGTCAGCAAATTTAGGAAATGTTCTCAATATTGACAAGTGTAAGAACAATGTGAAATGCAAAACTAGCCCTTACTCTGTTGGTAACAGGATCCTGTCCTACTCTACATAAAACATACAATACATGGTATGTATTATTATACTATTGTAGTTATACATTCTGAAAATTATTTTCATCTGGATGTGTGCTACTTTTCAACAGTTTCAGTATGGACACCCTTTCATTTTAGAAATTTTTGAGAATCTGCTTTCATAATTATAGATATTTACTGATTACTATGTTTTGTTTTGCCATGTAGGCAAAGAATTACATTACAACAGACAACTTAAGTTAAACACTTGAGTCTCGCACCATGTTCATGTTTGGTGCAAACTTGACCTTGAGGTGCATAGCAACACACTCTTTTTCTGTAGTTTCTTCCTTTATGCTGGTTTATGTTGATATGACCCTAATTGAGTTTGGGGTCAAATAGATAATACAGATAGTGTTGAGTGTGTTATTTTAAGGATACATTGTTTGCTTGCTCACTGAGGTTTTTCATGACATGTTAATCTTGGAAGTTGCCATACATTAAAAGCCAACAAAAAACAACAAAGAAAAACAACTTAAAAAAACAACAACAAATGAATCAATAACCAAAAAAGAAGTCACTATTTTAGCAATTTTTAGTGAAAAATGATAAGTATTAGTGTGTATATGGTAATTTTCAATATTTTTGGCAGCCATCTTGGATGCCATCTTGGATTTCTCTACCTGCACTGTGATTTAAGACAATCACCCTTGATATTATTGCATTTCAGATATTTCTAGATTCAGTTTTTCTATAAAATTTGTTAGGGGATCCCTCGTCCCTCAGATACTATGGTAATAGTCATGTGCTGTTTTTGCAGTTGCAACCATAGCACTCTCTTATATTCCCTTGTCCAAAACCTTGAATTTTATCAAAAGCCTCAAGATGTTCACTGAACTTCAAAAATTAATTAAACCCATTTTCCATTGGACCACAACATGTACAACAGGTCATTAATTTAGTCTGATCAGGTTAAAGGGGATTCATAAACAATTAAGATAGCTAGTCCATGAAAATTCTCTGTGACAGTAATGGGGGATAGTCAGTCTTTGTGGCATTTGTTTGTGGCAACCTTCTCACCTGTGTTTTGTCAGCCAGATACATGCTTATCAGCAATGTCAGCTAAATCAGATTAGAAGATGAAATAGAATTAATTACTGTAGTGTAAATAAGTTCTCCTGTAGGATGTGAAATGACAGTTTTGTTGTTTTCTTAGCTGAGCTCATTAGTTCATTATCAGGCAGCTTGATGTTTACAGCTTTTATCTAGGATATAAATACATCAGAGTATGCCATTGTCTTGAGAATATCAGTCCCATAGCATAAATACCAAAGTGACAGACCCTGATTGATACAGGTACTGTACATACTGTATAACAGAACTGTCTTATTTTGCACTACAATCAAATAACCACTACCATCTTATCAAACAGAGCATACATTTCTGCATTTACAAAATTTTGTGTCTTGTAAGAACTTACTTTATGGTCTTTTTGGTATTTTATAAAAAATTTAGTATTTTCGAAGGATTTTGGGTGTTTTCTAGGGATAAGGGCAAGTTAAAAGGATTTAGGGCAGGTTATACATGTATTGATAAGCGACTGCTATATAATGTAATAATTTTTCAGAACAATCATAATAGCATCAAGATTTTCCAGAAAGGTATCCTATATCCTTAGAAAAATAGGCCATAGAATCTTTCATTACTTGAATTTCATGAAACGGGTATCCATTATAAAAATTTAGGGAACATGGCCTGTAATTTATCTAAATTTGCAATAAAAATGTTACAACATTAAATTGAATTGCGATTGAAGTGCTATCTAAAGTAAATTACTCTTGTAGTAGTGTAATTAAATAGCCTTTTGTGGTAAATATGTCTTAATAGATTGCACATATTCTGTTTTATGAATAAAATAAAGTTATGATAAACTTCCAGATTAGATGAAACGATAAGGACAGCAGAGATCAAATTTGGAGATATGTGGGTTCTTCCCGATAAATCCATTAATTGACCCAGTCTTCTTAATATTGTCTTTTAAATTGATTTACCTGTACGAAATGCCTGAATTGTTCAAGTTGTATTTCTTTGACCATAAATATTTATGTATTATCAATTTCTATTATACTAGTTTAAGGTAATTTACGTTTTTAAAATGTTATATATAATTTGATGATGGGAAAAATGTGGCACATTTATAGATGCATATTACAAACCTTGAAGTAGTATAAACATACAGGAAAAAGTTTGTTTTCTCAAAAGTTAGAAATAAATTGCATTTTCTGCACCAGTTGATTTAATGAAAAAAGCTATCTTTACTAGTGTTGTTAAACGAATGAAAAGGGTTAAACTTCACTATTGCAGGCTAGGTAAACATTAGTTTAATAATACTTGTGTACCTTGTAAATTTGTTTCAGTTTCAGGGCAAACCAATTAATTAAAATTTTCACATATGACATTGACAAATTGTTTAATTGAAAATAAGTGAAATGTGAACTTTACAAGTCTTATTAGAGGGGAATTGTGATTGAGAGTCATGTAAACGCAGAAAGGTTCTTCAATCAATAAGAAGAACAACACAGGTTTGAAACCCCCGGTTGCATGTCATTCATCTCAGTATAGTATTCTGCGCCTTACCACCTGTATTCCACTGTACTTTAAGATAATTTTGATATCTTATGGGGATTATACTGACTGAGATTTTGCCCAGAATATTGAGCCACTCTAGCCTGCTCATCCATGAAGTCAAACCAGACTATCCTGGAATGGATGCTTTACATTTAGTATTTGATTCCGAAATCCCTAAAAACAATGCTGTCCTGTAGCTGTCTGAATTCAAAGTCATGAAAATCAATTAAATAGTAAGTAACAAAATGAGGGTAAAATTTTTTATTTATCAACCCAAATACTTCAGAGCAGAAAAGTAAAATGTAGCAAAATAGAGCATATAGTATATGATATCTAAATACTCTGGAGAAACATTGGAGAAATGGAAGAAATGCTTGTAAAGAAGATATTATAATGGTTACTTGTCATGCAATGCTGTAATGTAAGACCCTGTTAACATGAAATTTGTATCGTCTGTACTTTTACCCTCTGACATTTCATAACAAATTATGTTTTCTAAGCTAGTGTATTCAAAGAATAATTGTGCTTTTCTACTCATGCTGGAATTTGCATATTGGCATGCCACTTCAATTTCTTGGTTAGAATTTATATGTTATCTCATTGAAGTTATTTATATAAAACTTTACGGATTGTAATCGTTTGCCACCTTTTCTAAACACATGACTTTAGCATTTACCATTTTGAAGGCAAATAATTCCTGCATACCTTCTATATAATAATTAAGGTATAAACACTGAATTTCAAAACCTTTTGCTAGTGTAAGGTTTAAGATTACGATAACTTCTTTTTTCAGTATGCATTTTTGTGCACTCCTTGGGGGAAAAAAAAGGCTTGGTATTTTAGTTGTTGCCAGTGAACAGGGCCTAACATGAAAAAATGTAAATTAGTATAATCACTCTAAGCAAGTGTCTAGTGTTACAGTCCAGCTGATAACCTTGTTGGAATGTGGAACAAACAATAGGATAAACAATGTCAAATGTAATTAGCTAAATCGTAGACTTTGAGTGCTCTGTGCTGATAAAATACAAGTGGATTATCTGGTTCACTTTAGCAAGATGGGTGCTAATCTTGATGGTTCACAAAGATTTTATTTACTGTATTTGATATAGATTCTTAAGTACCACTTGACTTTATTGCTGCAGAGTTCTTTATATGACTATTGTGGAAAGTTTCAAAGTTTTTGAAGTTTAAACCTAAAGGAAGGTTTGAATCTGTATTTAACAGGTTTACCCCTCTGGTGGATCTGAATGTTTACTTGACAGGTTTAAACCTTGGATGGGTTTTAATTTGTTTTGTTTTTTACTACAAGTTTGTCTGAATGATTACTGAACAGGATTGAACCTCAGGAGTGTCCAAGTATTACTCGATAGGTTAACACTACTAGTGGGTCTGAATGTTTACTCCTTGGAAGGATTTGAATGTTTATTGAACAGGTTTAAACCTTTAGAGGTCTGAATTTTTTCAGGTTTAAACTTTGGGAGGGTCTGAATGTAAAGGCAAGCAGTTTAGAATTTTTAAAGGCTCTGAAATTTTTCAGGTTTAAACTTCAGAAAGGTTTGGATGGCAATGCAACAGGTTTAAACCTCAGGATGTTTATATGACAAATTTAATCCTTTAAAAAACTCCAGTGTCAGATTTGAGTCTCAAGGGAAGCACAATTCATGTACATGTGATATTATTATTTTCAGATTTATAAGATATAATCACACAATTATTAGGTCATATCCCACAGCCATTTTACTATCGTGATAATCTAAAATTACTTCTAGAGAACATCAGTCTGAGATCATATTTGGAAACAATGATTGCATGGGTAGAAGTCGTTAACTTTTGATAACTGTCTACTCACTCAATTCTGAGACACAATTGTAATATAGGGCCATGCAAAAAGTAACAAAGTTGATGTCTTACTGGATCTTCTTCTATTTTTATATTACAAAATATGGTGATAAATTGATATAAATACTTGTGAAAGTGAATTAAGGTATAACCATCTAACGAGCACAAATTGACAACATAGTTCGCATATATACTTTAAAGGAAACCTGTGTCAAACTTGACTGTATGGAAATCAAATAATGCCCACTTTTCTTAATTATTAATAAACATACTCGTATTAATATTCTATTTTCCCACCATTTAAAGTTAATGCTTTTAAGGAAAGGCATTTTACTGTATTAATAAGTATATTATTGTTATTGTTTAGCATGTAATAGACTTTTTAATGAATATTTAACAGTTGCTGTCTTTATGATAGTTAACCAGGTTTTCCGAAGATCACGGGCGGGCGGGCGTAAACAATTTCTTCTGTGCGCAACTCCTCCTACATTTCTCAACGGATTTTGACCAAACTTTCACAGAAGCTTTGTCATCAAGTGCCCTGGCGCATATTGTCGGGGTTTTGCGATTAGATAATATTTGACCTAATTATGGCCCTTTGTTTTTTTTCCTTATATAAAATATATAGTGAACAATTTCTTCTGTGCGCAACTCCTCCTACATTTCTCAACAGATTTTGACCAAACTTTCTCAGAAGCTTTGTCATCAAGTGCCCTGACACATATTGCCAGGGTTTTGCAATTCATGAATTGGTATATATTTGACCTAATTATGGCCCTTTGTTTTTTTTCCTTATATAGAATATATAGTGAACAATTTCTTCTGTGCGCAACTCCTCCTACATTTCTCAACGGATTTTGACCAACCTTTCTTAGAAGCTTTGTTATCATATTGTCAGGGTTTTGTGATTGGATAATATTTGACCGAATTATGGCCCTTTGTATATTTTTTCCTTATACAGAATATATAGAGAACAATTTCTTCTGTGCTCAACTCCTCCTACATTTCTCAACGGATTTTGACCAAACTTTCTTAGAAGCTTTGTTTTCAAGTGCCTGGCACATATTGTCGGGGTTTTGTGATTGGATAATATTTGACCGAATTATGGCCCTTTGTATATTTTTTCCTTATACAGAATATATAGTGAACAATTTCTACAGTGCGCAACTTCTCCTACATTTCTCAATGGATTTTGACCAAACTTTCACAGAAGCTTTGTCATCAAGTGCCCTGGCGCTCACTAAATTCCCATGTTTCTTCCAAGACATCATTCAAGTATTTTTATGCCACCGCAGCATCTGCGATGCGGTGGCATATAGCGATTCACCTGTGTGTGTGTGTGTTTGTGTGTGTGTTTGTGTGTGTGTTATATAGATTATATAGTGAACTTAAAAAATCTTCTTGTGAAAAACCACTAGTCCAATTTCAACCAAACTTGGCAGGATTGTTCCTTGGGTGAAGGGCTTCCAAAGTTGTTCAAAGAATTTCATTCCATGCAGAAATCTGGTTGCCATGGCAACCAAAAGGAATTATAAGAATAAATTTAAAAAATCTTCTTGTAAAGACCCAAAAGGCCTAGAGCTTAGATATTTTGCATAAGGCATTGTCTGGTAGACCTCTAACAAGATTGTTCAAATTATAGCCCTGGGGTCAAAATTGGCCCCGCCCCGGGGGTCATTGATTTTCACTATGTACATATAGTAAAAACTTAAAATACCTTCTTGTAAAGACCCAAAAGGCCTAGAGCTTAGATATTTTGCATAAGGCATCATCTGGTAGACCCTTACCAAGATTGTTCAAATTATAGCCCTTGGGTCAAAATCGGCCCCGCCCCGGGGTCATTGATTTTCGCTATATGTACATATAGTAAAAACTTAAAACACCTTCTTGAAAAGACCCAAAAGGCCTAGAGCTTAGATATTTTGCATAAGGCATTGTCTGGTAGACCTTTACCCATATTGTTCAAATTATAGCCCTGGGGTCAAAATCGGTCCCGCCCCAGGGGTCATTGGTTTTCCTTATATGTATATAGTAAAAACTTAAAAAAAATTCTTCTAGCAATTGACAAAATTTTAATGCTAGAGGTAAGATATTTTGCATGAAACATTGTGTTGTAAACCTCTAGCAAGATTGTTAAAATTATAGCCCTGGGGTCAAAATTGGTTCCGCCCCTGGGGTCATTGATTTTCATTATGTACATATAGTGGAGAAAAAAAATTTTGTCTGAAGGTTCAAGGCATAGAGCTTTGATGTTTGATATATAATATCATCTAAAGCCAAAGGTCCTCTATCAAAGTTGTTCAAATGTCAAAAATTGGCCCTGCCCGGGGGCAGTGATTCTCATTATGTACACATAGTAAAAACAGAAAATAAAACAAATGTTTTCTGAATGGGAGAAAGTTATCGCTTAGATATTTGACTTGAAATGTTGTTTTTTGGAGAGGTATCAAGATTGTTATTAAACCCTTGGGTCAAAATTATGCCTTGCCCAAGGGGACAGTGACCTACTTTCTTGTCCTTTGATGTACAGCTATGAAATTTGAACCATGCGGTGGCATAGCATTTTTCTCAAATGCAATCTTGTTTTAAAATTGTGAACATACTTTTCTTGATATCGCACAAAACACCACACGCCAATATTGTTGACAAAAGAAAATGACAAGAGACGCAAAAATGCAAAAATTAAGCAAAAATAAAGTACTGTTTACCTTTCTAAAACATTTGGGAAAAAAAGGTGAATAGACAACATAAAATTTCTCAATCATTTTTGTTTGAGGAATATTAAAAAAGCCATAATTCCTCCTAAAAGTTCAATTAAAAACAAATGCCCCTTCATGACAAAGCTTCTGTGAAATATTTTGCTGAAAACCTGGTTGCATCGCATTGCGATGTTCCTTGTTTTTTTATTGGTTAATCTAATTATGCCATAGTTTATATCTGTCCAAAAGTGTCCATTTTGGATACAGTCCTTTCATGGGAACTATTAAGGTAGAATATTTTCCTAATGGACATGAGGGTAATTTGTCAGTATTTAATTAGAGCAGACACTTTCTCTGTTCTATACTGTCTATAAAAGGTTGGATATGGGAACTAAAATTGTTATAAAGCGGGTCATAAAGGTATCACATAGACTGGACAAAATGTCCCCGAGGCTGTCTCTGTTACATTGATGGATGTGTAGATAGTAAAAACAAGTGGACAGCCGTTGTCATTTTTACACTCATTGACTCTCTATTACACACCATAGCTTTACACTCCATATACATGATATACACCGATTATAAACTGTCTCGAAAAATGTATTGATTAAGGGGAGATAAATTTAACTTTTCTTGTTTTTTTAGGATAAAAATTTCCAAAAATAACTTTAAAAGTTTAGTTAGTAATACTTAAAATTTAAAGCTAAGCAAGAAAATCTTACCGGTTTATTTCATTTAATATTGTTTGTAGAATTAATTAAGATTTTAATGGATATGTATATTAGATAAAAATATTAAAAAATGAAATGCAATTTTATTTATGAACATTTTGCTTTGTTTACACTTTTAAGTTTGTGGTTAGAAAGACTGACTAATAGTGTTGCAATTTTGTTACACTGAACTGGATTTGAAAATTTGTCACATGACACTTTTTGTTGTAACAAATTTTAAGAAAATAAAGGTGAATTAGATAGTAATACTCAGGTTACTTTTTGGTCTATAAAAAAAGGAAAAAAATAAAAATATGATTTATATGTATTTTATTTTCTCTCACTGGCTGTTGTTTTGTTGTTGGTTTTCCCCCCAAATTTTGAAAGGTTTGTTTATTTTTTAAATTGCCAGGCTAATAAATGTGAAACACCTATAAAGTGAAACCTCATAATGTAAAACTGAAGGGTAATTCAATCTCTCTATGATAAATAATCCCCATTAAACATATTACTGTGTAAAGCATATATATGTATGACACACACACACACACACACTTACAAAGTATAAATAATTTAAGAAGTATGTATAGGCTGTAATAATTTGAAATGTTACACCATTAGACAGGTGGATATGCTTTACTTGATTCAGGTTTACTTTAAACTGTTAGCATTTATGACAACTTGTGGGGGGCCGTCTCAAAGTGTACTTTCATGAAGTTCATTATTGGGTATAAATAAAACTGAAAGTGTTGAAATGATGGACTGATTTAAGAAAAAAGTTTTACTTATTTCAAAATATGATTGTTTTAAGAAGACAGTGTTTAAAGCAGAATTTGCTTGACATTGTGCTTTTTAATGATGAAGCTTTAAAATTTGTTTTGGGTACATGAGTACAGTACAACAGTTTATTTGATTTCTCTCGAGTGATATTTAAAGATTTAAGAAAAATGATCATTTCAAATTACAAGTAGATGGCGACTGTTGAACGTTTAAGAAGTTTTTATTATGATTTTAGAGAAATAAGGTTTGGAATCACATGCACAACAGTAAAGTCAAGGTCACATTGACTAACCATGTTCTTAAATACGGAAACATGTATCATTCTGCCCCTTGTGACTAAGGGGTTGCCTTTATGGGTTGAGGCATTAAAACTGAAGCCACCAATTAACCCAGCATGATCGTAAGAGGCAACAAAATGGGTTTGAATGACAGGAATTTATGCATCTCTAAGCTCCAGCAGGTGAGATGGTTTTAACCCCTGGTGTTGCTAAAAGTTGGTAACAACACCTGTTTTGGCATCATATGACCTAAATTGTGTTTGTACACCATAAGCAAACAAACAATCAAACATACAAGGTATCATTCTGATATGCTCAGTCATTAAAAGAGCATTATTCATTCATTGTCTCATTGGATGTTGAATTGTATTTAGTGAAGGATAAAGTAAGGCACTTTACCTTATTTGTTTTACTGACATCTTAATCTTCCGCCATTTTTCAGGGGGTACATTGAAGATCTATGGTGAGACTTTGAAGCCAGATGTGCCATATAAAACACTGTTACTGTCGACAGCAGATACAGTAAAACATGTCATCAAAGAAGCGATGGAGAAATATGATGTTGATACTGAAGATACTTCACAGTTTGTACTTGTCGAGGTGAGTTACGTCATTTCAAAAAAAAATCTGCTATTTTGTGTTATTACTTTCATACCCCACTTTCATTCACTAGATTGAATAATGAATTTATATCAAGAGATTTATTTTGTGAGTTTTGTATTGATTAAGGGTGTCAGATGGACATACTCATAATAAAATCTGAAAGATGATACTGCAATTTTACCCACCATCATAACAGTCCTTTGCATTCACAAGAACTGTAAAATGTTAAATTATTGTTAAATTATTATATGAGAAAATGGCTGATAAGTGTTGTGGAGTTTTTATGAACCAATTTGCTTAGTAAATCTAATACTTTTACCTTAAAGTACTTTTCATTCGAATGTGAAAGAAATAAAAAAAAGTGTTACCTTCCTTTGAGTAACTGATAAACTACCTATTTGAGTTTTTAGAATGATTTATGTAGTTCAAATTATGTAATAAATTTGGCTAGACAGTAAATTACAATTTCACTTTGAAGCATACATTGTGAATAAAAAATACATCAGCAAGTTAAATTTAGCAAACTGTAAATAACAATTTAAATATCATTTGTTACCAGAGCAGCAGCATACATCTCATGTGTTAACAAAAAAAATAATGTTTGTGATGTGCCTGAGTAAGTAAATGTCACCGACCCCATCATAACACTAAGGCATTTAAATCCAGCAAGGTGAAATGAAATCTTTCATGACTGTATAGAAGCTGTGCAGCTAGCTTATGGAAGGTTGTTGGCTCTAGTATGAAGTCACCTTGCACATTAAAAATAATGCTTGGAAAGGCATCAGTGAGCTGTTCCTTCACTTACTTATGCAGGAGTTGCACAGGTGCCGACTTATGACTGATAAAATATATAGATGGGGCACCTTAGGTATTCATTTGGCAGTAAAGCTGTAATGCTGCATTATTACTTTTTAATACAGAGGCTGTGCGAACTATTAAAGTAAATTTAAAGTTAAAAAGGCACATTATGACACTGACATTATTAGGGTGATTGGAAACACAGGCCAAAACAATAAAGTTATATGGGTATACACTTTCTCTGGATTTAAGAATATTTGGGTTTTTCCCAGCTATTACGTAGGTACAAACAAACTTTTACAGTAAAAGCTTAGAAAATAAGCGAAACAGGTTGAAGGGTAGTGCAGCGTAAAGCTATAAAGGTAAAAGTTAGTTTGTACCTACTGATTTGATTAGCTTGGAAAAACCCGCTTTGCAGAGTTCCGGATAACATCTATTGTATGGATTTTCATTATGATTTCAGGTGCTGGTACCACCAGGGGAAAGAGAATATCACGGAGGTACAATAGGCGAGGAAAGGATAATGGAAGATGATGAATGCCCGTTAGCTATTGCCATGCAGCATCCGCCTAGCAGAGGTAATGTGAATAATCATGATGTGAAATGTTATATATACATTCCCCATTAAACTGCCACTGTATAAAAGGGCCATGATGGCCCTTCATAAATGAGAGGGTAGTATTATTTAAAAAAAAAAAAGACCTAAATATCTATAAAATTAAAAACTCCAAACTGTCTATAAAAAATCTCCAAAAATACATGTTATCACTTTAAAAGTAGGATTTAAATTTATTATGAATAGAATTATATTAGAAATATGAAACAGGAAGTACATGTGTATAAGGTTGACCTAGATATTCATATTACAGACTCTAGCAGTGATGATAACCCAGGTATTTGTTGTAATTGCTTTATTGCTATGTCATTTGATAGTGTAAATCATATCGTTATAATATATCATTATGACATTTAATCTGCAAAATTTGTATAATGGACTTTTCCTGCTTGTGTTTTTGGATTGTCTATTATAAATCTAAGGGATTTCAGTTCGCAAAATTTGTCAGACTAGTCAGTACACACCTGTTCTAATATACACTAGCATTAACACTGTGCTGTAACTTAATAAGTTTGTTTTTTTCGCTGAGTTTGCACATATGTAATAATACTGTCAAAGTTTGGGTGGAAATGATATATTTAAGTACATTTAAAGAGGGTAGGGGGATTGAAAAACTGATTTTGGCTGGTTTAATATTATTGTGAAAATCTGATTGAGATTCATAACCAAAACAATTTTGAAATTAAAGATGATATTGTTGTACATAGTGTTTAACCCTTAGTATGTTATTTTTTTTTAATAAGCTGATTGATAAAATTTGGTACGTAAAATCTGTAACGAATAAGTGTCTTGTAATTGGATTTGTCTTACGTCAGTGTAGCTTAGGGAAGATTGTGGTTCTATTCTGGAACTACCCATTGTTGAGAAATAATGCCGAGAGTGACACCTTTATAGTTTCTGTATTATTTTAGGTTTTACAACAATTAAATCAAACACTGTTGAATTTGTGGTCACAATTATGAAAAAATTATTGGAAGGATTTTAAGTTTGTATTGAATCAGAATGAAATAACTGTGATGTAGTAATGTGATGTAGTAATTAAATCTGTTTGTATGACATGTAACATATTGCCGTATGCAAAAATCTTGGTACTTCTGTCATATGATACAATGCCATATCATACAAACATTCACGGTGATATTTCTGGTTGAAAATGGAGGCTAAATAATTATAATTTCCAAATTTAAAAAACTGTTTAAAGTTTCCAATTTAATTTTGGAAGCAAAGTGAGAAAATTAAAAAGGAAATTGACGGTTAGGCATAATTTATATGGCTTTTTATGAAAAACACCATTGTAGTTTCCCAGTAAGAAAGGCATGGGTTGTTGCCCCAAAAAAGTTTAAAAACCCTATGTCACAATATATTATAACTTTTGATCATTTTTTATGTATTATGTGATTTAGGAATGTTGATGTTCCAATTGAAGAGGAAGAATGTGGATATGATAAAGCCCAAATATAAGAGACAACGGGCGGTATCCCATGAAGATCTACGATCCACACAGGCACCTAGTAGCCAGCAAACCCCACCTAATAAATTACCTTTCTTGGTGGAATTAAATCCAGGTATTTAAAAATGAATACATGATAGTACAGTGGAACCTTGCTAATCTTAAACCCATCTTTTACAGAATTGAGAAAAAATGGAAAATGGTTCAATTTTAAGTTGAGAGAAAAGTTATTTTCCCCTTAAATATGTTTAATTATGCAAGTGTTGATGTATATGAATATGAAGAACTTGCATACACGATTATGTCTCTCAGGCTTGATTAATAGCCAGAAAAAAATTGCAATCTTTCATCAGCTTGTTTATAAAATGCACTTTTCATTTTTTTTGATGCATTAATTTATATTATATTACTTGTGTTGTTGTATTAAATGTCATGCATGTAAATGCTGGGGGTAATTTATCATTTCAGATGGTACAGAGAATTTGAAAGGTAAAGTACATAGGTTACATTTAGATGTTACAGAAGTTGGCCGTGAAAAACCACCATCCACAAATGGACAGTATTTACAAGTAAGCAAGATGATTAATATAATAAATTATGAATTGTGAGATCGTAAATTTTAAGCTTTGTTTACATTGTTTTTTTGTTTTTGAAAAATGAGAATCATAGAGGTATATGCTGAATGTGTTTAACACTCAAGTTTTGTTTGGGTGGGCGTATAGTTAAGTGGGTTTGCTTTGCAGATAAATACTTCTTTAAAACTTTTCTGAGGTAACTTGTATTCTTGTCACAGGTTTTGAGTACAGTATTCTTGTCACATGTTTTTAATACAGTTATAATTAATACAGTTTAAAATAATAAATTTTTGAATAATCAAGTTTTAACTGCATAATAATAAGTACATTGCAGATTAATAAATAATTGCAATCTCTTGTACAGAATACGGTACCCTTTGAGTTTAAAAGAATGTAAACAATTTTTATTGTCATCAAAAAATTTAAAAAATAAATAGATTTTATTGTTTAATTTTAGTTATATGGTCCAAACATACAGTCTCGGCATTGTGTAATAGCTCACACCAGTGATGTAGTGACGGTTACCCCAACCAGTCGCGAGTCCGAGACATACGTTAACAACCAGCGCATTCAAGAGACTACAATGCTTCAGCACGGAATGACGGTCAAATTCGGCAAACAGAATGCATTTAGATTTTTCGATCCTGCTTGGGAAGAGGTAGACAGCTTAAATTATGTCATTACTGCAATTTTTTGTCAAATTTTCACTGTACTTTATTTAATGGAAAAAATTTACTGTTGATGAATGTTTCATTGATAATTTAGCTTATAGTATACTGCCAGACCAACTGCACACCAATTCAGTTTGATTAGGCTTAATTCTGTCATACAACTAATTTCTAATCTTAAAATTTCGTCAAGCTACACTGAAAATTGTAAATGGATTCTTCCAAATTGGGAATTTGAAAAACCCACTCAATAAATTCAGCAGGAAAATGTTATTGCAAACTTCTCCCATGTTGGCATTCATTTTAACTTCTATAATTTAGATTGCTATTTCAGTTTATTAGAATACTAGAGTTTTTAAATCATTTTGAATTATCCTATGTATTCAGATATTTAGTATGATAATCTAACATTACAGAAAATGAGAAGAGGCGGGATGCCTCAGGAATTAGCACAGAGACAAGCAACAGCCCCACCCTTCCCTAACCGTCCACAGGAAACAAATTTTGATATGGATGGTCGTGTAGAGACGACGGACGGTGTTCGGCCTCAGCAGCCACAGAGACAAGAAAGTCGACAAAGCGGTCACAGTAGTTTACAGGGCAGCAGTGTTCATGGAAGCAGTCATGATGATATGCCAAGAGCGTAAGTTTTTGATTGTTTATAGATTTTTTATCACTCGACATCATTTGCTTTCTATGCAATATAACTTTGATGTATCACATTGTATCATTTTATCACATTACCCTTCCACTTTTCCGACTCTGTAAAAATGGTATTGCATAGCTGTGGATATATTTTGACATAACATCATTTACTTAAGACACGCTAAATATTAGCTTTACCCTAAGGAGCATCAATGAAAAAACGATTCTTTTTCACTTGAACAGTCTTTATTTTGGGTATGTGATAAATAGAATATCATATTTGTGTAAGTTCATTTCTAAATTCTTTGAACTTGTTGATAAAATAATTTAATACTTGCCATAGGCTGGCATAATATAATTTTATTCAACTTAATCAATAAATTCAGTATTGAACTTACTCTCATTCAATATCCTCTATTTATTCAGTTTTGGTGCAAAATTACGCTTGGTTACCTTTCTTTTCTGTATTTGTTTCAGTTCACCTCGTGAAAGTCGACCTGACGGCACCAAGTTTGAAGATGCATTACCAGCTAGTTTAGAGTTTAGAGATGACAGTATGTACTCTTTCGTTATTATTACGAAGTTTTTACCCTTAACCTGCTGAATTTCTTGAATGGATTGCCCAGTTTTTGGAATTGTCCATTGTTAATTTTTAGGGATACCGGGATGAAAATTTGAAGTTTGTCAGATAACAGTTCCTGCAGGTCAACAGTAAAAGCTATATCAGTTTGTCTGTCATCAGTAGAACGTTTTTTTGTAGATTGATAATAGTTATGTCAAAGGACCCAGCTGGAAAGAAAAAAATTTGGTAAATTTTCAATAAAGCTGCAGGAGAATGTGACAAAGTGTTGTTTAACCTGTAAATCTACTGAAAGTAGAAGTTGGTGATTTTAGTGAGATAACAAAGAAATTCTTTAGTGAAACTCTCGTCACATATGACTAAAAGAATATGTTATTTGTATAGATAATGATACATGTTATAGTAAATTGCACAGCTTTTCACACTTGAATGCTATTTTTGTGAGTTTTAATATTTTAAGTGTTTAGTTCCATGGTAGTAATAAAATAAGTTGGGATTTTCTTTTGCATATGAGCTGTTTTTATTGGTAAAATAAAAAAAATCACAAATTATGTATGAAACTATACTAGTTGATTCCACTTTATTTCTAGTTTATTGAATGTAATGTTGTTTGTTTGTATATTCTTCCAGAAGAGAACGATTTTCTGAGTACAGTTATTCTTGACACAAATGCTTCTGCGACACAGTTCAAACTTTCTCCTACCTACACCATGTATCTGGCGGTGAGATTCCGGCTTTCGAGTGCATACAGACCGGAACTCAGTCCGTCCGACAGAGCTCATAAGTTGACGTCAGTTGTTAACAAAATAGCTCAGATGATTCCACAAGCAATACAGGTAAATTGATATTCAATTGGTAAATCTATAAATAATCAATTAGAAGTAGTCAAGTGTGTTGTTTTAAAGACACCCTAATTCTTTGTGTATTCAACTTAGGAGAAAATATAGGATATTTAATATTGTAATATTTTCAAATCTGAAGAAGACTAACGAGAGTCAAAATGGTGTTTACACCTTAAAACTTAACCAGTGTTGCTTGTTTATTCCACTTTCTAAATATTGTATTGTATTCTAATATTTTGTATGTTGATATTCCAGGATAATCGTGATAACCCGGCAACTCTAGCATTCTGGATGGCAAATGCGTCGGAGATCCTGCATTTCTTCAAGCAGGATCATGATATACATTTGTTCAGTCAGGACTCGCAGGAGATGTTAGCCGAGGCCGTTCAGATGGCTTTTCATCACCTAGTACGATGTCTACAGTACGATCTTCAACGCACACTTCCAGCATTCCTCGATGAAAATGATGACGATGGTGAAATAGGTAAACTTTTTCTACCAAATTTATTTTTTATTTTTTTTTTTTTTTTTTTTTTTTTATTTAAAAATGTTTTTAAAAACCCTTTGTTTGGATTTAGGTTTGAAGTAAAAAATCATTTACTGCTAGTTTTGTGTAAACTTTCTTATAAAAAAGTTATAAATTCAGTTGCTACAAAGTTCATTAACACTTTTTGTATAGTGAAACTTCCACCCTTGAAAAATTTTATTTCCAACCAACATATGTCCAATTTAAATTTTTTAAAGCAAAAACTTATTTGGTTTTCATGTCATTTTTTTTAGATGATAGGAGTCGTTATAACAGAAATAAGCCAACTATGATGGACATTTTAGACACGTTGTCGTCGGCCATGAATCTACTGAGACGATGTCGCGTGAACGCTGCACTCACCATTCAACTCTTCTCCCAGTTATTTCACTTTATTAACATGTGGGTGTTTAACATCCTCGTCACAGAGAAAAGATTGAACCTGTGCACCAAGGCATGGGGTGTCAGACTGAAGAGACGTCTAGGGCGTGTAGAGGCCTGGGCCGAGAAACAAGGCCTAGAACTGGCTGCCGATTGCCACCTTTGTAGAATAATTCAGGTAAAGAGTTATAGTACTCTTACCTTGTTGTATAATAGTTCTGTATTTTGAATTACTGGAATATGCCATTGAAATGTCTTTTTTAATGTCATGCAGATTATCGTTAATTTAGCTATATTTATGCTAAAGTTCTTACATGTAATAGGAATAGGGTCATATCAGGATTCATATGGGTTTATTTGAACAGTTGTCTCTGATTCATTTCGTAATTGATGGATAACCCTTTAAATATATGAACATGATTAGTGAGAAAAGTCATTATACAATAGCCAAAATGGCGTAAATTTTGTTGTTTTTTCTATCTCCACTGATATGCGATCAACTTACAGTCATTATTCTAATGTTAATAGAGGAATTTTTGAATTATTAATAGATAAGTTTTTTAAAAAACAACAACTATTTTTCTGACAGAGATTTATTCTGATGTTTAATGCTTTACAATATTTCAACTATTAACAATAGCATCATTTTTCACCAGATCCTGTATTTATCAGAAATTTGTCAACTTGTATACCTTTGTCTTCAAAGATTCATATTACAATTACAAGTTCTAGATTTGTTTGTTTCCAGATGTAATAATGTTATCCTATCCTTGTTTTAGGCTGCTCATTTGCTGCAAGCACCAAAAAGTAGTCCAGATGACATAGCCAACATAAGTTCCACCTGTTTCAAGCTGAACTCCCTTCAATTGCGTGAATTGCTTGAACGTTACCAACCTGAGCCGATGGAGCCCCCAATACCTCACAATCTTATCGACAGAGTCGTGTCTGTGGCAGAGAATATGGCGGATGAGCTGATACGCACAGACGGACGTCAAGTACAATTAGAAGAGGACCAGGATTTACAGCTTCCATTTTTACTTCCTGAAGATGGATATTCTTGTGATACTATTAAAGGTAAGGGGAGCGGTGGCCTAGTGGTTAAGGTGTCTGCCTCTCAACCCAGAGATCATATTTCTTCATATGATACCAGTACTGGTTCGTTCAAGGACTCAAAAGTGATTAATATAATTCGCAAGAACTTGTTTCGCAATTATGCTGAAATAAATATGTTTTTAACCAAAGCTTAACAAAATCTTTTATTTACTTTCAAATTAAAAACTAGAGTCATTGATATGTTCACTTGCATACTGACAGCAGGTGGTTCTACTCAAACACTTGATTGTGATAGAAGCAATACAAAGAAAGATTGATTGTGATAGAAGCAATACAAAGAAAGATAAAAGTTGTCAGCTAAAGACACAGCTAAATAGTACACAAGAGAAGCTGCTAAGTTGTCCACAGGAGAAAAATGTCAAGTTGCCTATGAGAGAATTGTTAAGGTGCAAACTGGATGAACTGTTAAGTTGCCCTCTGGAGAAAGTGCTAAATTACCCTCTAAAGAAAATGCTAAATTTCTCGAATGAAGAAACTGCTAAATTGCTCACTAAAGAAACTGCCAATTTGCACACTGGAGAAATTTATTAAGTTGCCCCATGTTGGCAGCTGGATGAACTGTTAAGTTGCCCATTGGAATAGCTGAAACTTTGCAATATAACCTTAAGTGATTCACTATGACTTAAAAACAATAATAAAGTATACTAAGGGAGGCTATTATATCATATCAAAATGCTCTCTAGCTTAGGGTTATTTCCCTTTATACATTAATTGGCTGTTATGTGTTGAGGATTTTTACTTTTTATGATATGTATAATTTCATAAAAAATAATGAAAAATAATAAAAAATTGATTTAAAGTTTGGGTGAAGAAGACAATGTTTTGTTGAGCTGAGTCAAAGATGTTTAAAGGTCAACATAACCTTGGTTGCATATTTATAAATATTCGAATCGCTAACAAAGGTTTTGAGTATACATGTTCAAAGATATTAATTCCCTAAATTTACTTCCCAGGTGTTCCAAATGGATTGGCGGATTTCATTGAGCCATTGACAAGGGCTGGTCTATGTCGAATGGCACACCAACCACAGGCCAGTGGTCTCTGGACTGTGTACATGTCGGACGACGAGTCATCACAAATAATTGAGGTAAGAATCAGCTTTGTTTGTGTTATTGAAGCTTTGTGATATTGAAGCTTTGTGATATTGAAGCTTTGTATTATTGAAGCTTTGTGATATTGAAGCTTTGTGATATTGAAGCTTTGTGTTATTGAAGCTTTGTGTTATTGAAGCTTTGTGATATTGAAGATTTGTAATATTGATTGTGATACTGATATGGAAGTTAACCAATCAATAAATATGCAATTTAAGTTAACAAAGTGCAGTGATATTTAAGTAAATCATGATAATGAGTCACTAGGGATTAGCACTTATTGAAACGTTTGATCCCAAAGAAAATTTATAAAAATAGTAATGGAGAGTATGAATCTCGGAATAAAATCAATAAGCTTAATGCAAGGGAGAAATTTTTTTAAGTTAAAATTATTTATTTACAACATTTAGTTTAATGTATTTTCAAACTGAAATAGATTGGGTATTATTGTATGATTATGCTCCAGCTTTTTGCAAAGCTGGCCCCTCAATCCCTGAATATTTACAGTTTTCTGTCAGGTATAAGTTAGGTAATTTAGCATCTGAATGTCCCTGACAGGGCAGGTAATTGGCCAGCGGCTTGTTGGTAGGCCTTCTGTTCTGCTTGGGTGGAAGTAAGGGTAACAAATATTTGTACGCAATCAAATAAGACTGCAATGTTTGTCATGCCATGCATAATTATTAAAGATAATTATTAATCTCTAGACCTTAAAGTAATGATATTAATCAAAAAATATTTTCTTTTCCCGTTTATCCAATAGTGTAATATACAAATTTTATCTTGACTGTCAATGTGTTGTAATAGATTTGTGTTAAACTATTAAAATGTTTCATTACTGAACAATGTTAGGTACTCTAGGTATGTGATGTAATGTTAAAACACAGCATGTATTTGTGCACTCTTGGCTGATTTATTTCCTCAATAAACTGTCAAATGAAATAACATGTACCATGTACAATGTTCAGCATGACATATCAATTCATGATGATATGTTTAAAGCAGTATGGTCGCAGCAGTGTGCATAATTATTTAGATATTTACTCCAATGAATTTATGTAATGGATTTGACCGGTTTGTGATTTAGACTGGTCCATTCAAAGATTTAAGAGATTTCAGTATTAAAAAACAAAATTTTAGCTAGCAACAGTAGAGTTTGTGGTCGAACTCGGTGTCGTAAATAGGTATGACAGGTCATAAAAAAATCAGGCTACTACAAAATCGCTTTGAAGTTTGTTTACGGCAAAATCGCTCATCCGAAGGTGACTTCTTCGCCCTAGTTGCCCCCTAGCTCAAGCCCTGGGACTGCATAGATGTCCAGGCTGGCCTGACTGTAAAGTGGCTGAGCTGGATCATTTTCGGTTCCAGCAGGTTAAGGGTTAACTAAAAATGAATAGTTTTTGTTCTTTATGTAATTCTTTATGTGTAACTGCTGAGTGTGAAAAATAGAATTTATCTTGTATGTTCAGTAACAATTATGGAAGTTTAAAGCGGTTAAGTTTGTTTATATGTACTTATTCTTGTACCTGTAACCTCTGATTACTATTCCAACGCGTGAGCCACTCTGCCTAGCCACCACATTCTTGCACCTGTAACCTTGGATTACTAGTCCGATATGTTTACCACTCGGCCATGCTGCCACTTTCTTGCACCTGTTACAGGTTGAATATGATTAGAACTTCATTCGATGAAACTTTTGCTATGTGTAACTGACAGTTTTACACTTGTATGAACTATGTTGTAAGCCATGTTTCATGCCGCATTTCGAAACTTGATTGTTTAAATAAGATTGTGTGGAGAAGGACATTAATTGTTTTAATGATAATTTACCTGGAGATGTTGTGACATCGTGCGGAATATTTGAGGCGCTTTTATTGATTACTTTCGGTCCCTTTTGATTTATGATATTAAACAGCATTGATTAATGTGATACTGTGCTAAATTACTTGTGAAACATGTCTTTTTCACATTAATATTGGATTTACCTGGGATATTTAACACTCGGAATTATCTGGAATTAAATGCATCAGTAGATGCATCAGGAGAAAATATCTTTCTTTTTTTCATGTGAACAAATAATCAAGAAATTTTATGTTAAAGAAAAAAAAGGAGTTGTAATATGATTTGATTGAAAATAATATTAAAAAAAAGCACCATATGTTTTGTTATCGCAAGTAACTTGGTCCATTTCCCGGAGGCTTTTTACAAGAAGTACATGTACATGCATTTATCAGTTGGAGCAAACAATTAACCTTTAATTACTTGACCTCTTTGACTGACCTTTGACATCCTTTTACTTAATGCATCGTTAATTTTTTATATTCTTTACGAGATTTGTTGTTCTGGTAAAGAATTTCTTTGAATTTGAAAACTAGATTTTTTTTTGATTTTTTTTTTGCATATCTGAAGGCTTGGTTATTATTATAGACAAAATGAAATTAATATGATCAGATGGGTGGAATACCTAGATCATTAAATTTATATTATAGTAATAGTAGACAAATTGTAATAAGATATTAACAGCTGTATATGGTAACAATCTGTTGGAGGAAATATCAGATCTATGAGTTATCACGTTACACAGGCTTGGAGCACATATATAGATGTATTGTAAAACTAGGTAAATTTGTAAGAGTATTATTTTAAGCCTGTGCAATTGCTTGGAAAATTGTCATCGACTTAAGAATTATACATCCAGTAAATAAAAGGCACCTGTTTCAGTTGTAGGTTTTATTGCGGTTTGACTGCAAGACTGTTATAAGTCCTTCTTTATTTCATATAAGTTACTGCAGTTTTGCAGTCAACCCTAGTTATATTGTTGAGCAATATTGTCTTAAGTTTGAAAAATCTTGGAATCTGTCAAGTCCCTAAGTGTTTAGCCATCTTAAGTTTAAGTAAAATAGGCTATTATTATTTTTATTGATACCTTCAACAGGTTCACAAGTTCAAGAGATTTGAGTTAAACTGTATTTACAATCCATTTTGTAAAAAGAGTAAATAACAATCTCTACGGAGTGACACACTTTTTGAGATATAATTTTCTATTTTTGCTGAGAGGTATGACTTTTGAGAGGTTTAATTCATGTTTTTTGTCATTTTAGAGATTAAATATAATTATTGGCTTTTGAGAGGTTAAAAGAAGTGTTATTTTGGAAAAAATTGTTATTGTTGTTGTGAGAGGTAATTGCTTCGCAGAGGGTCGCTTTTTTGAGGTTGAACTGTATTTTGATTATTTTCACTGGTATTTGAGATATGTGTTGCTATACAATTTTTATGACATTTGATCAGAGAATACTGTACAAGTTTTTTGTACCATTAACTAATCAATTAGGTATCAATAAATGGATAGTGTGTGATTGTTGCCATGGAATACTAGTGTAAGTTGTGAAATAAATAATTAACATATACTGATCTAATGTAAAGTGATAGTACATGTATAGCTGTTTGCCAATACGTTACACTGTGTTTTATATATGTTGCTAAGCGATGAAAGTGTATACCAGATAATACCTTTAATGGTTCCAAGAATGGAAAAATTACTGATAAAAGCAGATTTTTTTATTCTACCTTCATCTTTTTCTTTTTTTTTTCAACGTTTAATTTTGCTCTGATGTGTGCTAAATAGTGTCTGTGTGCGACTGATGAAGAGGGATTTGAGGATTTAAAAATGAATTAAATAAGAATGAAATTTAGTTTTGAAATAGTTTTTGGACAAGTGATACAAATATATATGATTCTTTAAGAAGTGAAAAAATATGGAAAAATTGTGTTCGAGCACACTGGATAATAGTGGAACACATCAATTGTAAAGCTGATATTTAGCAATGAAGAATGTGTGCAGCACGAAGGTCAGGGAAAAATGTCGATCCGTAACGAAACCTCCAGAGCCCAAGCTTTTCACGTTTGTCAATGCCCATGTTGCTGCTGTTCTGAAAAAACAAAGAGTATGGTTAATTTATTATTAAAATTTTCATGCAGGCATTGATTAGTGAAAAAATTATTAATTTTAAATGCTGTTCATTATGCAAGATATGTTGTAAGAGATTAAAGCCCTATTTTTCATGAGTAAGTTTTTTTATACCTTCACAAATAATACAATTTTCATAAATAACTACATTAATTCAACAGTAATATATAAAATGGCATCATTGACTTAAGCTATAGAAATAACACCAAAATAAATTTTTCAAATGAGATTTTTTAATATTATTATTTTATACTATTATCTAGTGACTTTTATAAGTTAAGATAATTTATTAGTATTAACTAGACTTTCTCTTTATGAATAATATATTTATACCCCCGCACAACAAAGTTGTAAGGGGGGTATACTGGAATCAGCTTGTCCGTCCGTCCGGCCGTCGGTTTTTTCTTGTCCGCCCAATAACTTAAGATTCCTTTGACCCTTAGTCTTCATATTTGGCATGGAGGTTAGTCATGATTAGTAGATGACCCCTATTGATTTTGAGGTCACTAGGTCAAAGGTCAAGGTCACAGGGGTCTTGACTTCAAAAAGCTTGTCCGCCCAATAACTTAAGATTCCTTTAACTTACAGTTTTCATATTTGGCATGCAGGTTAGTCATGATTAGTAGATGACCCCTATTGATTTTGAGGTCACTAGGTCAAAGGTCAAGGTCACAGGGGTCTTGACTTTAAAAAGCTTGTCCACCCAATAACTTAAGATTCCTATGACCCATAGTCTTCATATTTGGCATGGAGGTTAGTCCTGATTAGTAGATGACCCCTATTGACTTTGAGGTCACCAGGTCAAAGGTCAAGGTCACAGGGGCCTTGACTTCAAAAAGCTTGTCCGCCCAATAACTTAAGATTCCTTTGACCCACAGTCTTCATATTTGGCATAAATGTTGATCATGATAAGTAGATGACCCCTATAGACTTTGAGGTCACCAGGTCAAAGGTCAAGGTCACAGGGGCCTTGACTTCAAAAAGCTTGTCCGCCCAATAACTTAAGATTCCTTTGACCCACAGTCTTCATATTTGGTATGCAGGTTAGTCATGATTAGTAGATGACCCCTATTGACTTTGAGGTCACCAGGTCAAGGTCACAGGGGCCTTGACTTCAAAAAGCTTGTCTGCCCAATAACTTAAGATTCCTTTGACCCACTGTCTTCATATTTGGCATGGAGGTTAGTCATGATTAGTAGATGACCCCTTTTGATTTTGAGGTCACTGGATCAAAGGTCAAGGTCATAGGGACTTTGACTTCAAAAAGTATGTCCACCCATTAACTTAAGATTCCTTTGACCAACAGTCTTCATATTTGGCATGGATGTTGATCATGACAATAAGGTGACCCCTATTTATTTTGAGGTCACTGGGTCAAAGGTCAAGGTCACCGGGACCTTGACAAAAAAAAGCTTTTCTTCTCAATTGCTAAAGAATGTCCTGTCCGCAATGTATTGATTTTGACATTTTCACATTTGAAGCATGTAGAATACATAACTTAGCAATGTACTGGCTTAGTAACCTCAGATTTGGCAGGGAGGTTGTCCTTGAGCTCTAAATGGCCACTGTTGATTCTGACAAAGTGGTATGCGGGGGTATTCACGCCATGATAGTGGCAGTTCTAGTTGTGTTTGCTTACAAGTAAAATTCTGTTTTAAAAATTCATATTTCAGAAACAAATTCATATTTCAGAAAATAGCATTCCTTTGAAACCTTTAATTGTTTGTTTATTTTTTAAAATTCAGAAGGTTCCTACTTAGATTTGAAGCCCTTGATATTTCCCAGAAAGTCTGCATTTTATGACAAATGTTTCAGTTAATAGGTTCTACATTAATATACTATTACATAGAGATACAAAACCGTGATCTTTGTTTTTCTTTTGCACACAGAAGATAAGTTCTTTGTTTTACAATATTACAAAAACCTTAAGGAGGAAGAAATGTTTTATTTCTTTATGTCATATTAGTTACAACTTTTTTGCACTAAAGTTCTTGATAAACTCTGCATTTCATAGTGATTAAATCCAAAGACCAAAAGCTCTAAATTTAAAAATGAGACACAGGCCATGAGCTCCAAGGTTCACAAAAACCAAGCTCTACATTTTACAGTGACTCATAGGTCATGAGCTCCAAGGTTTACAATGACAGACACAAAGACCAAAAGCTCTACATTTTAACAATGACTCATAGGCCATAAGCTTCAAGGTTTAAACTGACACAAAGACCAAAAGCTCTATATTTTACGGTGACTCATAGGCCATAAGGTCGAAGGTTTAAACTGACACAAAGACCAAAAGCTCTATATTTTATTATGATTGGCCATGAGCTCCAAGGTTTACAAAAACACAAAGACCAAAAGCTTTGTGTTTTACAGTGACTCATAGGCCATGAGCTCCAAGGTTTACAATGACACATAGACCAAAAGCTCTACATTTTACAATGGTTTACAGGCCATGAGCTTCAAAGTTTACAAAATCTCTACATTTACAATGATACATAGACCAGAAGCTCTTTATTTTGAATTGGCACACAGACTATAAGCTCAACATTTACAATGATACAAAGACCAAAAGCTCTTTATTTTGAATTGGCACTCAGACCATTAGCTCTACAATTACAATGATACAAAGAACAAAAGCTCTTTATTTTGAATTGGCACACAGACCATTAGCTCTACATTTACAATGATACATAGACCAGAAGTTTCTTATTTGGCACACAGACCATAAGCTCAACATTTACAATGATACAAAGACCAGAAGCTCTTTATTTTTAATTGGCACACAGACCATAACCTCTACATTTACAGTGATACAAAGACCAAAAACTCTAAACAGACCATGAGCTCTACATTTTTCAATGATACATTAAAGTCTGAATATGTGGAGCTAGTCAAAATAAAATAATACAAAGATCATAAGCTCTATTTTACAAAGACACAAACACCATTAGCTCTATTTCACAAGAACTCAAACAACACACCACCCATTAGCTCTATTTTACTGGAACACAAAGACTATAAGCTTACCATAAATACTAAAATAGGGGCGTCCATGGCTGAATGGTTAAGGTAATTTACTTCAAACCACTTGGCCCTCAATGCAATAGGTTTGAATCCTGCCAGGGACTTTTGATTTTGTTATACTTGTGCCTGACATAATGCATGGAGGGGTTATCCTCCACCAGAAAAGCAGGGAAAATGCCATATGACAATAACAGTGCTGGTTGGTCTTGTAACATAAAACATACAAAATTACACAAACACCATAAGCTCTATTTTACAGTCTGCACATCTCGTATAACTGTGCCATACAGCATACAGATTTAAGTTGGTGACCAAATACACACCTTGTTTTTTTTATTCCATGTGTGTACATTACTATAATTCAGACACTCTCAAATTCAGTTGGATATTGTCCCCAAATTTCTAATTTCTAGAATATAACTAGGATATTTATCTAAGATTCTAATTGCAAAAATACTATATAATTTGGATATTACCCCAAAATCTAATTGCTATAATATAATTTTGATATTGCCTTGCTATAATATAATTTGGATATTACCTAGGTGGTATACAAAGAGTCTATAAAATTAATGGAGAAATGCTTTAATGGAGAAATGCTTTAATTTAAAGCTCATGATATATGTTGATGTAATTTAAGGATATTGATATATGATTTTATAATTATCTTTTCTACATTCATTAATGCTGCGATATTAATTTGGAAACTCCTGAGGAGCTCGGGAAATTAATTTCAAATTGGCGGTGTTGTTATGGTAACACTTACAAGAACCCAATACTGCAGATGATACCTCTAAACTTCCATGTTAAATATCAGAAGCTATTTGAGCAATCAATACATTGAGGTGGTAGCTTCCATTTAAGGAAAGATAAGAGTGTTTCTTACTAATAAGGCTTATTTGATGAAATAATTGGGCAGTTACAGCAGTCGTTATGTGATGGAAAGTCTTGTAGTTTTGGATTTTATATATAAGCGGTTATGTTCGTAACATACGATGTTTTATACACTGGTACGAAGCTTCATAAACTTTCGTAAATTACAGGAATCGATACGTGATCGGAAAGATCGAATTGCGGATCCACGGCAGCAGGCGCAGCAGCAAGTGGCGCAACAGCAGCAACCACCTCAGGGTCCATCATCGCCAGTTTCAAAAGAGCCGGAAGTCATTGTGGTCAGCTTTAACAAGGTGAAAGGCAGTATGGGGTTGAGCATCGTTGCAGCAAAGGTGAGTGGTACTCTTCGATTTTTAATTAATGTATAATCTAATATTGGAGAGGGGTCAGTACTGTTAATCAGAAATTTTATGGAAGTTTTCAAATTTCTGGTCAAGTGTACTTATATTATGTGTGAATAATTCTAGACCAATTTTAGTTTTAGAAATTAGGTTTTTTGAATAAAAAAAATTTTCTTACAAGTTTTTAAGTTAAATTTTTTCTGCAGTTTTGAAGGTGACAATGAAAATCGATTGTTATGAAGCAGATCTTTGTTTTCAATATACATTTAAATGGTTTATTGCAATGTAATAGCATTCAGTGAATGGATTCATTTATGTAATGGAGAAATGTTTGTTAAGGGAAGTAGTTGAAACAGTTCTGTAAATAATGGGCCAGTAAATAATGGCCAGGAAAATGTTTTTGTAATGTTTCAGTGATCAATACACTATTACTTGATGAATTACCTCTGTTTTAAGCATTTGTTCTATTCATAGGATAGGCAAAGAAGAATAGTTCTTAAGAAATCTGTAAATTTTGTTTGTTTTGTTACTTTGAAACTTGGCAGACTCATTGTATCCCATTGGGTAAATAGTTACTGCTATATGTTTAAATTTGAAGCCATTAAATGAATTTGTATGAAACTATTAAATGAAAAAGTTGTGTTAGACATTCCTCTTTATTTTAAAGATAAAGCTGCAAGTTTCTTGAGTTAAACTACTTTATGTGATTAAAAGTGTAAGTAACCTTTATAAATTTTGATGGAATCATGGCTGTGGTCAAAATTTTCCTTGTTTGATCCCTTAACCTGATGATCATCCTTTGCCATACATGCAGACTGGCTAGGCTCTATATGTAGGTAGCTCTTGTTTGTATGTATCATACAGTCTTAAATATTTAGAATGTTATCATAGATATTTGGAATGAATGGCCCTTGAATAAGCCTTAAAAATATTCTGGGGTCAGGGTCATGGTCACCAAGGCTAAAAATAGATTTTCCTACTTTTGTTGGGTGATATATATATAGGGCACCATAGCCCTCTTATTTCAATTGATAATAACTTCCTTTACTACAGAATATTTAATTAGTCAGACATGCTGTCTCCTTTGACAGCTCTTGTTATACTATCTAATTGATTAGAATAGGTATATTAAAAAATTGACATGAAATGGGGGTACCTTGTACATTTGTACATTAGTTAGTCTTTTGTTTTGTATAGAGTGTATCATTATCTTGCATGCAATCTGCAGACATAATTAATGTAGCTCTAAGATCGCTGTCAATTTATAATTGCACAAGTCGCACCCTAGAAAGCCAAGGCATGATTATGTACGACTACATTTAAGATTTACATTTACTTCATTTTAAGACACCTTTTGCCTCCTTTTTCTGTGATTCAATCCTCCCTATAATTCAATTCTTGCTTGTTTCTGAATTTTGGACCACAGTGGCAGTAGTGGCCTCTTTTGCCAAAAAGTTAACGCATCGACTTTCAAATCACTTGTCTCTATTAAAGTAGGAATTTCTGATTCTTTCATGTGAGGAAACTAGACAGGTAGCTTATGGGAGGTTGATGGTGTATCTCAGATACTTCACTTCTTGCACAGAGAGGCAGCTAAGCTCTATATCCACTATTGAAAGCTAGAAAGTAGCCATATGACCTTGACTGTGTCAGTTTGATTCAACCCAAATACATTTTCTAGGAATGTCATATTATTTTCTGCTTAAAGTTAGTGATTTACTCTTTAGCAAAAAATTGAATGTTTTCTTGATATAGAGTTTATCTTAATTTAAAAAGTTAGTTTTTTAGAGTGTCCTGTTTAACTTGAATACAAACATTAAATCAGTGCTTGCTACCGTATATGTATTGATTTGAATTACATGTGTATGGAGGTTTTGCTTTACTTAAATTGATCTGTTTGTTTCATTTGGATAACAAGTGTATGTTTTGACTCATTTCTGGAGGAGGTTTCTTAAACAAGCCTCGGCTAGACCAAGTTAATGATTGATCTTGTGTTTTCCTTTTGCTTATATGGTGGTGTCCTTGGGTACGGCTGTACTTAAAAATTGAGTTAATTTGTAATACTTTACTTTCACTGAATTAATTGAAATTGCATGTGTCTATCAAAGTGTAAGTCAGTAGTCAAAGACAATAACATTTAGGTCAGTGGGTCATGTTTATATGTGGCACTATATAAGTAAAGTGGCACATGTTAAGATAACTATGATGTTGGCAGGGATGTTGTAGCCTCAGGGAGTACTCTGGTATTAAAATGGCAAATTCGTTACATCAATTTGATGGAATGTTCCACCATTTGGTTTTTGAAGCTCTTTTATTATTATAAATGGTTATTGCCCTTCTTGTGCTTAGACCCAAATAAAGCAGTGATAGAAAACAAATCTACCCTATTGTGTGTTTAATTAAATAATTTGTCATGCAATAAATTTTGAAGTAGGATTTCGCCTAATTGCTTGGATGAAGCCAAATATGATTTATTTTATAGCTAAATTATTTTGGGGCAAAAGAATACCTGTGGAACTTTCAATTTTATAGCTTAAATGAAATAATAATATTCTCGAGTAGCGTAATTATGTTTGATTGAAAAATGGAAACTTTTTATTCAGTACTGTTAATAGATCTACGAGCCTGTAGTGTACATTATAAGATATACATACATGGTTGCCAGTAGAAGTAACCGTTTTTATTGACTAGTTTACCCGTATGTCATTGATTAGCCGATACAAATTATTTATCTCACTCCGCCATTTAAATTACCGCATTTGGAACAAACTTCAATTGTATTCAATTGTGTTCTCGGCCATTTATGGCAATTTAAACAAAAATTGAAGCAGCAATTGACTTTAATATCAAAACATTTTCTGTGTGGTTTTTCTCTTTTAAATACGTGAGAAGGTTATTTGTATGGGATTTTATAATATATGTTTTAGAATTTAATTAAATTTGTGTTTTAAGTTTTTTAAGGATCATTTTGATTAATTTTTAGTTTTAGTTTTTTGTGGCGTATTTATTTATGGATAGGAATTGTTGAAGTTCATAGCAATTACGGTGGAGTTTAAGTGGTGGAAAGAATTTGGATAATGTGGAATAATAGTTTCTTGAGTGTCATGTCCAAGTGCATACAAATGGGGTAAAGTGCTGTTGAAAGTATCGGTTGAAGTGCTTAACTTGATAAATGGTGTCCCGATATGGTCATTCTAGATTGCAGATCAAACAAGAGGTTTTATGATAAATAGATTTGGGATATGATGAGTATTTTAACAATTGAGAGTGTCTGGATTTATACCAATGATCATACAGTGTTTGATTGTTGAATACCTACCTTTGAATTTGAAAGTTATTTTTTTGTTTTCTGCATTTTGTCTTGATATTGTTTTATTTGTTGTTTGTTTGTTTCAAAGTTAGCATAGTGTTTGTTTATTTGTTTGTTCTTTGTCTGGTTTTTATGCTGATAAGGGTGGTTATTTCAGGAGGTATGTAATGTGTTAAACTATATTCACTTGAATTGAGATAATATAAATGTCTTTTTAATGATTTTGAGGCATAGATGATACAGCAAATGTTTCTGTAGAGACAATTTTAATGGCACTGATGCAGACGAATTTGATGGCAGTTTAATGCAAAAAGCAAGTTTGTAACTGAACAAATGAGGTTAAAAATGGCTTTCTTGTTTCAATACTAGGTCTTGGGGGTCTAAGCAAGCTTTCTGCCAAGTGTCTTAGAAATTATAGTTACATCGAGAGACTTTATTGACATGAGTTTGCTACAGGTTTGGAATGAAAAAAAGCTATTCAAGCAATGTAAGATTTCTTATGAATCAGAGCACTGCAATAGGTGCCACAGTGGGATTTTATCCAATTATTGAAAAATGAATGCTTTAAGTGAATGTAGTGCTATGCTTCAAAGTCTGTCTTGATAGTTCTTGTTTTCTCCTTCAGGTGGTTTGTATCGAGGGGTTGATCATGCTATTTATAGTTATCAAAACGAGCTATTTTTATCTTCGTTAATCAGTTCGTGTTTTAATGTGAACAACTGTAGAAGCAAGCGTGTGTGTTTATCTTTACGTTTTCTTTGTTGATAAATCTTGAGCTAGCTTTACTAATCTTGTAAATTATTTAAACTGGGTTTATATAAGGATACAGTAACTTTCGGTCTCTGCTGATAAAATTATATTTTCCATGCTGAATGTCAACACTGTTGAATTATGAACAAAAGGTGTCCTTATGCTGTCTTAAAAGTTAATGTTTACAGTTAAGTTTGATTTATTGTAATGTGTGTCAAGGGGTTAAAGATTTGTACGATTTTGATTGGATAATAATATAAATGAGAGAAAGTGCTCTTGAGCTGCCTGGAGATCGAGGCATTTTACATGTGTGCATTGATACAATGATATAAGAAAATTACGATGGATCAAATATGTTGACAGTTTTTATCAATCTTAAATTGCACTTGACAAAAATATATATTTTCCCTGCAGAGTAAATTTTTATTCAAGTGAGTAAAACAAAAATGTGCATGCCTTATTGTCAATAATTGTCAGGTAGCAAGGTTGTTGGTTCAAGTTACCTGTGATATTCTGGCATTCAAGTCGGTCCTTAGCATTGCGCTCGTACTATAGTTGTTAATACCAAAAACACATCCTTATATACTAAGAGCTGAATTGCTACTTGGGTGTATTTTTTCTTCAACCTGCCCAGTATTTCAATAGTTATCAACTCTGAATTGACAGATAATACAAAAAAAAAGATATTAATAACATGAAATTAATATTTGTTTTGACATGAAAGTTGTCTAGATTTTTCCTAGATTAGTGTTCTATTTGATGAAGGTTTGGACCAATAACTTGTATACGAAATTTCAGATTTGCACTCACTTTGCTTGAATAACGTTTCTAATTGTGAAAAAAAATAATCCAAATTTTGAAGCGTTGCAATGCTTTTCAATCAAATCAGGCTAAGAATAGAACAAACATATTACTATCAATTTATTTCTTTTTATATATCTTAATTATCCTTTGCATATCTCTGTTTTATTTGCCCCAGCTGATTTATGTAAGAAATTTAAATTTTATGTTTGAAGGCTTTTGACCTCAGTGGAGTTCCTGTGATTATCATTCAAATCGGTATAAATTTAATCGCAAACTTGCTTTTAAAAGGTATTGTCCGCTCTGTAGAATTTCAGTAGGTGGAATACTATAACTATCAAAATTTAATATATTATATATACTATATCTACAATGTTCATTAATGGTTTTTTGTATCTTGTTTAAATCATTTAAGAATTTAGAATTGACCAATTAATGTACTAATTAAGCTTTTGTTTGGTTGTATTTGTTATAATTGCTTGAAGGAGCGAAACAATGGGCTGCGCTTGATAAAGATTTTTTGGCAGCGATTATTTTGATGTTTTTTCACGATAGTGGAATAATTTAGTCCAAACGTCAGGGTTGAATTAGATAATAGTTACTGATATGACAGGCTAATTGATTTTCTAAAGACATTCTTTTGCATTATAATTTTATTTTTTTGACTTTTTGAAATGTTTGTGTGAATGTTTGATTATAGAACACAGAGTGTAAATGTAGATATATGTAGTAAATTAAAAGATTTATGAAGTTTGACTGGTTTAATCCAATTAAATTTTCATTTAACATGTCTGTTTTTGTCAAGTTAACATTTCAAAGATTGGCATAAAAAGTACATAAGGGAAGTCAGTTCAAGAAAATTAAATGCATTTAATATAGCCTTGATGCATGCCTCTGACACACAGCATCATCTGAATGAAATTATAGGTATAAGCCATTCTGCCAGCTAGCTGAGAACATAAGTAATTAACCTTTGCAACCAGTACAGAGCCAGGCCAAGCTTGCACATCTGTGAAGTCTTGTGTTGGCTGGTCAATGTTTGTGTTTTGATATTAAAATCCCTTCAAATTCAAATGTACTGTTCCAAAATCAAATCACAGTAGGTTGCTGTCCTTAAAAAAACAAAAAAAACTAAGTATTCATTTGTTGCAAGATATTGATGTAATATATACTCTGGTGTAACAGGAACAGGTTATGACAAGCTGTCAAATATTTATTTATAGCGGCATAAACTGCCGGGTTATCACCTGGGCTTAATACTCTATCAGGTTACGGTAGCCCCTTATTCTGTGTCCTATGATGCAGAAAGCTGGCACTTTGATGTTCTCCTAAGCTACCTTGATCAGAGTTATTTCTTTTGTTCTTTTTACAGCATAGCTATTTAATCCTGTAAGAATAACAAAGTAACGAACAAAAAAATCCAAGCCAGCTTAAATATGTTGTTGAACACATGTTCGATAACCGTGTTAATTTGGTATCAAATTTTCAGAAATTTTGCCACAATTTCCTCATTGATACGATAAGAACATCATTAGCATGGTGTGAAAGAATTTAGAGAAGATATTGTGGAGTATTTTTTTTTTTTAGGATATATATTACAAAACAAAGGCACCATGATTATACAACTTCTGGTAAACAATGTTTACTTCCATGTATACTAAATTTTGCAATTTTAAGAAAATTTTACAAAGTTGATACTTGATTTTAATACTTTTACACATTTGATTTACTGATCTTTTTCCTGAAAATGATCAAGGTGGTGAAATCTTAAAATTTATTTCCTTGTTTTGCAGAAATTTATTTTCTTTTCCTCTACAAAGTGATAGTTCCAATATAACTTCGAGTTGAATGAGATTTGTATGTACCAGACATTGGCTATTGTAAATCTTGTTGATATTGTATATTAGCATATAAAGAGCCCACTTGATGGCTGAAAGAAGAAATCTGTGTTGGTATTTGTATAACGGTAAACTTAACCTTGTTAACATACGCATTTCTAATGTTTTGTTATCGTCATAAATATCATTATTGTTTTACAGTTGAACAGACGGCATCCGGTCGTTGTTGCTAAAAAAAAAAAAGAACTAAATTTGTGTAACGGTTTTAGTATAAATTATTTGGTTAAGACGCCTTTCTCAAGTGTTCGAATGTTTAAATAAGCCCTATTGATGACCCAATAACTTCCGGTCCATGTACTCCATGTAAATTTGTCTGGTTGCGAGAAATCAATAGAAAAATGTTGAAACTGTCGTCAAAGTTATGTAGCGTAATTTACTCATATAGCTAGCCTACCTGAACTTTGTTCTGTTGTATAGCTCTCGTTCTTAAAAGTGATTTCAATAATCCACGGAGAAGAGGGGAAAAAAAAGGGAAAATCGTTAAGTGTCTTTGGATATAATTTGGGTGAATGTTTGCTTTTTCAGAGGTTTGCTCTTTTGAGATTACATTCTTTTATTGGGTTGTATTGCACTTTGTGAGTTGATTGTCAATATTTATTTGGTGATTTTATTGCAAGAATAGATAGATATTACGTTTATATGTGAATTCTTCTTTTTTTGTGTCTGTGTTTTGTAAATTTATGAAAAGGATTCGACTTTTGTTGTAAGGTTTTACTTTTTGAGGATGTAACAATTGTGGATAATGGGATTCGTATTTTACTTTAAGATTTTTTTTGAGTAGACTATTCATTTTTTTTAAGAAAGAATGCTTTCTTAGTGGAGTTTTGTTTGTTTAATGCTTTGTGTAGGTAGTTTAAATTTTGACATATTTGAATATCAGGGTATTATAAATACTATGTCACATAATAATTGTAGCTGGGGGTTCGAATCCTTCCATGTTACATTATAACTGGGGATTTGAACTCGACTATATCACGTAATACTGGGGTTTTAAACTGTGCTATATCACATAATAGCTGGGGTTTTAAACTCTACTATATCACATGATAGCTGGGGTTTAAAACTGTACTATAATGCATAATAGATGGGGTTTTAAACTGTACTATATCACATAATAGCTGGGGTTTAAAACTGTACAATATCACATAATAGCTGGGGTTTAAAACTGTACTATATCACATAATAGCTTGGGTTGTAAACTGTATTATATCACATAATAGCTGGGGTTTAAAACTGTTCTATATCACATAATAGCTGGGGTTGTAAACTGTACTATATTACATAATAGCTGGGGTTTTAAACTGTACTATATCACATAATAGCTGGGGTTTTAACTGTACTATATCACTTAATAGCTGGGGTTTTAACTGTACTATATCACTTAATAGCTGGGGGTTTTAACTGTACTATATCACTTAATAGCTGGGGTTTTAACTGTACTATATCACATGATAGCTGGGGGTTTTAACTATACTATATCACTAAATAGCTGGGGGTTTTAACTATACTATATCACATAATAGCTGGGGTTTTTAACTGTACTATATCACTTAATAGCTGGGGGTTTTAACTGTACTATATCACTTAATAGCTGGGGTTTTAACTGTACTATATCACTTAATAGCTGGGGTTTTAACTGTACTATATCACTTAATAGCTGGGGGTTTTAACTGTACTATATCACATAAAAGCTGGGGTTTTAAACTGTACTATATCACATTATAGCTAGGGTTTTGAACTGTACTCTATCACTTAATAGCTGGGGGTTTTAACTGTACTATATCATATAACAGCTCAGGGTTTGAACACACTTTATCACATAACAGTTGGGGATTTGAACCCTTCAATATCACATAATAGCTGGGAATTTGAACTATACTATATCACATAATAGCTGGGGTTTGAACATTACAATGTCATTTAATGGCACTGGTGATAAATGGCCTTATGTAAAGGTATTGATCTCTTAACCCTGGGTTTGTGAGGTCAAGCTCTACATGTTTCCTTATGTGGCACCAGTACTGGTTTATGCCAGGAAATGAACCTGAGAGCAATCTTATAATAAGCTGGGAATGCTCCTCACAAACAGTCTGAAATACATAGGTTTTAATTAAGACTGATTTTAAAATTTCTGGAAATATGTTAAATGCTAAAACTGTTGAATACAGAAAATGTGGTAAAAGCGTTTTTGTACCTTTAAATTATTTCACTTCATGGTGTTTTTTCTGCAGAATAATTAAATGTAGTATATGTAATATATTCAAGTTTTGATTTATTATTATGACTTTATGAGTCATAGAAATCCTATTGTGCAGTGCAGTTTTTACATTACGCGTAAATCCATAAATGTTTACCTGTTTAAACATTCATTTAATTTTTCCTCATTGCTGCCATTGCAATCAAAGTGTAATATGTTAAATGTTTTAAGTAGGAGTTAATACTTGGGGGAAAATTGAAACGTCATTGTTTTCTATTGATATTTACGAATTTATGATTTTGTTTATGGTTTATGATTTTGTGTATTATGTAAAACAAAAAAGTTTCTTTGAATAGCTGATAAACAAATAGCAAGGAGTTGAGATTAATTAATGGACTGCCATAATATATTCTGTATGGATATTACTTATATTTGATTGGTAAGTAAAATGAATTGGAATGAATTACGGATTTTGTTTGAATTACTTGTATATTTTGTTGTGCCATATTTAGATAGGTTTATTACTGTGTGATATTTTGAGGAAGCTAAATCATTATATAAATAACACATAGTTTTATATCAGTAAAAATAATTATCCAGGGGAAATTAATGTTACCGAAGGCGTAAGAATAACTCCCATTGGCCTATGAGAAATTAACTTTACAAAAATAGTGAGGGGTAATAATACAAAATATGATTGTTATTATTAAACAATAGCATTTATTGTTTGCCTGAAAATATGTTTTGAAATGAACTGAAAATGTTGATGATGATTTGTTGCGGTATTGAATACAATTTGTACAGTATGCTACTGTCACAGTTCAAATACCATGATAAATGTTTTGTATGATGTATTCAATAAAAATGCAAAATCACATGAATATTACCTCCATTTTGGAGAATTGCAATGTTGTCATTTTCTACCTCTTTTGTGAAGAGTTTACAGGAAGTTGAAGAATGGTATTTAATGTATATTTTCAGGGAGACGGACAGAGGGAGAGAGGGATTTACATTAAGTCTGTTGTACCGGAAGGAGCCGCTGCTATTGTAAGTGATTTAAAATCACAATTATAAAAAGTATGTCCCATACTATCAACTGTAAACCCATTCTTTTATTGTATTAAAGTTATTTCCTACATTAATGGACTTAAATTTAGGGGTTCCTGGCTAACAATAGTAGAATTTAGCTGTGAATTGTAACTGGTATGGCCATTCAGCATGGATATATCATGTATGTTTGGTCACTGGTCTTGTACCCTTTACTGGTAGTCTGTATGGGAAAGCATGATTCGATCAAGAGTTTGATTCCAGGCTGTTTAAATCTTTCGTTACTGGTGGCGAGGACTGACCATCATCCCAACCAGTTCCAGAGGGAATTCCAACGGTTGAAAAGGTTTTGTTATTGAGGTTTGAATGAAGGAATACTTCAATCTGTTTATTTTGTGGTTAAAAAAGTGGAATGTTTTAGATACCAAAGACTAAAATAAAATGGATATCTGTAACAATGAGGATATGATTTGATAAACAGATAGTAGGGTGATAGCTAGACAAAAGTGTTCAGAGAATGAGCGATAAAGATTGTCAGTTTAATCACATGCTTTTGACGGGCCATTATTGCATCATTATTTGTTTTTCCTTTACATTCTCATGAATAATAATAAACTTGTTCCATAATGCCTGTTTTGTTGTGAACAGCAATGCTGTATAGTATATAGTTGTATACCCAGTACCTTTTATATGGCTTCATTTTGAAAGCATGGGGAGAAAACTAAATCTCACATCAATGTCTAAATTAAATCAAACCGTACACAAAAGTGCATGTGAAGATTTGAAATTACCTTTAATCATGTCGGAGATTTGTATTGATTATGCAAATCGCATACTTGATCTCACCTGTCAGTCATTACGTTGAGGTCATGCACTGTCGCACGAGTGAAATTTACATAAAACGTACTACGATTTCCTGTAGTCTCATTCGGTAACGGATATAATTAAATTTTCAAATTTGAATTCAAAAGAATTTCAATTTGGCACGAAAGAAGAAAATCGGCCTTGAGTTTTTGTTACATTTGAAGAGTTGAACATAGAATATGGGATCTAAATAGGGTCTCTGTTATATTGTACTGTGCTTTAAAATTAAGTAATTAAGATTTATATTGCACTTAAGATATGTAACAATCCAGTTATATATTAAACTTCGAGTTAAAGGCCAGATAAATAAATCATATTCATTTCAAGTTTGAAAGTCTTACATTTCACTGTGTATTAAAATTTACTTTCAGTTTCCTTATTTTGATTTTTATTTAAACAGTAGTTTTTACCTGTATTTGTAAGTTTTAGAAAGAAGTAAATTCATTTAAATTTTTGTTACAAAAATTGCATTTTGATAATTCTGATTAAGTATGCAGATAATTGTTGTGGTAAATTTAAATGGTTTTGTGAGTAATTAAGTTTCGAGAAAATGAAATGAAGAAATTTGTCTTCATTTTAACAAATTTTACAAAATAATTGTGTGCATTTTGTTATTGTAATTTATGATACGGCAAGTGGGCGAAATAATATATTTTTCAAGTACAAGTAATTTGCCGCTCGTTATATTGTAAAATTATTCCTGTGTTTCCCTTCAAATGATGTTTATTAAAGAAACAAAAATAACTTTATTCTACAAACGCCTCTTCATTTTATATTTTATACGGTTGAATATGTCTGAAACATTAAGATTTATTAAGCGGAAATGTGTCTATTGTGTGCAAAAAAGATTTGGCTGGATAATTAAGTTTTGAAAACAAGAAACATATTTTAAATATACAAAATTATATATTGTTAATACTTAAGATACAGTGAAACCTGTTTTTAAGTCCATTTCTTAATAATGACTTTATATACATTATAAAATTATCACTAAAGGCCATATTATGTATTATGAATACATATTATAACACAGGTATCTTGACCTTGAACTTATATTTGACTGAAGTGAACTTTGACATTCGCTGATCGCAGGAGGCGTTAAGTACCATGAGTTTCTTATAACATTTATGAGAGTTTAACATATAAAAGAATGTATCAATAGTCCTTTTGTACCATATAACTGACTGCATTCTACTTTAGAGATCATCTGATGATTTTAATTGTGTTTCCCTTATAATGGTTTTTGTGTACAGGTGTTACTGTAGCAATAGCTGGGTGTGAAGATAACATTGCTTTTAAAATTACGGATAAACTTGTTTATAATGTACTTTCTGTGAAATAATTTTTTATAAATGTTTGTTAAAACTGAAAATGGGCTTGTTTACCTATAAAGAATGTATGGAATGCACACATTTTTGTAATCAACATGTAGTTCATGTTCTTGAAAAACAGATTAGGCCACTTTTACCTGACCACAAAACAATGCTGAAAATTGGAAGCAAAACCCCCCTTCTTTTATGAAGAGTATTTCTTGTGTAATATTAATGCTATTTAAAGATTATATCTATAACTGTGTAAATATTGACTCAGAGGAACGACTTTTGTTCAAAAAAGGAATTTCGCTATATGTAATTGAATTTTGTAGCGATAAGTCGATAAATGATTAACATTTTATTGTACGGGTTGTGCACGTTGAGAACGGAGGTTGTTTTGGATGAACTTTATAATTATTGAACTTCAAATTTTGGATACTTAGCTTACAAGAGGAAAAAGGGAATAAGATTAATTTACTAAAAGGGTTTGAGTGAAAGTTTTTGACAGGTGAGATCATGTGATGCAATAGTAATTTAATGATTTGTATTAAATCAGTATGACTTCTATGTTGAAGGTTTTAACATGTGATATTTTGTTGATAACATTCATATAAAGAAGATCAGTCAGTGTTGAATAAGGAAGGCTTAACCAAAATAAGTGAATCATACAGAAGATATTCAATCTATTAATAGTAACACCATCTATATACATGTGTTGTAAATATAGTTATTACAAGTGTTAACAAATATAGGAAGTACAAAAAAGTAATTAAATATTGGTACGGTACAAATTGAATAACACCAGTTATTTGTAACTTTAAAGTCCAGCTTCTCTCCAAAAATAGCATGGGCTATGACTTTTTAGACCTGGTAAAATCTCCACCCTACAGGGAGGACATTATAAGGGTTGTACAATTTTCACTTGTTTGTTAGCCTATATTCCTGTTAATTTTTTTGTTTTTGTGTAAAAATGTATTGAAACCACTGCATTGACCTATTATTTTCAATTTACTCACTTTTTAGAATTGCTTAATTCATTTATACCCATTAAAAGTTGCATTTTATTGCATGCCTTGTTTTTGGTACAGTGTCCAGTGTACATAATTATGTTTACAAAGTGTGATGAAAATTTCAACAATGTTATTTACATGATGTAATTTTCTTATGACAATGTAATTTTCTATTTATAGGATGGGCGACTACAAGCAGGAGATCAGCTGTTAGAAGTAGATGGCAAAAGTCTGGTGGGATTAACTCAAGAAAAGTAAGTTTTGTTATCTCTTATACGTACAAACTATTATCATTATAGAATGTGGCTTCTGAAATGTTTTTAGTTATCGAGTGTCTATATTAGTGTTATCCGTTTGAATACAAGAGGACCTTTTACACTTTTACTCAGTCTGATATACAGCCTCCGTGGTCGAGGGGTTAGAGTCGATGACTTCTAATCCAGTTACCTCTGGAGTGGGTTCGATCCCCGGGAGATGCTTTGGTAGTTTAGCACGGAGGAAGGTAGTCTAGTACTGGTGTAACTCTCCAGGAACGATGGTTAGGAAACTACCCGCCTATATGACTGAAATACTGTTGGGAAAAGGCGTAAAATCAAACAAACAAATAAAACTGTCTGATCAGGCTTAATTTTAACATTTTGGTTAAATTGGCAACAGATTGTTCAGAATCCAAAACACAACATGTTATTGTGACAATAATGTTTAGCCATTAGGTATAAGTATAGTCACAGTTTTGTACATCAAGGTCCTTGTCAGAGATTTTAGATTTTTGTTGAAACAAATTTCAGTGAAACAATCATATACATGAAATACCTTTGATAAATTACATTTAGTATATAAATAAACTTTTTTATTTGTGTTGATGAATATTGTATATATGTTTAATTTACAGCGCTGCAAAAGTTTTCTTCTCTTCTTTGTATATTTTCATTCAGTATGATATACATTTTCATTTATTTATATTTTCAAATGGTATTGTATAATATCATGTTTTATTTACAGAGCGGCTGAGCTTATGACTAGGACTGGTAATACTGTAACATTAAAAGTTGCTAAACAAGGTGCCATCTACCACGGCCTAGCCACACTCCTCAGTCAACCATCACCCATCATGCAACGAGGTTTGTGAACTTTTTCTAGCAAGACTCTGTTATACACTTGTTAGTTATGATTAATAAAATAGATATTAATGTAAAAGTTACAAATTTGAGCCACAAGATTTGTAATTAATGGGTCAATGGTTTTAATCTTTGGGCAAGGCAAAATTTCCCAGTGAGAATTGATCTCGGACCTTGATGCCTTGGTCATATGCTTAGAAATTAGTAATTACTGGTTAGTTATCCAGGACACTGGTTAGTTATCCAGGACACTGGTTAGTTATCCAGGGCACTGGTTAGTTATCCAAGACTCCGCTTAGTTATCCAGGACACCGCTTAGTTATCCAGGACAGCCAGTTAGGTTGACCAACTGCCAAGGTATAACCCATATATGTTGAAATGGGTATAAAAAACTAGACAAAATTATGTCTGAGGTACAAGCATGCAGTTGATGCAACAAACTTGAACCTTGTAAATTAGTGTAAGAATGATAGTTACAGATCTGTTGTAATTTGAAATAATGCATTAACTGAATATAACAGCAGGTGTGACCAGTGTTATCTTGCATGTATGTTTTTGTTGAAGTATCATGCAATAGAAATGTTGTATACCTGAACTTATGTTGTCTGTAGACAGTGTATGACATTAAGATGTTGCATGTATTTGGTACAAACAAAATATACATGATTTGCACTTTACTTGAAACTATGAAATTTTGTGAGTGACAACAACTCAATAGTAACCAAAACACATTTAATGGTTTAGATGTTTCCATGTTTAGTCTAGCAAGTTGTGTTTTTGATGCAAGGAAGACAGTTTGATAAAAGTCTGTCTACAGCATATATTAAAAGTTAAAGATAGCATTTTGCTTTATAATTTTGCAACCTTGTGAATGATTTAAGTAATTGGCCTCTGTGGTCATATAGATAAAGAGTTGCTGTTGATCAGCATTCTACCAGGAACTCCTGATACTCTAGTGTGAGAAAGTTATCCAGTTAGTTTATTAGTTTTTGGAAGGTGGTTGGTTTATTCATGTGCCCACCCGTGCTTGCACATAAAATTTTCATCCAATAAAAAAGCTGGATAGTCAGTGTTGGTTTGATGTTAAACCAACAACAGAAAAACAACAAAGAAAACCCCATCAAACTTAAGTTGATTCATGCAAGTAACTTGCTGTAATAATTACAATGTAACCTTTGCGGATCAGCGCTATGTATAGCAATATACTCATTAAAACAACAGTTACTGTATAACTTCCTCCTTAAGTAAGACTTTCGCTAGAAATGAAACCTATCTAGAGCATCAACTCGGCAACAACCAAAATCGTTGTCTCCCAATAGGTGTTGTTTTACAGAGGTTTTACTGTAGATGTAAGGTCAGCTAAGTTCACCGTATTTAATTGATTATATGATCATGATTATTGTCATTAAACATAACATTCATTCAGATGAATTCATTGTCTTGTCTCGACAGTTGTTGTTAATGTATCTTAATGAATATTTTATCGAAGCATTTTCAGTATCCAAAGTTTTCAAGTTAGTGAGACATTCCAGGGCAGATGTATTGATGTTATTTACTTAACTGAAGCAGATTTGGAAATAAAATAGTTTAAATATTTTTCTGGCCTTTTTGTGTTGCCTAGATCACTTCTCCATTGTCCGTCTGTTCGTCCGTCCCTTGTCCGTCACAAAGCTTGTATTTTAAAAATGTTGCTTTTTTCTTACAGCTTCCCCTCAGAAGACCCCTATGACACCTAGTAAACAGCGCCCTGGCGAGGACGGCCCACCTCCCTACAATGGCATGCCAGAAAATGATCGTAGACCAGGCATGCAGAAAGGTACACTGCCTCGTGATATGAGAGGTCAAGGTCTTCGTGGCCCTGATAGTAGATCTTCTCCAGCTCTCAACAGTATGTATCTGACTGAAAATAACCTCGTTATTTACAAGGGGTTTCTAAAAGGCACTGCACAATAGGATAGTTATAGTGCTTGTTACAGTGGAATATGACAGATATGTTTTTGGCCTATTCAGTTTCATGGTTATTAAGCCTTGGGTTAGGTCACACCTAAACTTTCTTGAGGTAAAGTTTGAGGTCAAGGTATACCATTGAAGCTTACATGAAATTTTCTGATACTGTCATCCACTACACTAGCAATCACTATAACTTACATAACATTATTTCCGAGTATTAAATACTTATCTAGCGATCTCATGTATTGGTTTCAGCTCGCCACAAATCAAGGCGAAAGAGATCGTCTTTTAAGCGAGAGAGACGTAATACATGGCATACAGGCATTGTTCCAGAAATGGTTGAAACAGTCGAGAAGCGGGACAAACTGGTCTCGGTTGAGTACACTATTCCAGGCTACAGGTCGGGACGTAAACTTCCACCCAATTATCAAGCAAGAAAAGAAATAGAAAAGTTAAAAGTTCAGGTCCCTATTAAAGTATTGAAACAGAAAGTGGAAGCCTGTGAATTACGAGATTACCGCGCAAAAGCTGAAAAATTAACACCTAAGGGGGAGTACTTTGGAATGAAGAATTTTCATAGGTCTCTATCACTGGCGAGTTACTTTAGTCGTGGAACCTTATACAGTTACCCACGAAAAACTAGCACACCTTCGTTAATTGAGCTCGTATCTGCTGAGGATGGCGGCGGAGAGGATGATGTTTTTGAAAGTGGTTTAAGTTCAAGTCGATCTGAGCCAGGGACGTGTTACCCCTCGTCAAGCCAGCAGTCAAAAAGCGACTCTGAGCTTATGAGAAGTTGGCTTGCTAGAAAAGATAACAATAATAATAATGATCTGTTGAAATCAAATAAGAAATTGAATGATTGTGAAATGTGTTCAAACAGTAAGTTGTATCTGTGTGCAGTGATGATTGAAAAGTTTACTTAAAAAAATCATTCCATATGGACACCTATTTGCTTTTCATGTAAAATTTGTATTTTCCAGAACAAATTTCTATTTTACTTAAATATGAAACAAAATGTCTTCATATTGTACTTTCTTATATTTGTTTTCATATAAAATGCTTTGCATTAAACTTCTTGGATAAATGGTTTGAACAAGTATTCTTTGTGGAACTGTTTTTATTCAAGAATATTTAAAATCAATGCTTTGGAAATGATGTGAATTTTCATAATTGTAATTTAATATTTTGTAACTTTATTTTAGGTGATCAACCAATGTCTGCTGCTGAAAGGTTACATGTGCAAGCACCTGGTCACCAGGCACCGCATCCGCACGGTCACCACAACAGACGTGGTGATAATCGTGATATGATGGATAAATCAAAATCTATTCCAAACCTTCACATTGACAATTCTTTCGATGGCCGACATGATCCAGGAGTGATGCGGCCAGCACAGAGTGTAAGTGCGTTACAGCGCAATCAGAACCCTGACTATTATAATCAGCCTCATTCACTGGAGGATTCAAGAAGTCACGATTACGAAAATCAACCTATTGACCCAAGAATTAGGGATCAGAATAGAGGATATCCAAATACGAGTCAACAACCATCGCCCAGAACGCAATACAATCGTCCACCTATGCACCAATCACCAGCAAGAACTGCACAGAATTTTGAAAGACCACAATCACAGTTTATTGCTCCTCATGATAGGCCAGAGTTAAGGAACGGACGTCCAAAGTCAGAGGAGATCAGTCAAGAGAGATTGAGAAATTGGCAGGATGGCCAAGGGTCTCCTCATGACAGTTTCGAAAATAGAGTACCTAACTATAGCAATATTAGACCGCAACCTAATTATGCAAATCAAGGTGAGATTAGAAAGATGGACATGGGCAACCAGTCGAAACAGCCAAACTTTTACGAAAATACGTTACCAAGGCAACAAGAACCAACGCCTCCATTCCAGCAGCTAAGGCAACCGGAAGAAGAAAAGTCTAAGCCAATGACAGCACCAAAACCGTCAGTGGCACCAAAACCAAATCAGCCAATGGTACATCCTACAGAGATTCCAAGATCAGACATAGATAACAGACAAACTCAACCTCATTTCTACAACCCACAGCTTAGAGATAAACCAGTGTATCCCCAGGCATCACAGAGTTTTAACACTTCACCCAACTCTCAGAGTCATTACCAAAATACAAGCTTCCATGATGGTCGAGCAGATTTTAGAAATAAGCATTCCCCAGGGGGAAGTGATATGCACAAGAGCCCAAATATGTCAAGTAACATGCACGAAATTCCTCCAGAACTGCCGCCACCACCGTCAATGGATGAATTGCAAGATGAAGAATTACCTCCCCTGCCTCCACCACCAGCTATGGATTACAGACTTGAACAAAAAATACGTGAAGAACAGAACAGACTTTTACAACAGCCTCCCTCTGACCCAAGTTATAGCAATCTTCCTCCACAGAATAGCAGAAATCAGCCATTTTCCACTACATCAATAATGCGTGACCCAAGGTCTGCAACTCAACCTGGGAACCAGTCACTTCCACCCAATTCTGCTGGTTACCAGCCTCCAATGAGTTCTGGGTACCAGCCCCACCATCCGACCGGATATCAGCCTCCACATTCAGCTGGTTTCCAAATTCATCAGCCACAGTCATTGCCAGTACAGTCAGCTGGGTATCAGCCTAACCATGACTACCAAAATATTAACTATCCAAACAGAAGTATGGAGCACAGTCCATCTGCCCAACAGCCACATCAACAACAACAACAAAATTTGTACGAATCATATGATCCAAGAAAAACGCAGTCAAATCTTAGGCCCGCAATTCATACCCAGATCAAAGATCAACGCGAAACAATTTTGTCGCCATGGCAACGTGAGGAGAAAGAAAAGCAACTCAAAGAACAGGAAGAAGGAATGAATCGTATACGCGAGATGGAGATCGCTGAATTGGAGTCTAGACCACATCGGACACCACAAGAGGAAGAACGTTTACGAAAACTAAGACTGGATGCAGAGTTTAATAGGAGATTACAAGAAGTACAGAACAAAGACGAAGACGATGATTCCGACGATGATAGATTTGTAAGTAGGAGTTGCACAACTTAATGCTTGTTTGTACTTTGATAATTATATTAATGTTGAAATTGATGTAGAATTATCAATGCAACTTTTGCGTAGTTAACAAATAATTCATTACAAAACCCGGAAAAATTTATTTGATAGCTATAAAAGTATAAATGAATTACGAGGAATTTTAGAAATAAAGTATGGTGCATTTTTTATTTAATTACAGTAAAATTATACCATTTTAATTACAGTAAAATTATACCATTTACATTGTATATTAAATAGATGAAGAAAAAGGTACTGCAAAATGATAATTAGTTAAACTCTTAACTTACTGAATTTAGACTTGTCCAACTTTTATTATTGTAACTGTCTGTTATCAATTTTAGTTATATGAAGATGAACATTATTTTGAAGTTAGTCAGCCAACAGTATAGAGCCTTGTCACACTGCACAGAAGTGCAGGCCGGCCTGAGACTGTACTGTTAACAAAGGCTTATATACTATGTTTCCAAGTTCTGGCTTAATAATAATGTATAGTGTGATAGTTTGCTTTCTACGAACCTTTCCGGTTTTTCGTAGCGGAGCATTTAGTCACACCTTTTCCATTCATTGCTAGGTCAGCTGCTCACAAACAGTATCACAAACATAACCATGTGTTCTTTTGTGCAAACCAGGTCAACCAGTGACTATGTATTATCTCAGTGTAGCAATTGGTAACAAGTTAGCCAATTTACATTTAACTGTAAACACTGGAAAGGTCCATAATGTCATTGTGATGTATTTGCACTGAATTAACTTTCTGTTCTGTTCTAAATGTTGTGATTTTCTTGTGCAGGTAAGTGCTCGTATATCAGTGCAGGGATTACAAGAGGATCTTGTGAAGAGTCGGATGAAGATGCAGGAATTAGAGCAGAAACGTCAGTACGAGGATATGGAGAAAGAAAAAGAGCGAATGCAGAGGTGAATTATCTTAATGATACGAGTCTCTGCGCATTTATACATGAACTCAAAGAAATACCCCATTTTCATTGTAACAATGCATTAATTGGTCAGATTGTTGAGCAATTTTTAGAAGATACTAAAACATCAAATATTTTTGTGCGAATATTTGCCGAAATAATTTGAATTTGGTGTTAATTTAAAGTGACATTATGCCCATCCCCAGATTAGCTAGGAAAATGCTAAATATTCTTATTTCCATAGTAAGTCTACTGAGCTCAACAATGGACAAAATTGGGGAATAATGTCACTTTAAAATTAGTATGTTCCTGTATTTGATATTTTTAGGGTGATATCTTTTTTTCAAAAAGCACGGGATATTTTTTTAAAGCTAAAGCATGAACTATTATATGGAATAATGATTCTTATAATGTGATTTGTGGTAAAATAGATGATAATATCTAGGGGTAGAATAACGAATAAAGGGAAGATAAGCGAAACAATGCTCATGTATAATTCAGGGGAATTTTGAAAAATAAGCAGCCACCGCCTATTGCTGAGAAACCTGAAGTGGAAGCTCCCAGTGTATCAGTGAAGAATGTTTCACAAGGGTATAGTACTCTTGCAATGCATTGCAGTCAGGCACTGGGAACTGGGGATCATGTTTTTCTTTATAGATTTTTTTTAAGTTTAGATGTTGCCGTAGAATAGCACAAGTTTCATCACTTGATTGTCATGTTGTTTTTTCTTCTTCTCCATTTTCATTGATTTCAGAGTAATATTCATGATTAAATTGAGGATATTTTTAGAATATATCTGGTTACCTAAAATTCTTGCTATAATTAACCCTTAACCTGCTGAATTTCTGAAATGGACTTGTCCAACTTACATTTTTGGAACTGTCCATGATCAATTTAAGGGATGTTAAGATAAAAAATTTAGAAGTAAGTCAGCCAACAGTATAGTGCCAACTTGTCTGGCTTTTATATTGGTGGCAAAAGAATGAACACTTTCAGTACCATCAACGCACTGGAACTTGATATTTAATCAATAAATCACAAAATGTATGTGTATTAAAGTTACAGCCTTATCTCTATAAAAGTATTATTTTTTATAGTGATAAGGGCTGATATATTGATTAAATGTCCTGTGATCAGGGTAAGGGTTAATATTCTTATTGAGAGTAGAATTTTTGACATTAAATAATGGTATTATTTAAAATTCTGCTTTATGGGGGTTTCATAATAAGAATTGGCTTAGAAGCTTTTTGAAGATTGCTTTCTTAGAAAGATGATTTTAGAAAGAATATTGCATGCAGTAGATGGGTGTCACATTTGTGATAGAATTCTGTCTTCTTATTATTATTTTTTTCTGATAGGTATTATGAAAATGAATGCTCAATGATGAGCTTTAAGGGTAGAGGGCTTGCTATCTGTTGTCAGTCATACTTACAGAACAGTTGATAAATTTTAGGCAGTGAAAGGGTTGATTGAATAAATCTTCATATCAAGTTTTGTGTGGAAAAAAAACAACTGCCCTACACTCATCTCTGTGCTGTTATATTTTACTGATTATTGAGTCATCAAATCATGTCTACAATTTTCATGTATTTTTTTTTTTCTGTTTTCATTGCTCAAGATGTGTCCAACCTTTTCAGAATCTTAGCTCAAATGATTCATTAATAATATCTTAGACAAGTTCAAAATTTTATTAATTTGGATTTGTAATTAGGGTGCCTGATCAAATTTAAAATGATTCCTAATAATAATTGCAGACAAGTTCAAAATTCGGTTTTATTGGATTTGTAATTAGGGGTGCCTGGTCAAATCAAGAGGGATACTTAGTTCTCACTGATACAAGTTGATTATTAATTCAAGTTACCCTATTTCGTTAAAAGTGTTATGAGCCGTGTCATGACAAAACCAACATAGTGCGTTTGCGACCAGCATGGAACCAGACCAGCCTGCGCATCCGCGCAGACTGATCAGGATCCATGCTATTCGCTATCAGTTTCTCTACTTGTAATAGGGTTTGTAAGCGAACAGCATGGATCCTGATCAGACTGCGCGGATGAGCAGGCTGGTCTGGATCCATGCTGGTCGCAAACCCATTATGTTGGTTTTGTCGTGACGCGGCTCTTATGGTGACTGATATAGAGCAGTCTTGGATTCACTAAGGACAAAAAGGTAGTAATAGTGCACTAGACAAGATCTGTATTTTAGAATTCTAGTAGTAAAAATTTTCTTATATATAAAAGAAAATTTTTCACACTAGAAATTTTCACATATATACGGTTTTGGGATAAATGTTCACATTTTACAAGGGAAATTTTAACTTTGTTGAAATTATTTACATATATGGTTAAAAGTGATACATTTCATATTAATTTTGTATTACATTTTCATTTGTAATTTTATCACATTAACTGCCAGAAAATGTTTACATTTATGTGTATGGGTGAAATTTTTGCTGCTTTTTAAAAGGGCTCGAAGGGAGTTTAAATTTTATTCATTTGCTGCACAAAGCCTACTGCCATGCAGAAACAAGTTTACTATGAAATTTTATAAATTAAATGTATAGATGGAGCACAAAATGTCACTGATTTATTAAAATTGCACACACAATGCCACATTTACTTTAGCATGTTGCATAAAAGCTATATATTGATACTGTGAAGTTAAGTTCCTAGGGTGGCCCTTGTGGGTTGTTGGTGGGTGGGGCAGGGGGCTTCTATTTGTTCGGGATGCTGGCTTCCAAATGAAATAAAATCTTACCTGTGAAACTCTGAGCAATGAGCTGAGTTTTATCAAATGCATTGTGATATTTAAAAAAAAAAGTTAGTTTGATTACATGAGAAATTGTATAGGTTTGATTTAAACTGATATTGTTTATGTACATGTATAATTATCTTAAGTACGGCATGTTATGTTTACAGGTTAGAACGACGTATTGAGATGTTTGAGAGGGAACGCGAGGATACTAAACAACGACAACAACGACGCATGGAAAAACAACAGCGGGAACAAGAAGAATATTTTAGAAAACAAAAGGTATTTGTTTGAAATATAAAATCTTAACATGAATTTGTGTTGCTGTTTTGGCATGCTTTGGAACTGGGAACAGTCCATTAAAAAATTAAGGGATTTTATTATCAAAATAAACATGTTTAAAAATAGTTAAAAATTAAAAAAGAAGAAATAAACATGTTCAAAAAAGTAAAAAATACAGAAATAAAGATGTTTAGAAAGGGTAAAAAAATAGAAAATAAATATGTTCAGAAAAAGCAAAATATAGATGTTAAAAAGGTTTAATTAAGAAGTAGTGACAAATTATTAATATTTAAGTATCTATGTTTTATATTACAACTTTATATTACAACTTTATATTACAATTATCAGGAGGCTCGTGAACAACACCGTCGAGAGATTGAGGAAAATTTACGTCAACAGAGACTAGAGGAGGAAAAATTACGAGAGAAGAAAAGACAGGAAGAGGAACGAAGAAAAGAAATGGTAATTTATTTGTAATTTTGTTGATATTTTAGGTTTAGTGATCTCTAGTCATGTGATAAGATGATAATTATATCAAGTATGGTATATTTTCCGAGGTTGCAAAATACAACAACAAGGAATAAAACAAAACGGACAAAAACACAATGTGTTCTAGATATTGATGACATAGAAAACATATGTTTGAATATTGAATGCCTTCTATTACAGAGGTTTCATATTTATCGTAAAGTGCATCTTCATACATGGTTTTAAGTTGTAAAGAAATCAAATTCTTACATTGTTGATATTTATTTCATGTGACATTGTAAATATTGTGTTGCTATTATATTTCAACCTGTGTTATTTGATAATGAAAGGTTTATAATGTTTTAGGAGAGACAGAGACAGAAAGAAATTCAGGCTCAGAAAGAGGCTGAGGAGGCCCGAGCTCGGGAAGAAATACGTAAACAAGAGGAGGAGTACCAGCGGCAACAACTTGCTGAGCAGGAGCGTCGTAGACGTGAAGAGGAACGGGAAATCAGAGTTGCGGAGGAGAAAAAACGATTAGAGGCCCTAGCTTATCAGCAAAATCAATATTATTCACAATACGAAAACTTGCCGCCTCAGGGTTCTCCAAAAACTGTGCCAGATCATTATAATCAAGGTCAGTATGGTGGTCCGCCCCCACCAGAGAGACAGTCTTCGTACAATACAGGAAGAAACATGAACGCACGTGATGATAACATGGATAGGTATAACGGTGGTTATCACACCAATCCTCCATACGGAGGTCAGGACAATATGCCCTCGAAAAAATCTGTATCATTTAACCCACAAGTGAATTTAGAAATGGGGCAAGGAAGCCCCGCACATAATTCATCATATCAGCCATTTCAGAGGGCGTACACACCACCGGAGTCGCAAAGTATGTCACGTACAAACTATTCTCAGTCACAGTCAGTGCCAGTCAGTTCTGTGCCGTCACCCACTGTAAACAATAATGATATCAAATATAGAACTCAAGAAAATACACCGACGGTGATTGGTTCGCAGGAAATATATCGCGATCCGAGATCTAGAATCGAAGCAAAAATGGCGAACAAAAATAAACAAAATGCTGATAGATTATCGTTCAGAGACAAGATGAAATTCTTTGCTCAAGAAGCGGGGGAGCATACTCCGAAGGAGAAACCAAAAGCATCGACAAGCCAGAGACGTATTGAATCTCAGCTACTATATAACGGGCAGTGAATCTAACTCCACATTATGAATTAAAATGAATATTAAGAAGATATGCAAGTAAAATCTCGGTTACCTTGAACTAACATCAAGGTGTAAATAATGAAAGCAAATATAGAGAAGCACTGGCAGAATAAGTGCTTTACAATTGTGTTCAGAGGGGTGAATTATGAGAACATTTCGTGTTGTGTCCGAGAGTGACGGGGAATTTTACGTACTCTCACAAATTTTAATGGACAAGATTTTACGGATAATGAAACTCTTGGTTGTGCTTAACATTTTATTATGGAATGAGTTGTGAACAACCGCTATGTGATATTCAGAGATTTGTTTCGATATTTAAATATGCGTGTAAAACTTAATATAGAGTATGTATAAATGCGTAAACGTTTACAATGGCTGATACAAAGCAATAATCAATAACAAAAAAGGGAAAAACATCATGGCGCACGTAATTTATGCAGCAGGTCTCGTCTTTTGTCAGATAGTTAGCATTTATTATGTAAATAGTATATATTTTTTTACATGATATGTACATTTGTATGTAACTATGTATTTTCTACATGTATTATACTGCATTCCACATTATTATCATCATAATTGTGATACTTGTACTGGGTTGTTAAACAATTTTTTTTTCGTTATCTCACATCAAAATAGTTACTGTTTGATGATAGTGATTTTTTTCTTCCCATCTCTTAAAACCTTATTAGATATTTAAAAACTGTAGTATGTATTATATAGTAGCATTTTAGGCGAAAATTCTCATGTTTATTCAACAAATTTGTGATTATTTAATATCCGTGGGCCAGGTGCAATAGAAAGTGCATCTGGCCCAAAACTGCTTTTTCTTGGAAACTAAGACTCTGCTGCCTCTCTCCTATGATATTAGTTTTGACTTTTTCTGAACCTTAATTATAGTTCATTTGCAATTGACAAAAAAGATGTTTAATGCTAATAAAATCTATTGTCATTATTTTAATTGTCAGCGAGCACCTTGTCAGCAGACTTGTTTTCAGTATGTAACGTTTTTATCTTGTATTAAAACTGTACATCTTTGGTATAAATTTGATAGGATTTTAAAATTGAACTAATAAAAAAAACACGCAAAACCAAGGCACATTCTAGACTCTGTACTAACAATTGTGGAACACAGAGATTTTTTTGTTGCTGAAATTTCGTTAATTCCACTTGAAAAAAAATTAATAGATTTAAAAAAACAGAAAATTGAGTGAATATCTATTGAAAATTACTATTATATAAATTAAATAATTATCTTATCAATTAATTAATTAGCAGATTATGAATATCTATATATTTTGGTTGCTTGCATTTTTCTCTATGCTGTACTTTTATATTATTTCTAGGATTTTTTTTTCTGTTTGTTCTGGTGTTGTCTGACTTTTTACGTATTTCTGTTTCGAACGTTACGCAGGAGTGAGCGACTTGTTTGTTGATCAACTTGTCACTTGCCTGTATCTGTTAACGTCATTTGAAACAAAACGTGCATAAATGTGTAACGTTGAATAGATTTTTATGGTTTTCATATATATATATATTATATAAAAGTATCATAACATATCACCGATCAGTTGTTGTTATGTTTGTCTATGTACATATTTTAAGATAAATATTTTTACAAGAAATTGATATTTGATATAAAAAGAAATACATTACAGAGGCCTATATTATCTCCCTCATTGTCGCAGTTTAAAAACACCTATGCATGAAATGGTTGTGTAATTAATTGTGTTTTATTGTTCTACATTGTTTGTTGTTACATTTTCACATTCATCCATTGGAAAATATTATTTTATACAAGATTTTAAGTATCGAATATAAAGAGAAAATGAGAATTTATAAGAAGGATACAATTTGACTTGGATTTATGATGAAAAATTCTGTAAGAATTTGGACTGCAAATTAAAATTGAATTTGTCATCTATTTTGTACAGAGAAGTTAAAAACAATAAAATATCATGTTGATAATCATGTTCAAAAATAAAAGTAAAAAAAAATGCAATATTTTTTTAGTTACATAAGCTTTCATTCATTGAGTCATAAAGAGGAAAAAAAACCGGTAAAAATTGTATTTCATCGAAATCTCATAGACTTGTTTTATAATAATCTAGGTTTCAATACACAGTAAAAAACTGTATATGGAAAATTAATATTTTATTAACACAGTATTTTGGATATAGAACCACTTTTTAGTACAAGACCAATTATAATATTACACAGAATATTTATACAGCTATCTAAAGAATGGGAAAAACTTTTGTACTGTATAGTATTTATTTATTATTTAAGAAGTACTATAACATATCATTTTTAACCCTCGAGCGGAAGTATATGTCTTATATTTGTGTCCTTTTCTTTTTATTACTCAAGGAAATAATTGTTCTACTTTTCAAATCAAGAAGTTTTATCATAAAAAAATCATTGACGAATCTGTAATTTCATTGGTCAGGTGAAGTTAATCTAGTTTTACCTCAAAATCTAACATGGTTAGGAAAAAAAAGCCAGTTAAAGTATAAATAGATTATTTAAAAAGTGCCTTATTGTTATAAGAAATTTTACCTAATAGTTAGAGCCTATCTGTTTCTACTGTAAAGTTATTTCATTAAATGAAATTTACTGTTATCATCATATGTAGATTATGTTAACTCATCGCTGATTTTTAGCTCGACTTTTCTATGAAAAGGGGAGCTATCCTACTCGCCCCGGCGTCGGCGTCGGCGTTAGCGTTGGCGTCACACCTTGGTTAAGTTTTTCGTACCACCCCACTTTATTTCAGAAGTATTACAAGTATGGCTTTGAAACTTACCATACTTGTTCACCATCATAACCTCCATCTACAGACAAGAGTACATAACTCTGTCAAGGTTTTTGACAGAATTATGGCCCTTTTTTGACTTAGAAAAGTGTATTGAGCTTGGTTAAGTTTTTTGTACCACCTCACTTTATTTCAAAACCATTGGAGGTATTGCTTTGAAACTGACCATACTTGTTTACCATCATAACCTTCATCAACAGACAAGAGGACATAACTCTGTCAAGGTTTTTGACAGAATTATGCCCCTTTTTGACTTAGAAAATACATTGAATATGGGTAAAATCCACTTATTGCCTTAACCCTTTGAGATATTGCTTTGAAACTTTTAATGCTAATTTCACATCATTACCCCATCTGTACGCAAGAGAAGGTAACTCTGTCAAGGATTTGTTTTAAAAATTAAGGCCTTTTATCGACTTAGAATCTTGGTTAAGTTTTTTGTACCACCTCACTTTATTTCAAAACCATTGGAGGTTTGCTTTGAAACTGACCATACTTGTTTACCATCACGACCTTCATCAACAGACAAGAGGACATAACTCTGTCAAGGTTTTTGACAGAATTATGCCCCTTTTTTGACTTAGAAAATACATTGAATATGGGTAAAATCCACTTATTGCCTTAACCCTTTGAGATATTGCTTTGAAACTTTTAATGCTATTTCACATCATTACCCCCATCTGTACGCAAGAGAAGGTAACTCTGTCAAGGATTTGTTTTAAAAATTAAGGCCTTTTATCGACTTAGAATCTTGGTTAAGTTTTTTAGTACCAGTCCACTTTTTGACTGAACTGTTTGAGATATTAATTTGAAAGTTGGAATACTTGTTTACAATCATGATTCCCAAACATGTCCAGGAGAAGGTAATTCTGTCAAAGATTTTATTTGAATTATGGCCCTTAACTGTCAATGTTTTGTATTATAGGCAAGCACTAAAAAAGTCGAGCGCGCTGTCTTACGGACAGCTCTTGTTCTATTCTTTGTTTGTTTCCCATATTTGACCTTTGAGGACCATTTCATAGACTGCTAGACAACAAAACACTGTAGGGAGATATAGCTCCGAACTTTTTTCTAAATGCCAGATAAAATAAAACCATTATATCGGTCATATTTTGTGTTTGTCTTTTATTTATCGATGTACGACATTTACAAATATTGAATGTCTGAAGTGATCCTAAGCAGGTGGTATGTGCCGACAATATGAATTAGTTTCAAGAAATGAAATCATAAGACTGTTTGTTACTATGTCAGTGGCTTAGTGCAAAAAGGTTGTAACCCATATGACATAAAGATGGAGTTATCACACTTTCGCACCAAGCAGTCGATATGTTCTCTAAGCCTGCTGGTGGAAACCGGGTTTTCCCATAAAAAGGATTTAAAAAAGTTAAAGCTATCAGATCTTTGGCCCCTGCACTAGGGCACTTTTTCAGCCCAGTACTTTTTTTAAAAGGGTTTTCCCTAAAAATAAGGGTTTTGGGTCCATTTTAAAAAATAACAAGTCCTTTTAAAAAATTATAAGGTATATTTTGGGGGTAAATCGGGACGGGCTGAAAGTATGGGTTTACTTTTTTTGGTTTAAAAAATTAAATTTTTCTTTGTTTAATTTTGAATACACGTGCAAAAGGGGGAAGTTTTTTACCACTTTTTACATACAATTCAAAATTACTTCTTTGGGACGTGATGGTAATTTTTATTTGGGTCCATTTAGTGCTATATAGGCACTGGGGATTTTTGTTCAACTTGGAATATTTGACACACAAACTACCTACTAAATACAAGACAATAAAATTTATGTGAAGGAGAAAAGTACTGTGAATATCAAATTTCTTTATTTACTTTATTTTTTTGCCATCCCAAAAGAATGTCATCTCCAATAGTTTTGCCAAATGTTATGAAGTACCTAGGATCAAAGTTTGTTCAGACATTTTTTCACCTGGCATGGACCACATCACAGTAAAATCGATGAAAAGATAAAACATCTAAACTGATTTTCTCCTTGGAAAAAAGGTTGAAAATTCGGATTAAATTCCTTGAAATGACATTGCATATTACATGGGGATGACCAAAATATCAATGACCTTTATCATGTTGTGTTAAACCCCTTTTTTTATGGAGAAAGGGCCAAAGTCCCCTGTCTTAAACTTTAATCATAGGACATTTTTCTGGGTTTATGCGAAAAATTATTTTGGGGCTTTTCTATTCAAACAATTGGAAATTACTTACTCGACCCCGCTTAGGCATCACACTGGGTTTGTTTTTTCATGAAAGTTGGAATTTTCTAAAAAAATTCTAAAAAGGGAAAATGGGTTTTAAAATTCACCATTTTTTTCACGTGATCATCTATATATTTGGGGGGGCCAGAGTTTGCCCCTTTTTCTTTAAAATTGAATTAAAAAATATGATCCTAGTTTCATGGGTTTTAAACCCCCGTAGGGGCAAGGGGTTTTTTCCTTTTTAAGGGAAGAAAAAATTTCCCTTTATTTTCTTTAGGGACTGGGTTTGGGGCCAGGACGGAAACGAAAGTGGTGTCTATAAGCTTTAGCTTATGATTTAAAAAATAAATTTCTGTATAAAACCAAAAATAAGAATTTGGCAAGTGTGGGTGGGCTACCAGGGAACTTCTTGTTATATGAAACACCTTTTCTGCAAAAAATTTAAAGGGATGATGAAAAAATAAAAAAAGATGAAAAGAAAATCATTAAAATTGAAGAATATTAACCCCTTCCGGGAACCCCAAAACACGTTTAAAAATTTGTGGTACATTTTTACAAATAAAAGATTTATTTTACAGAAATGAATAATTGTCAACACTACTGAAAAATGGAATTAAAGCTGCATTCCTTCAAATGAGCCAAAATATTTCAAGGAAAAAAATCTTGAGAAAAAAATGTACTATGATTTCAAGGAAATTAAAAAGATTTAAGTAATTATTTACAAGTTATGTGCATTTAATGACTCATTTTGCAGTATTTTTATTTTAGAATTCAAACAATAATTCTGAAAACTACAGGCAGCAGATATACATGTATATAGCTTTATACACTTTTAAACAACCAAACATTATTTTTTATAGATAATGTATCTACTAATATCTATCATCAAAAAGTTCTCTTTTTTTTTTACTATAAATGAAATTTTAAAACTGCTGTTAATTGATTTAAACATACTTTCCTATACTTCATTAGCAGAAATACATATAAATAGCGAGCATTGTGAAAGATCAAGCTTTTGCCAAAATCAATGGCTAAAAAGCTTTTATAAATTTTTAGCTAAATTACTGAATGAAACATTTTCCCCCATTATATAGTATACAAAAAACTTCACAGAATCTTATAAATATAATCTTTTCGAAAATACCTTTAACTAATTAAGCATTAATATAACAAATATGTACAAAATATAATCAGTAACATGTAACTGGACGGAATTAAATGATAAACAATAAATAAGTCTTTGATATGTACATAAAGGAATTAACGAGAAAACTTTTTTCGTATGTTTTTGAGCTTGTGATCACAGGTCTATACAATTTCAAAAAACAGTTAAGATTTGGCCAGTTGTATTTTTTGGGAGACGGTTCAAGTTTATCCATTTGTCAGTCTTATATTTGTCAAGTTTAAAGTGATATAATTTTAATTGAAAAGATCACATAAAATTCCTCAAATAGTGTAATCCTACAGATATGAAAAACATTATCTGAATAATTTACAGACTCACAATTTCTATAAATCTAAACAGCAAATTTTCTTATATTTGTCAAACTTTTATTTCTCAAGATAATTATGTAAAAGAAAAAGATGTCATATTACATGAAAAAGTTATTGAAAAGGTACAAGATCACACAAAAGGTCTATTTCACATGTAAAGTGTAACATAATCTGCTGAATAGAAGAAAGTAAGATTATCTATTGAAAAAGTTTTGAGAAAACAAAATCTTTTGCATACATTAGATCAGATCTAGGGTTGTTTTTTTTTCAAATGTTATGTTAAAATGAGTCAGATCTGATTTTTTTTCCCGAACATAATGAGTCGGCTATAAATGAGTGAGTTTATTCTGGTAAAAGATCATCGCCTAGTTCTTCATCGGCAAACTCATCATCCAGGTTGTGTCTCTTTGCAGCCGTTTTTGGTCTTTCCATTTGAGGTCCAAGAGGATCAACGTAATTTGAATCAACTTCCTGTTTACGTGGTTGGAATGACTCTTCATCTGCATCGTCGAGATTTGGTCGTCTTCTGGCGGCCCCTCGTTTACCTGCTCCTCTCGTACCAGCACTTGTTTCACGATCTAAACATTTAAAACAATTTTTTTTAATTTAAATTTCTGATTGCCATAATAATGATTGCATTTTAATGTGATTTAGATTTTACAAATGATTGAAAGATAAAAATGAACGTTTCCTTAAAATATTTATACTAACACTTCAATGATCATTCCTTCCTCATCTGAGAATGTGCGAATTTGCATTCATAGCGCCACCTATAAGCACTGCAGATAAGATATGAACTTTAATGGTCATGTTTCATGGTATATGCTACAGTTCATCACTGTTTAAGAGATTAATAAAGGTAAGGTATTTTTATTATTACAAATCCTGGATTACCACTGTATCAGTGAAGACCATTCAATAGCCAGTTGTGAAATATGTGTGAAGAGATGAACAAGTAAAATTGATAAAACATCTTAATTGCACTGTGTCTATGTACGATTTTTTTATAACAATCAAATAAAATTTGCAGAATTGATAAACAAACGCAACATAAGTAGTGACAATATTCTCAGAAAACTAGGCTTTCCCTAGAAGACTGAATTACAAAACACTGACAATATGCTCCATTGTACTTGAAGAAGATACTAGGCAGTTGAAATCCTTTAAAATATGCAATAAGATTTGTGCACAAAAAGTATATGTATTGCTAAAACATAAATGGAGGAAAGAAAAACAACAAAAGGCCATATTTCCACTAAAAATTATTGAACAAAAAACCAGACAGTATGTGCAAGGGCACTTGAAAAATTTAGGGGGAATGTTTTGAAAGTACAATATCTTGATGAATTTACACAAAACAACATATTTGTAAGTTTAGTTACCGGCTTCAGCACTTCCTTCTCTTCTGCGTCCAGATCCACGCCGAGTACCACTACTGGCACGCTGGTCCTTCAACTCTTTAGCTTTCTCGGCTTTCTTCAATTTTGTGGCATATTCTTGAGCTTCTTTCAATCCAAGGTCCGAACATATACGTACAAGGAACTTAAGACCTGTTGATAAATAATGAATGAAGATTTATTTAGATTTCATGAAAATTTTGAAAAAGTATTTAAATTTTGCAAAGTGCAAAGTGTGCTTACAATTCATGTAAATTACCAAAAAAAATAGGTCAAAACATACAAAATTGCCCTTACTGCATTAGTCTCACAGTAAAAATGTGGTGTTTAAATACTGCAAAATCGGTCATTAATCGCAAATAACATGTAAATTATAACTTAAATCTTGAATAGTTTACTTTTCTTAAAATCTCAGTAAAATTTTCTCAAGTAACATTTTCTCGACTTATTTTGGCTCATCTAGAGGCATGCAGCTATAACCCCAAACCTACTGGAACTGACAGTGATTAGCATTTGCCACCAGTAAACAGCCAGACCTGTTCTGAACATCTTTGACTCAGGCTCTATACATTTGGAAGCTCACATTTTGTGAATATTAACTTTAAATCCAATTATTTTCAAACGAGCTGTTCGAGATTGAAAGCAGGTCAAAACCATTACACAGATTCAGCAGATTAAGGGTCTACTCTTTGAGCACTTGTACAGATAATAGACATTTGGCTTCAGTAAAGAGCCAGACCAGGCTGCATATAGATACAACCTGACTAGGGTTTATACTGAATCCTTCTGAATGTTAATACATGTACACGTATTCTGATTTGAAATCCTTTTACCTATTATTGGAGTGTTCCAAATTCAAAGGTCATGGCCATTTATTGGAGTTTTCCAGATTCAAAGGACAAGGCTGAGTGTTCCAGATTCAAAGGACATGGCCATTACACAGATTTACCAGTGTCTGGATTTAGATTATTGTAGACAGTTTTTCAGTTCACCATGAAAAGCATTACAATTTAATGTTAAAGATTCATTATGTAGAAAAAGTAAAAATTAGAAATTTTTTGACATTGGCATCAGTACAAACTTCCAAACTGGTACATGAACTTGTGCTTAGTTGGTGTCCATAGACACACAATCCATTGGTGGATAGTGATTGCCTAGTGGCTAAAGTAACTGCCTCTAAACCCAGTGATTGTGGGTTCAAGCCCTTCTAGAGTGACAACCGTATTTCCTTGTATATTACCAGTCCTAGTTAGTTCCAGGAAGCTGACTAGAGAGCGATGATTCAAGTAACCTTTCATCATGATTTAGTTTAGTTAAATATCTTTAAAATTAACCCATTTTTTGGTTTGTTGTTATCTAATCTTACAGTTCAACCTTATTAACACAATAAACAATTTGTAATAATTTACAACTTACATTCTACGTTATCTGGGAATTTTCTGTGTATAAATTTATATGTTTCCAAGGCTTGGTTATAATTTCCACTTCGTCTATGACAACTGGCTATCATTAAATGCCACTTTACTTGATTTGGTCTGAAAAATATATTGAGTCATGTTGATTTTTTAAAATAGTTACACATTATACTATAAACTTTTTTGTACCTGCCTAAGATGAAAATTGCTAAGTAAACAATTGTCTACAATAAATTCATAAACAATCATTGATGTTACCTAGGATTAAAAAAACAACAACAGAATACAAGATTACAAGATGCTTAATCTAACAACTTATAACTTTACAACCTCATGATGGTTCAGTGTAGAATGATTATAAACAAATTTAAATCAACCAAACCTTAAAATGAAGTGTAGTTTTCCAATTTTTTATATTTAAAATTTACATTTGTTATCACTTTGCTTATTTTGTACATAAAGTAAATACAGAAATTTCTGATAAAATATAAAAACATTAACTTACTGTACTATACCAGCTCTCTCAAAATAATGGATAGCTTTTTCACAGAATTTGGAGTCTATATAATAAGCGCCTAGCCATTCTATCACAGGTATATTGGATGGGAAATATCTGTAGGACTGAAAATATAAAATAATACAGTCATAATTTATAACAGTGTCTCTCCACATAATTTCTACATGATTGAAATTATTCATATTTGAAGTTGTTTCAAAAATTTTAAAAGCTTGTTTCAAAAGCAAGAACATTTGACTTCTTTAATTAAATTTCTTTACTCAACTGGAGGAATGCTGCTTTAAAACCCATCATTGTACAAAGGTTTCAAATAAAGTACATGTATATGCAGTCTACTTGATCAATCCAACAATTCAAAATTACCATTTTATAATCATGTCTAAATTTCTGTATGTTTATATAGAAAAGACAAACACACACAAATTTAATTTGAACTGCAAAGCAAGTAAAGCATGTTCTGTTAAAAGTTTTGCAATGTAAAACCATGAAATGGCTAAGAAGGCTGTCAAATGAATGTTAATATATATAAGTCCTCAGTCAAAGATTTGATTTTGTTCTATGTGAAACAGTCACTGTAAAGATAATATATGGCAATTTTCAAGCTTAACTGGTGGAGGAAGGTCCCTGGTGCTCCTCTTTGTGTTATTTTAGAATAGACCACTATCAATAGTAGAACCATCAACCGTCTTTAAGGCAACAATTAAAAGTCATTGACAGGATTTGAGCAAAAAACAGAGAGGCAATGAATTTTTTAATCAAAGTCTTGAACAATTCAACCACGAAAGTCCCTCTCTGTCAATGGAGTCTGACAAATACGATATAAATAAATATGAGCCGTGCCATGACAAAACCATCATAGTGCGTTTGCGACCAGCATGGATCCAGACCAGCCTGCGCATCCGCACAGTCTGATCAGGATCCATGATGATCGCTATAAGTTTCTCTACTTGATTTAGGGTTTGTAAGCGAACAGCATGGATCCTGATCAGACTGCGGGGATGTGCAGGCTGGTCTGGATCCCTGCTGGTCGCAAACGCACTGTGTTGGTTTCGTCGTGACGCAGTTCAAATATATACATACATCATAGTAGTACTGGAATGCCTGAGATTTATCACCGTCATTGTCATATATTTCACCCATTCTAGCAAGAACTGAACAATCTGTGGGTACCACACCAATCAACTGCATGAACCTATCAATGAGAATTAAAACTTATCTTTAAAACAGCACGTTATCATATTTGGACCACAAAATATGTTCTCTTTTCAAAATAATCAAGCAAGGTTCTATAATCAAGCAACATTCTATTTGAAATACTTTGAAAGCATGGCCTCAGTGGAAAGTTTTTTTAAGAATGCATTTGCTGATTACAAGACTGTGTAAAACTATTCATGGATGGAAAATTATATGCAGAGATTTGAGTTTTCAATTTATGCTCCAATTATCATATCTCTTTAATAACAACCACCTTACAAATATTAATCCTATAAAATTATATAACACATCATTCATAATTTCTGGACAGCTTTCCTGGACACCTATAGTATAAACATTTTCAAGCTTAATATTTAACATCAGAATGTATTGGTGGTAGGTGATGTCAGATGATCAAGTGAGTTGTCGAGACAGAGCAGTACTTTAAGTATTTTGTTTTTATTTATATAACTCGGTAGTATTAACATTCTGACAACAAAACACTGCTGAATTTTTCACTTGTTGTCCCAAAGAGAAACACCCAGTTTATGAACAATTATGAACATCCAGGATTTCATGGCATGTATGACATATCAGTTGTTTACGAATAAAATGAGCCGTGTCATGACAAAACCAACATAATGGGTTTGCGACCAGCATGGATCCAGACCAGCCTGCGCATCCGCGCAGTCTGATCAGGATCCATGCTGTTCGCTTACAAACCCTATAACAAGTAGAGAAACTGATAGCGAACAGCATGGATCCTGATCAGACTGCGCGGATGCGCAGGCTGGTCTGGATCCATGCTGGTCGCAAACCCATTATGTTGGTTTTGTCATGGCGCGGCTCATTTAATATTGAAACTCTATTCAAAGTAAACATTAACATAAACAACTTAACTTACCACTCTGTAGCTTGTGCAGAATCTTCAAGTTGATCATGACTGTTCTAATGTCAAGGAAATAACCAGTTTGTATCAGTACATATAGGCTGTATACCCTTACAGATTCCAGATAGAACTAAACAGTAATCTAACTGCCAATCAAACTGATTTAGATAAACCTGTATCATAATCAAAGGGACTTCAGTGAGGTATTTTGACATGAGGGGACTGGAAATATATTTTTATGCTTTGTGTACTTTTTGATGTAGGTCCAGACTAATAATTTTCTTATGTGTTGTATAAAAAAAATTTATGAGGCAGCTTAACCCTAAAATAAAAGACATTTACCAGTAACTCAAACTGGTGTTTTTCATTATTATGTAGTATATTCCTTGCTATTTTTAAAAAATATTTTTCCACTTTAAAAGTGCCTCAGCTGATTTATGTAACAATTTCAATTTTTATGTTTTCAGGATTTTGGCTCTCTGTGGAGCTTCTTTTAATATCTATTTTATGACATTATCTTTACAAATGATGTTAATCAGTCCAAAATCCCTGAAAAAAACTCTAATCTCAGGTGTCGCTTTGAGCATTATTTCAAGCACAAACTGCTTGAGTAGAACTACTGACGTTCTAAAAGCTAGCTGGATAGATTCCTCACATGAAAGAATCCAAATTCCCTGGTGGGATTCCAACCCACAACGATGAGGGGCAAGAAGTTTAAAGTCATTGACCGTCACCACTTGGCAACTGACGTCCCACAAATGGTTATCTCTTTCCATATGATACAATCACCTGATTAAAGCTTCTTAGAATAGAATCTCAGTGTATGTATATGTACCATGCATGTAGCTTCATTAAATAATTATGTTGTATGCAATACAAGGATACATGTCTGCTATTTGGAATATAACTTGTGGAGAATTTCTTAAAATAGCGTGTAGTTTGTAAAAGGCATCGAGAGCATCCTCCAGACGACCTATCTTTTTGTTTGTTAAACCTGAAATAAAGCACAAATTAAAGGACACATAAAATTCTCTGACCATTTAGAAGACCTGTTAATCAGAAATTTTTGCAATGGATTTGATTTCAAAAAATAAAGATTTTCACTAAAATAATTGTTCCTTAGATATTCAAGTATCAAATAAGTTTAACAGCAGTGATTAGTAATTTGCAAATATCTAATTTGCCAATTAGTCCCAAATGTTTACTAAGTAAACTTTTGGTCTTGCATAAATATCTAATTTTTAAATATAACTCTTGGATTCTAATGATAACTAGAACTCCGCGAGTCGAATGTGTCGCCTTGTGAACAATATAGTTTAGGAGAAATGGCCAGGACAAAAATGAAATAAGAAAACTAACAAAGGGCAATAGCTCAAAAAATAATAAGTGCAGAGCAGCAGTTTCTATGCACTGCACTTCTTATCAATAAGATCTATCATTCTATGATGTTTCAAGTCCATATCTTTTATGATTTATGAGAAATGGCCTGGACAAAAGTAAAATATGAAAATATATAAAGGGTAATAAAAAATCAAAAATAAGAAATGCAGAGTACCGGTTCTTGTACACTGCACTTTTTCTTAATGAGATCTATCATCCTATGAAGTTTCATGTCTATAGCTTTCATAATTGAGGAGAAATGACCTGGAAAAAAATAAAGTAAGAAAATTAACAAAGGGCAATAACTCAAACAAGAGCTGTCGGTAGGACAGCAACGCTCGACTATTCTTAGTGCTTGATAGTACAAAGAATGCTTGATACAGTTACCTCCTCCTGTTTACAAGTTGGGGTCATGATGGTGAACAAGTGTGCAAAGTTTCAAAGCCATATGTCAATGGACTTTAAAAATATTTGAACTATTACAAAAACTTTAACGTAAATTCTAAGTCGAAAAAATGGCATAATTCTGTCAAAATGCTTGATAGAGTTACCTCTTCCTGTCTACAGGTTGGGGTCATGATGGTGAACAAGTGTGCAAAGTTTCAAAGCCATATGTCTATGGACTTTGAAAATATTTGAACTATTACAAAAACTTTAACGTAAATTCCAAGTCGAAAAAGGGGCTTCATTCTGTCAAAATGCTTGATAGAGTTACCTCCTCCTGTCTACAGGTTGGGGTCATGATGGTGAACAAGTGTGCAAAGTTTCAAAGCCATATGTCTATGGACTTTGAAAATATTTGAACTATTACAAAAACTTTAACGTAAATTCTAAGTCGAACAAGAGCTGTCGGTAGGACAGCAACGCTCGACTATTCTTAGTGCTTGATAGTAAAAAAAATGTTTGATAGAGTTACCTCCTCCTGTTTACAGGTTGGGGTCATGATGGTGAACAAGTGTACAAAGCCATATGTCAATGGACTTTGAAAATATTTGAACTATTACAAAAACTTTAACGTAAATTCTAAGTCAAAAAAGGGGCATAATTCTGCCAAATGCTTGATAGAGTTACCTCCTCCTGTTTACAGGTTGGGGTCATGATGGTGAACAAGTGTACAAAGTTTCAAAGCCATATGTCAATGGACTTTGAAAATATTTGAACTATTACAAAAACTTTAACGTAAATTCTAAGTCGAAAAAGGGGCATAATTCTGTCAAAATGCTTGATAGAGTTACCTCCTCCTGTTTCCAGGTTGGGGTCATGATGGTGAACAAGTGTGCAAAGTTTCAAAGCCATATGTCAATGGACTTTGAAAATATTTGAACTATTACAAAAACTTTAACATAAATTCTAAGTCGAAAAAGGGGCATAATTCTGTCAAATTGCTTGATAGAGTTACCTCTTCCTGTTTACAGGTTGGGGTCATGATGTTGAACAAGTGTGCAAAGTTTCAAAGCCATATGTCAATGGACTTTGAAAATATTTGAACTATTACAAAAACTTTAACATAAATTCTAAGTCGAAAAAGGGGCATAATTCTGTCAAATTGCTTGATAGAGTTACCTCTTCCTGTTTACAGGTTGGGGTCATGATGTTGAACAAGTGTGCAAAGTTTCAAAGCCATATGTCTATGGACTTTGAAAATATTTGAACTATTACAAAAACTTTAACATAAGTGGTTACGCCGACGCCGACGCTAGGGTGACTGCAATAGCTCTACTTATTCTTATCGAATAGTCGAGCTAAAAAGGGGCATAATTCTGTCAAAATGCTTGATAGAGTTACCTCCTCCTGTCTACAGGTTGGGGTCATGATGGTTATCAAGTGTGCAAAGTTTCAAAGCCATATGTCTATGGACTTTGAAAATATTTGAACTATTAACAAAAACTTTAACGTAAATTCTAAGTCGAAAAAGGGGCATAATTCTGTCAAAATGCTTGATAGAGTTACCTCCTCCTGTCTACAGGTTGGGGTCATGATGGTGAACAAGTGTACAAAGTTTCAAAGCCATATGTCAATGGACTTTGAAAATATTTGAACTATTACAAAAAACTTTAACATAAGTGGTTACGCCAACGCTGACGCGGACGCCGACGCTCGGGTGACTGCAATAGCTCTACTTATTCTTATCGAATAGTCAAGCTAAAAATAAGAAATGCAGAGTACCGGTTCTTGTGCACTGCACTTCTTCTTAATGAGATCTATCATCCTATGAAGTTTCAAGTCCATAGCTTTTATACTTTTGGAAAAATGGCCTGGACAAAAATAAAGTATGAAAATTAATAAAGGGCAATAACTCAAAAAATAAGAAATGCAGAGTACCTGTTCTTGTGCACTGCACTTCTTCTTAATGAGATTTATCATCCTATGAAGTTTCAAGTACATAGCTGTTATACATTAGGAGAAATGGCCCGGACAAAAATAAAGTATGAAAATTAACAAAGGGAAATAACTCAAAAATCAGGAAGTGCAGAGTACCGATTCTTGTGCACTGCACTTCTTTTTAATGAGATCTATCAACGTATGAAGTTTCAAGTCCATAGCTGTTATACATTAGGAGAAATGGCCCGGACAAAATTAAAGAATGAAAATTTACAAAGGGCAATAACTCAAAAATTAAGAAGCGCAGAGTACCGGTCCTTGTGCACTGCACTTCGTGTTATTGAAAGAAGCATGCATACCAAGTTTGAAGTCAATCCGACTTAAAGTGACTGAGTTATGCTCTGGACAAGCTTTAGGGGACGCCGACAACGACGCCGACACCGCCGACAAAAGTAATCCCAATATGTCGCCTTTTCAAGGCGACCCAAAAACTACATAATATTTCTGTCACTACATAAGGAGACTTAAAAAAAAATCTGAAAATACAAAAATTATCATTACCCAAGTTATATAAGGCCTCCACACAGGACGAGTCATTCTGTAATGCTTCTCTGAAAAACTCTCTAGCTTTCTCAAAATCTCCCTTAGAATACAACACATTGCCTTTGTTTACCAATGCTGAAAGAGAGAAAAAAAACATTCATCATTTATAGTAAAGAAACATTAAAGAAAAAAGCTCATTCTGGTGCTTTTAGTACTAACAAAACAGTTCTTCATCAACACATCCTTTTTTAAAGTTTCAATTCCAGGTGTTCAAGATATAAACTCTTCCAGTGTTTGCTTGCGCTATCAGGTATTGTATAATTGTAGTTTGACATATCACTCAGATGTTTTTTATTAAGCCCTTACTATGCTTAATATCTTAAAATGACTTGTTCATCTTTTAATTTGAACAAAATCATTCATCATTTTGAGGGAAATTTTAAAATATATAGTTCCATAATAGCTGACAGTACAGACAATGATCAGACGCACACAGATGTTCCGCCTGGTCTTGGTCTGCACTGTTTTCATGTAGTGACCAGTCCGCCTAGAATTAGTCAAACAATCTTATTCAATTAAATTAATGAAACAATCTTTAATATGTTGACAAAACCGTCGCCTAATTGCAATAACTCCTATAAAATTTAGAAGGACTTATTTCGTTACTGCAGTGAGGTAATAAAACATTACCATAAGGATTGTATCTGTCTGCCGTCATGGCAACCTCTGCATACTTGTCTGCCTGGGCAAGGTCATTCTCCTATAAAATATATAAATATTTCATTCTCAATATTTCTAGCATATAAATTTTAACAAACTTGAGAAAAAAATCCATCAATCAAAAATTTTCTTTTTGAATATTCATACGCTTACCATACACACTTAACTCAGCAGAAAACATAAAATAAAATTATGTACACATGTTCTATTTCTTAACTTATAGGCACAATGATTTCAATTAATGAAATAAATCTCGAGTTTGAGTGCATTGTGCTATAATATAGATTATTGTAGTAAGTTATATGACCATTCCAGTCTAAGACTTAATACAAATGCCGGTAGGAATAGTTCTGACAAAGGTTGTTATTGTGTGAAAATGGGCCAGATGTATTTATTTCCATATCATGGCAATATTTCATTCTCCTAACTACTCAAAAACGATAATTACCAATTTTGAGCAAAACATAAGCTTAAATCTCCAACACAGAAAAAAAACTTCAAAGAAACTTGTTCGTATATTCATTGCGGATTCAAACATTTAAACTTTTAATCAAACAGGTAAAAACATGTAAAAAAAAAATCAAATATTTTACAATCTGAAAAGAACTTGAATTCAAAACACTTATAAAAACCTAAGAGTAAGAGGAAACAAAAAATTAAAATAAGAAACTTTACAACCTAACAATTACCTCAAGGTCATTTTTCTATAATTCAAAACCATATTTTAAGAACACAAAAGTACTAAACTTTATGAATGTTTGATAATAAAAATAATATGCTAATATTTGGTAAAAAAATTGCAAAAAAAAAAAAATATTTTTCTTAAACTTTACTTTTAATATTATGAGCCTATGTATAGTGCCGGGGCAAAAGTCTTGATATTGACAAACTTGATTGAGAGTTACTTCACGATGCTACAGGCCAAATATCTAACCTCTAGGCCTAGCAGCAGAAGTATATAAAACTGAGCAAAATGTATGGAAAGAAACAATGAAGTCCAGTAGAAACTCCTTAATAATCCTTAACAATTAATTATACCAATCATAAGATATTGTTTCGTTTTTCAAACTTTCAAAGTTCCTTGCCTTTGCCAACAGTATGGAGCCAGGCCGACCTCAGTTGGACCTGATACTATACTGTTAGCTGACCAACAATCAATTTTCATCTTGATATCCGTAAAATTGATAATGGATAGTTCCAAAAATAAAAGCTGGACAAGTCCTTTACACACATTCAGCAGTTTTATCATAAATATAAATAAACAAAGCTTACCAGGAAGTACAGAAAGCTAAGATTTGTTGCTGCAGTACACGCAACTTTTGAATCTTTCTTCTCAAATGACTTCAATGTATCTATTGCCTGAAAACAAATATTTTATCATGAACAAGGCATCTCATCTATCAATGTATTATATCCTATTACCATATTCTCCCATATATCCCATTACTGTATTCTCCCATATATCCTATTACCATATTCTCCCATATATCCCATTACTGTATTCTCCCATATATCCTATTACTGTATTCTCCCATATATCCTATTACTGTATTCTCTCATATATCCTATTACCATATTCTCCCATATATCCCATAACAGAATTCTCCCATATATCCTATTACTGTATTCTCCCATATATCCTATTACTGTATTCTCTCATATATCCTATTACCATATTCTCCCATATATCCCATAACAGAATTCTCCCATATATCCTATTACTGTATTCTCCCATATATCCTATTACTGTATTCTCCCATATATCCTATTACTGTATTCTCTCATATATCCTATTACCATATTCTCCCATATATCCCATTACAGAATTCTCTCATATATCTCATTACTGTAGTCTCCTGTATATCTCATTACCGTATTCTCCCATTACTGTATTTCCCCATGTAACCCATTATTTCCCATATACCCCATTACTATACTCTCCCATTTATCCCATTACTGTATTCTCCCATTTACCTATTACTGTACTCTCCCATATACCCCATTACTGTACTCTCTCCATTACTGAATTCTCCCATATACCCCATTAAGATATTCTCCCATATATCCAATTACTGTATTCTCCCATGTACCCCATTACTGTATTCTCCCATATATCCCATTACTGTATTATCCCATATATCCTATTACTATATTCTCCCATATATCCCATTACTGTATTATCCCATATATCCTATTACTATATTCTGCCATATATCCCATTACAGTATTCTCCTATATATCTCATAACTGTACTCTCCCCATTATTGTATTCTCCCATATACCCCATTAGTGTATTCTCCCATATAAACTATTACTGAATTCTCCTATATATTCCATTATTTTATTCTCCCATATATCCTATAACTGTGTTCTCCTATATAAACCATTACTGAATGCTCCTATATATTTCATTACTTTTTTCTCCCATATATCCCATTACTTTTTTCTCCCATATATCCCATTACTTTTTTCTCCCATATATCCCAAAAAATGTATACTTCCATGTACACCATTACTGTATTCTCCCATATGTCACATTACTGTATTCTCCCATATATGTTATTACTTTATTTTCCCATGTACCCAATTACTGTCTTCTCTCATATAACCCATTACTGTATTCCCCCATATATCCAATAACTTAAATTTCCAAAAAACCCATTTTTCCCTTTTTTATTTTCTCTTTAAATTTAAAAATTTCTTTTTTTTTCCCCCAGCAAATCAAAAAAATAATAATTCCCCATCGAAATAACATATTTAACAATATACGAACCTGGTTGAAATCTTTCTGTTTGAGGAACATGATAGCTTTGTCAATCTCGAGGTCGTGAGCGAGGTCAATGTACTGCGAGTTCTTCACTTGCTCCACACACCAGTCGTACCCTGCGTCGAAACTCACCTCTATAGCTGGCGAGATAATCTTTGCTGCAGTCTTTATACAATTCTCAGCCTCGTATTTCCTAAAATGTTAAGGTTTATACACAAATTTGATTACTAAAAAAACATATAAAAAAACGTTAAGAATTTCAAATATTAACCCATACATCATTATTTAACTATTAACCATTAGTCTTTATATTATAAAACATTCTTACTTTTTAAAAAGCAAATTTCATTTGCCTACTTAAAAGTATTGGGTTTTTAAAATAAAAAACCAAATATTTTTTTTTCAAAAATGTAAGTTACAGGAAACGACTTTGGCTTTATTAAATTTGTCCCAAAAAATAATTGAGCGAAAAAAAAAAAACAAGCAATTTCTTTACTGAAATACATGAGTTTTACCTTTCTCTTTCAATCTGTCGTAATGAATCATTCTTGATCATCTCCAGTACTAAATTATACTGTTTATCTTCCTGTAATTATATCATAACAATAACTTTAATATTAAATAATACATAACAAGATGTTCATAAACAAGCAACATTAACATTCAATAATGAATTAATTAAAGAGATACATGTAGTACTCTTATAGCAGAAAACAACAAGAGCTGCAGCAAGGACAGGGCGCTAGACCATTCTCAGTGCTTGATAATAGAGTACTATAACATTGTGAATTTTCAATTTTTTTTTCTTTTTCTTTTCTTATTTTTTTTTTTTTTTTTTTGATAAAGGAAATAAATGCTTTTTTTCCTGTCAACATACATTCCACTTCGACTTTATAATATCAAAATCCCTTTTTAAAAGAACACCTGTAAAAATCTATGCCCTAAAATTTCAAATTGGTCCAAAAATATAATAAATAAAATATGTATTTTGTGCAAAAAAGTTAACATAAGCATTTTCCATCAAAGCAATAAATATAGAAAAGCAGTAATGCTATTTGTGACACAATATTAGTACATACAAGTGATTAAGTGTCCAATAAATTATAATATTTCTTTACTTTCCATAAATTTTGCTACTTATATTATATACAAATCATTATTTGTAACTAAATACAATTTATATTTGTTTTACTCTTGGTGTACCTGTTTTTAAACTGCTTTGAATTTGGAACAGTCCATTCAAAGTTTAATTGATTTTAATCATCAAGAATAAAAATTGGAGCTACCAACAATATAGAGCCTCGTCAGACAACACTGATGTGTATGCTGGCCTAGCTCAAAGGCTGATCACTTTAAGTTCAATTTGGTTTATACAGAATTTACTTTAGTTCGATTGTGTAGGAAGCTATAAGCTTATAGACACACTTTCGAATCTGTTCCTGGAACCAACCAGTACTAAGCAATGTGTGTAAAGTTTCTTGCTCAATGAAACAACGACTTGCCCCCGACAGGGTTTGAACTCATGCGGCTAGCGATCATTAGATTACTAGTCCCACGCGTTAACCACTTGGCCATGCCGCCACATAAGTTCAATTTGTTAAAAGGTTTGAAACCTACATACAATGTATAAATATAAACATAGGGTAAGGTTCCATAACCATTTCCTTATGACAGACATTTGGGAAGAAGTCTTTGCACAGTGTTTTCTACATATATATAATCATGTTAATTTTTCTAGGGTTATATTGATTATTATTGTGTTATTTCCTTTATCTTTGAAAGCATTATACGATTTTCTATTACATCTATGTTAATAAGATATATAATTAACAAACTAGAAAATAATAAAATTAACTTTCTCTATGCAAATGCATAAATATAACGGCTAGAAGTTTCTGATAATACATAATGACAGAGATATCTGATTTCTATGAGTAAAGTTGTGAATTCACTTAATTTCGTGGCCATGAAATTTCGTGGTTTTTATCATGCAGAAAATTTTCATGGTTTCATTAATTTGTGGACTGTCTATTTTTCCAGAAGGTAAAATGTTAACAATGTAATGCAAAATAACTTTAGAGCAGACAAAATGAAATTTTGTTGGATCTTATATTCGTGGATTGACCTGTCCATGAAAACCACAAAATTAGTGCCCCATGATAATCGAGTATTGATTTTGCAGTAATATGGTAATAGCTTTTGATTCTATATTTATATAAAATTCTTCATGAACTGTTAATAAATTTGAATGATACACCCAACATTAATTATCATTTTGTATTTCCAGTCACTTAGATACAAAAGAAGCCGATATGAAAAAAAAGAAGTAATCAACAAGAAACTGTTTTCGGTAAACACATATCCCCCGGAAGCATACAACTTAAGACTATGGCAATCCTGAAACAGTTTCAATCATATCCAAGACAGGGAACCCCATCATGATTATTGTAAATTTTGTCTAAATGAGGTTATAAACTGTAACGAAATTTTAATCACTTTTAGCTGTACTTAAGCTGTATTAAATAAAATTCATTAATTGTCAGTGCTATTTGTAAATGGTAACAAATATTCAACCTACAGACAGAGATACTTAATTTTAATAAATGCAAGGGAGATAACTCCAGAAAAATGGCCAACTTAGTTTTTTTTATACTTATTTATTTTAGTTTGATTGTCTAGTTTGATTGTACAGTCACTTAAATGTGAATAATGTTTTATTTTTACTCGTATAGGTTTTTATCTTTCCAATGATGCGAAATAATTTTATTCACATGATTTTATAGTTTTAAGAATCTATTGCTATTCAGTGTAATTTTACGGGTTTAAAGGGAAAAGAACATTTTAAGGAAATTTTTCTGTAAAGCAAAAAATCAGAAACACTTAAATATTTTAAAAACAAGATTAGCAATAGTTTCTTATTTTAGCAATTTTAAATTGTAATATGCATATGAATATGGAATGAGAAGAGAGGTAACTCTGTAAGTGACATTGGACATTCTTGCAGAGTTGCCTCCCTTCCATTAGATTAACCCTTTCCCCCATGAGCATATTGTGAAAAATGGCCATTTTCACTGAAAAGCCTCCTCTAACAAGTTCAAACTGCTATGAAACTATGGAAAATGCTTCAATACTAATCAAACTTGGCACAAATGTTGACTGGACCATTGCCTTTGGAACGACATGCTCGCGTCTTAAATTTCCTGTTACCATGGCAACGATGAGGACAATCTCAAAATTGCCAAAAAAATCACTTTTTTGCCTCGATTTTTTCCATCAAAATTACTCAAGTGCCGTGCAACTTCTCAAGGGATTGGAGATAGAAGTTCAAAGGCTTTTCAGCGTTGATTTACACGCATATCTATATAATCAACCTGGGGTCATTTTAACCTCTCAACAAGTCCAAAAAATTTTCTGGGCGATGAGGGGACTCCGCCCCCCTTCGGGGCAACCCCCTGATGTATTTATGGATGGGTGACGGGCGCCAGAAAAAAATGGGCACTTTTTTTTTTACAACATTCTCAAACGAAAACAGTGTTTGGGGTCTACATAGGGACATTTTTTCACTGTTGAGGCCTCAAAAAAGGGGGGGGGGGGTCAAAAAAAGCCGTCGAAACACCTATAATAAGGGAAAGGTTAAAAATTTTTATAGTCTCTTGTAATTCTGATGAATGGCCGTTAATAATTTTATTTAAAATTACCCATTGAATTGTTTTTATTTGTTATTTTGGAGAGACTCAAATAAAAAATAATTGCAAAAGCATAAGTTTTTTGAAACCCCTTTTTGAATCCGTTCCTGCCACCAGAAAAAGCCATAGTGTAAAGTTTCTTCTCATGGAAACATTTTCCCCTAACAAAATTTACCCTACTGGCAGCAACCTAAATACAGTCTGATGGGGAAAATCTCGGCCACGCCACAACTTGTATTGGTAAGAACTGTGAAGCCATTGATAGAAAGTTAAATCAATCTTAACTTCACAAATTAGGTTAACATAAATACTGAAAAAGTCCATAAAAAGGGTAGATAACTGTGGAAAATGGATGCCACAGTTTCTCACAACATATCAGAATCTTAGCCTCTGTATTGTTAAAGAAAATATCAAACTTTCGAGAATAGTGTAATAATATGGTTGGGCAAACAGTTCAATTACTTTGGTAAACATCTCTTCAAATGGAACAATGCAACATTTTGCACATGAACTTAAACATGTTCTTCAATTTGAAAGTTTTGATAAACAAAAATACATTTAATTACATTTCAAAATCAAGTAGATTTATAGACATGAAAAATATTTTTTCAAAAAAGAAAAGAAGAAAAAAAATCAAATATCATTTCCTAATATTTAATAATTATCTACAAATGATGTTATTCTTAAAGGGAGAGGGAAGAATATAAAAAGAATAAAGCATAGGATAATATCATTCTATTACAAGAACAATAGTAAATTAAGATTTCATCTAGTCCAATTAAACTTTTCTCAGGTATCTTCTATTTCTTAAATATCTGTATACACTTAAGTTAGGTTAATTTCCTATACATGTAATAATAATAAACTGTGCAGCGTATTTATACAATACCTGGCTTATTTTATCATCATCTTTATCCTAAACCATGAAACACAAAAATCATATCTTTAAACAAAATGTTCTTGTGACATATTCATAAGTTTAAATATGATAATTTCAACCTTCATTTCCAAATCAATTTAAATATATACATAATTATACTAATAATACATTGATCTTTGTTCTCAATTTTCTTTGTTCAAATAAATAATTACAAAAGAAAAACCAGTATCTAGAAAGAAATAAATACCACATACAAATAATAATTAACTAAAAATTCAATTAAAGATGCCAAATTTCATATTGTCAGTCCACTACAATCAATAAGAAGTAAGAAATACAAAGCATTAATATAACATGCAACAAAAACCAAAATTATATCTTTATATTTGACTAACATTTGACTGCCCAGGGAAAGATAAATAATGAGCAAAAACTATTTAATAATGTGTAAGCAAAACACATAAATAATTAAATCAGATGAATAAATTATAAACTATTCATTACAAAAATGAAAATAAATCCTACTAATTTATACAAGAGCCACAAGTTGGCTAATATCACTCACCTGAGAAAATGAAAAAGTATAAATAAAATGCTCCCAAGGAAAGAACCATTTCTGACCCCAGGTTTGTTAGTTTGTTTTTCTGTTGTTGTTTTTTTTTTCTTATGCCAATTTCAACATATTTTCTGGTCATATGACAGCAATCAATCCACTTAACCAGCTTTCCTGGATAACTAACCAGCAATTAACATTTATTCTCTTAACCAATTTTCCTGGATAACTAACCAGCAATTACAAATTTCTCCCTAAGTAACCAACTACTAATCTGAATTAGCTGTGAGTGACAAATGACTGTTAGACTCAATGTCTGAGATAAATTTTCCCACAAATTTTTTGCCTCGCCCGAAATACCCAGTGACCCCTGGTTTTCTAATCTAATGATCTTGCTATTATTGAGGTGATCATACCTGTGAAGTTTGGTCAATATGTTAAATGTGGTTAAGGAGAAGATATTGTTTAAAGATATTTAGGATTACGAATAGAAAGTTGGACATTATGCTATCACAAAATCTCACTTCTGAGTACTTTGTGCCCAGGTGAGCTAAAAAAAATAATAAATGAGAAATAAAACCATAGGGAGGCTACAATTTAAGCAGATGAGATCACTACTACAGCTTACCTTAGTGTCCTAAAATTCATAAACAAAAACAGCATTTAATTATATTATGGAAATACAGTAACAATAGCAAAACAGATCAATTTTCAACATCATAATATTGTTACAACCCCCATCATTGATTAAATCATTGATAAATTAATTCATTACTATATTTGTGTGTATTACCGACCTTCACATTCAGTAAAATTTAACAATTGCAATAAGAAAGACCATGAAACAAAGCTGTTTTTTCTTCATTCTGATGACTGTTCGTTAAATAATCATCAATTAATTTGTTTGGTGTTTGTGAGAATTTTTCTAGTTAGCAATATAAAGAAAGCAAAATCATGTTATTCTAACTGAAACTACATGATGGGTGTAACATGAACAGAAGTAGGAATATTCCACCACAAAATAGATTTAACAAGAGCTGTCCGTAAGACAGCGCGCTCGACTTTTTTATTGCTTGCCAATAAAAAAAGTTTTTGCAGTAAAAGGCAATACAAGAATCTCTGTATTTTTAAAGTGAACAATGGCCATGAGCATTAAGATATTTAGTGAAGAATTATTTTACTGAATTGTGTGATACCCTTGAACACTGCAGCAAAGGTTGAAATGTTTAAGTCAAAAGAGGGCTGGTAAGAAAGAAAAAAAAACTGAGTTGAGCCTTAAATAAATTTAATAGTATTATACTACTGATTTTAATTTCAAGTACAAAAAGAGAAAAATAACTAGTTGTTTGATACCCTTGAATATTACAGCAATGTTTATATGACATAATTTATGGTAAAGTGAACAAGTGGATAGGAATGAATTTTTTTAGATTTTTTAAGTTTTTTAGTGCGATTGCCTATAATACAAAACATTGACAGTTAAGGGCCATAATTCAAATAAAATCTTTGACAGAATTACCTTCTCCTGGACATGTTTGGGAATCATGATTGTAAACAAGTATTCCAACTTTCAAATTAATATCTCAAACAGTTCAGTCAAAAAGTGGACTGGTACTAAAAACTTAACCAAGATTCTAAGTCGATAAAAGGCCTTAATTTTTAAAACAAATCCTTGACAGAGTTACCTTCTCTTGCGTACAGATGGGGTAATGATGTGAAATAGCATTAAAAGTTTCAAAGCAATATCTCAAAGGGTTAAGGCAATAAGTGGATTTTACCCATATTCAATGTATTTTCTAAGTCAAAAAAGGGCATAATTCTGTCAAAAACCTTGACAGAGTTATGTCCTCTTGTCTGTTGATGAAGGTCGTGATGGTAAACAAGTATGGTCAGTTTCAAAGCAATACCTCCAATGGTTTTGAAATAAAGTGAGGTGGTACAAAAAACTTAACCAAGCTCAATACACTTTCTAAGTCAAAAAAGGGCCATAATTCTGTCAAAAACCTTGACAGAGTTATGTACTCTTGTCTGTAGATGGAGGTTATGATGGTGAACAAGTATGGTAAGTTTCAAAGCCATACTTGTAATACTTCTGAAATAAAGTGGGGTGGTACGAAAAACTTAACCAAGGTGTGACGCCAACGCCGACGCTAACGCCGACGCCGACGCCGGGGCGAGTAGGATAGCTCCCCTTTTCATAGAAAAGTCGAGCTAAAAACCTTGGTGCTATTTTAAGATCACACATAATGACACACTGTGTAACTGTACTTATCCAATGTGGTAATTTAGACTTCAAACACATTAAAACAAGGGAGACAACTGTGCAATTTTCATTTTCAAAATATGTGTGTGTATGTGTAATCAAATCACTGTGTATAACCGTACTCACCCCGTGCGGCAGATATTTATCCTCATCGTCAATCTTCAGATCTACTGTGAGAAGTTTCTGGAATGCCCTCTTCATCTTTTCACGATCGCCAAGGGCAAAGTAACACAATATCAGGTTGAAACCAGTTTTAAAACTTGGTGCCTCAGACATAATGTGCTCAAAAGAAGTGATAGCGTCACTGTACTGTCCCATTTTCACAAACACAATACCAATGTTCTGCATGATTTTAGTCCTAGTGAAAACAGAACAAGAATAAAATCTACTGTTAACACAGACTTGCATAGATCTTTCCCAAGACATTGCATAATTTTGAAGAATATTTCATAAAACTCATTATATATTATTCTATGCCAAAGTTTATGGAAATATAACATATCAGTTTATAGCTATTACCCCCTGATGGAAATTTTCTTGATAAAAAACACCTATTGCTCAAAAACATACAGGTGGAATGCCCCCACATTCCACTGTCTACATACGGACAGCAAGACGGACAAACAAGGGCAAATCTAAAAGAAACAGCAACCAACCTCATTTCTTTGTGAGAGTTTGGAACTTGATCCAGTGACATTCTGTACATCTTAATGGCCTTTGGGTAGTTCTTCTGCTTGAAGTAAATGTTCCCCATATTCACTTTCAGTCGACCTGAAACATATTATTCATAGTAAAGTACAGTATCTAACATCTGATTTTAAAGACTCAATATATTTGCAACAAAAATACTGAAAACCTCACTTCAAAAAATAAAAATTTGGATATATGACCTGTCATTAAATAGCTTTTCCCTAGCATTGTCCATATTTTCAAGTTTGACTGTAGTGACAAGGGTGGCACATGTTTTATGAAAATTTTTACTCTTCATATATTAAATCGGCAAAAAAAATGTTCTAACTTGAAATTTAAGAATATTATGAGAAACCATTAAATGACTGATATACTAAAAGCAGACTCTGAAAATCAAACAATACTTAGGTTAACCCATTGATGGCTTAAAACATTGATGGCAGCTAAGTTAAAATCAATAGTTGCACACAAAACCTTAACTAAGTGTCCAGTGATGACTACACACTCACAAGTTAGATAACCCCAACTATTATTTAAGATACTTGTGCTAAAAGTCTGAATCCAAGATGTCAAACAGAAACATACCTGCATTACTGAACATTTTGTTCTTTACAATGACCTGGTATGTATTCAGTGCCTCATTATACATCTCATTGGCAGCATATTGGTTGGCCAAGTTAAATAGTACCTGAAATATTTAGTTAAAATTCAATGAAAAAATATAATAAGACATCTAGCTCAATTCAGTAACACTTGCAGCATTTATGGTAAACCACATTAAAAAAGATTGTTCTCCACAGCAGAGTTTGACTATCCACTCATCTTCTAATAACTACGAGTAGAAATTAACTAAGGATGAGTAAAGCTCCCAGCAACACTTGTTCAGCAGAACATGTGGTATTTTTAGCGTAAAACAATTAAATATCAAGTCTTAATTACACAAAACAGAATCACTAATTCATGTATTTGTTACACAAAATGAATGCTGATTTATAACATCCAATGCTTTCATACATAAGGTAAACAGCTGACTGTAAAGTCATATTTGGCAAAATATAACAAAATATGTTTCATATGCAGGTGTACAATAAAGCAGTTATTTGGAAAATATTATTAAAAAAAAAAAAAAATATACAGTAGAACTTCGGTAAGTCGAAGTTGAAGGGACTTGCGTAGAAACTTCGACACATCGGGACTTCGACTCATGAATTTCACTCAATTCCATGACAAAATTTCGACCCATGACTACTTCTAATTATAACATCTATAACGAAACCTATTTCATGTTTTTCCATCATTAATCTGATATTTTATATTTTACAATGATATATATAGAATGTTAAATAACTTTTTTCACGGCTTATTATTTGGACTACCCGTTGACGTATACAATAGAGTTACAAAAGGCGTAACAATACGAAAGGGCGATAACTAAATCAGCTCATAATAAATATTTCACGTGTTATTCTCACGCGACACCGGGTCACGTTTACAAATGAAAGAAGTTCTTACTGTTTACTGTCAATTACCACTACGGCAATTAAAATAGAAACGATTAAAGCATTTTATCACACATTTTATCGCAAACAAAGGCTGTTTGAACACACGGCTGTGTAATTAACACCTGTCACACAAGTTGATTGGAAATAGTCTTCGCAGCCAGCTAAGGTGCGAAAAATATCTCTAGATCGAAGGTGTCACAATTATCGAACGACTTCGACTTATTTGTGGTCAATTGCACTAGATTTACTTTATATGGACCACGAAAAAACTTCGACACCTCGAAAAATTCGACACATAAAATCTCGACTCATAAATAGGTTTTTATAAGGAATATATAGGGGAAAAAATTGGGACTTTCATTTTTCTTCGACACATCAAGAAAATCGACTAATTGAAGTTCGACTCATAGAAGTTCTACTGTATATAAAGAGCATGCATCTTACCGAATATGTTAGATCAAGGTTAATCTGATCTCCCATGGACATCTGTTCTCGCTGTCTCACCAACACTCTTTCCTTACGACCAGCTTCCTTTGCCTTCTCTAATGCCTACAACAGAAAATATGTTTGTATATGATCGATATGTGACATGCATAATTTACTGGTATATATGTAGAGCTTTGTAACACCACCAAGTTCAGCGACACAAAGTTACTATACAGATCTGAATGGCTCTTCTGATGTTTGATACTTAAGTGTCAATCATTTCTGTGCACCAGGTATTATCTGGCTTTGTTGACAAATCACTGAAACGCTAACTTGAGGTTGAATTTTCTAGATACCAGATTATAATTTTTATACCCCATTGTAGGGAATAAATAAACCAAACATAATTTTCAATGCTTTCTGACCTAAGCATTTCAATTAACAGCAAAGTATGTTTATAAAGTAAGTAAAAATGTAAGTTGAATAAATTGTCATGTAACAGAAATGGACTATCTTAACTGCTTAATAATAAAGCAAGGAACTGGAAAAAGCAGAATTTGTTTATATGTGAAAAGAAAATTATTTAATAAAATCAAAGTCACAGTTATGGGTTCTGGACCCACAATTATGAGGTGAAGTTTTCAGAGGATTCCTTCAATAGCTTTGGAGATTAATCTTGCATGCTAAACCATAAGAGTTCTCTCATAAAACAATCTCATTAAATAATATCTAACTGTCACTCCACTACCCTTGCTAGGTAGCGAAGAGTAACGAGTGAAAACTATGATCTTACGATTTTAATGAAATTGCTCATAAAATGAATATAATTAAGTCAATATCTAGACCAGAGTTACTGCACTTGGAAAGTGACTTACAATTAAGCTCTCAAAGACATTTTCAAAGTTTCAGGTGAATACCATCAGTGGTTAATTAGAAATTAAGCTTGCACACAACACTTTAACCAAGAATTTTACACCAATGCCCTGGTAAGCAGAATAGCCTCCCGTTTTTTAAAAACAAATGAGCTTTAAATAATTTAAATTATGTGTAAATGTTGATCAAAGGAGGAAATCAATAGAATAGCCTAACTTTTTTGTAAAAAAATGAGCTAAAAATAAATGCAACTGTGGGAAGTAACATCATCATAAATAAAGCTATATCCCTCAATGATCAACTAAGAATGTATCTTACCAAATTTAGTTCTCCACGACTGTTACCAAAGCAACTCTCCTCAATAAGTTCATTCACTTTCTTCTCTAACTGGCGGATCTTTTCTTCAGGACTAAAATGAAACATGTTTGCCATAACAGTTTTGTTATCATTTTCAAAGTTATCTAAGGAATACTTGAGATCCATTTCTTATTATGTGATTTACGTGAAAATTAATTCAGTATCATGGTATATTATAAAGTCTTTTGGCCATTTATTTAAGCAAGACTTTGTTTTTATCTTTCATATTAATTAATATTTCTTCTGAATAACACAAGCATGCCCATGTGTCAAACAGGAAAAAAGAAGTTACATCTGATGACAATGAAAGTGATTAGCCTTTGCCAATAGTTTAGTATAGTCCGTGAAATCTGACAACTCATCAGGCTCTATACTGTTGGTTGCTCTACTTTTGTATTTTATTCCTGAAATTCCTGAATTTTCAAATGGACTGTTCCAAATTAAAAGATGGGCAAATCAATTACTAACATTCAGGAAGTTAAGGTTTAAAATAACAATATTTTCTAATATGTACAGATCAATCACTATGTTTATTAAATACATACCTGTCTTCAGGTTTAGGCTCCAAGGGTGGCGCTGGACCAGCTGCTTGGTTGAGAGGATCAAACCCAGCAACTCCTGTAAAGAAAAATATATAAATACATACAAGAATTCAGAAAAGCCATTAATAAAACTGATAATTAATCCAGGGACAATTATCATAACTTCTAGTATATAAATAACCAAAACACTGTTTAAAGGACCGTACATCAAACAAAACAAATAGCAAAAAATTTAAAGATCATGTATGTTGTAATTAAGGATGTGACAACACTTAAGGGAAATTGTAGCTTACCAAAGATGCCATCTTTTTTTTTATTCTGTCTGAATGTAATGGCACACAGTATTGAAATCCCTCAAAATTTTTGAAGGTCTGTTCCAAATTTAAAGCATGACAAATTCATTACAAAACTTCAACATGTTAAGGGTTAAAATAAAAACACAAAATAAACTGCTTTAAATTCATGGCAGGACAAATTGATTATATCTATTCAGCAGTGAGAGGATTTAAATTAGATTTTTTTAACCATTTGAGCCGCGTCACGACAAAACAAACATAGTGGGTTTGTGACCAGCATGGATCCAGACAGGCCTGCTCATCCACGCAGTCTGATCAGGATCCATGCTGTTCGCTTACAGACCCTATAACAAGTACAGAAACTGAAAGCGAACAGCATGGATCCTGATCAGACTGCGCGGATGCGCAGGCTGGTCTGGATCCATGCTGGTCGCAAACCCATTATGTTGGTTTTGTCCTGACGCAACTCATCTCTTTCTTACCTCTTTTCCCTACAGCAGTATAACCTGCTGCCCTTACAGCTGTCATTGGTCTAGCCTGGGGATCCTGGCCAGCTGCTGCACCAGTTATTGGACGTCCCATTGAGGAGGGACCAGCTCTACCCCCTCTCATAGCAGTTCCCATCCTTGCACCACCAAGTACAGGAGCCCCTGCCCCAGCTCCTCCTCGGAATCCAGTCTAGACAAAAATTCAATATTGTTTTGCAGATGTACTAAGAAAATTATAGAAACCTAATCATATATAAATGAAAGCAAAGATCAGCAAGGAAGAGTAATGTCGAAAGAACACAACTTTGAAAATATCCAGCCACAAAAACTCCAAATAAACATATAGGAATGGCACACCAGTGGGGGATACTTCATTTTTCTTTTTCAGCAAACTTAAGCGCTTCTTTTCATTAAATGCTTCCCAACCTTTACATCTTTATCAAAACTATAAGAAAATCAATAATGTTATGCTGTTTGGCTTTTTTGCCAATAGACACAATGTGCACAAGGCCATTCTTTATCAGAGCTTTGTTGTCTTATAACTGTGATGCTTAACTTGAATAAACAATGTAAATAAACACTATCATCACTTACAGGGGGTGGACGTCTACCATGACTTGTTCTCAATACTGCTTTCTGAAAACTTGGGTCATTGGCCAAATCCTGAAAATTTGAAATAGAAACACTATGAAAAATTAAATCAGACCAGATTATTATAAGACTGCTCCCTTATATAATGTTATAACATAAGTTTAAAAGTATGAAAAAAATATGTAGATCAAACAAGAGAAGTTAAATCTTGAGTATTTGACCAAAGATTTAGATTATTATAAATTCACTGATCACTAGCTTATATAATGTTATAACATAAGTTTAAAAATTTGAAGAAAAAAAATATGTAGATCAAACAAGAGAAGTTAAATCTTGAGAATTTATAACAACAGTACTCTCCTTTAGACTATATCCTATTTGGTTTTTTTGGTTGGCTTTCATGTTATACCAACACAGTAGAAGTCACATGGCGACTTTCTAGATTTTCTGGTCAAAAACGATTTAAGATGCATTATTTCAGGCACTAGCAGGAACCTGAGTAGGACCATCAACATTCAATTGATCAGCTAGCTTGGTAGCTTCCTCACATGAAAGAATCCAAAGTCCCAGGCTGGATCAAACCCATAGTGGTGAGGGGCAAGTGATTTGATGTCATCAACCTTCACCACTCAGCCGCAAAAGCCCCTATATAGTTCATTCGATCTTTTCATACCGAGAATGTTTCATTAAACCAATTATTTATACTGACGACTTAACTTGGTACTTACATCAGTGTCTAGTGTTGCATTGTAGTCATTAAATCCACCATAGACATCATCTTCATCTTCTCCTCCTAAATGTACTTGCTCCATCATGCTCATACGATTAACACCGGCCATACATTAACTACCTGCAAATGACGACAATCAAATTACAGCCTTAGCAACCAATGAAATTCCTTGATAATACAATAGAGCACTTAGCTAATCCACAGTTAAGTTTTCTCAAATTTTTCATGTCAAGCAAAAAATTACGATAAATTATAAACTTACACAGTAAAGTTTACACTGCACCAGTTTTGTCCTTGGCACAGCCCCCACCCCTCCCCAATAATACAAAAGAATCCCTATGTATAACAGTAGGCTAAAATATATTTAGATTAGTGACCTACATGTGTATGACACATCTGTAACCCATCTGAATGATCTGTGTTGGACTGTCTACAAGTTAAAGTTGAGAATAACAAGTGTAGTGGCAACAAGACAGTGGACAAATGTAATGAATGGATTGATAATGCAACAATTAAGTTTTCTCTCAATTTGATTCTAGAATAAGATTATTGCTATGCAATTCAAGACACCCACCCCCATTTTTCGCTAAAACTTGCCCCTGTGCCTGGCAAAATTTCTGGGGAAAGGCCTGGACATACATGTGAAAAACAGGGAGATTTTTTAATTGACATAGACATAGAAGGAAATTTTAAAATGAAAAAGAGGGAGATTTCTTTTTATTTTTAAATACCCCTTCTTCTAAGAAAGATATTTGAAAATTTGACAGGAGAAAGAGGGAGTCTCATGCTTAAATAGGGAGACATCACAAGTATGATTCAAGATAATGTTTTTATTTATTTTCTTTAATTTATGAGTACTTAAATAAATTACATGTATACATTGTATATTGAATACAAAAGTCAGTATTTCCCCTCTCTCAATATCTTCAAAAAAGTAATTTATAAAAAGGTAGACCGTCCGCGCAAATTAGCTTTTTCGCATTTAATGTCTATAAATTTACAGATAGAAAAATCTGTAAAATTATAGATGGTCCATAAATTTACTGACTGTCCGTAAATATCATGAAATCCTAGACCTGACAATTCACTCAACACAGCCACATACTACATACGGCCATTTCATGTTTTATAGCGAGCTCGACGAGCTGGCCCGAAGGGCCTGCTCGCAAAGCGAGCTTTACGGTAACGCGAGTACCTGCTAAGTAAACTAAGAAAACTTTCGTTCGAAGGACCGAATTGGACACATCGCAACTTTTCGAATTTAAAGATAACGATAAAAACTGAGGAATTCTGACTGAAAACGGATGTGTAGACTGGTCACCCGCGCACATCTATGGGAACCACAATTGGACAGGGAACCAGAACAACGGAAGCTGTGTATAAAATAACGAATGACAGTTTTAAAACGTAAAATGTAAAATGAAAATTGAAGGCGCCATTTTGTTTGAAAAATCTGATAAATAAAAACATTTTTTTGTCGAATTTTGTTGTGAAAGCTATCTAGAATGAAAGAAAATGGTCTAACTAAGAAAATGTATCCGAACACCAATATCTTTTATTCAGTCGTTAACGCTGTACAGACGTTTAAAGTATTGTTTACGTGACATCACAATGTAGCGCCAAACAACATGTGCAAAACAATCAAATCAAGTACGCTATTTTAATGTCGCAAACGTTTTAAATTTAACATTTATTTCACTTTTAATAATCTTTATTTCGCTTGAAAAATTATAGAGTGAAATAAATTAAACAAACAAAGTTTTATCAACGTTTCCAGAAACTCGTAATTCATTTAACGACAGGGGCGGAGCCATATTTAACACAGTACGTGTGACGTCACACGCACTCGTCACTGCATTTGAAATAAAAATGAGCGATTATTTCATACTATTTCACGTTAAAAGTACATCGAGCTCGCTTTGAGGCTTTGCCTTTTTCATATTATCTATTTGTACAAACATTCTTGCTATGAAACAATACACAATGACATAATGGCAAATTATTTAAATATGATTACTTAACGGAAGCTTACCTTAATACGGGGAAGTCAAAGACCGGGCCCGCGAAGCGGGTCCGGGCTTTGGCTTGCCCGGCTATAGACTACACGTGTATATTTAAAAGAAAATCAAATAAAAAACAATTAAAAAATATATAGAATTCTATACCTATCAATGAAATTTTCAGTGTCAGTTCTAGTCAGGCGCCGCCATTTACAATGTAACTCCATGATAATAGGCGGGGTATTCCGAGAACGGAACAAATCTCAACTTTTCGGATAAATAATAAACGTCGAGTGTTCCGAGTGAAAACGGAAGCGGTGCATGTTATACCGAATGACACCATTAAAACGGAAAGAATGAAAGGAATTTTTAACGACTTCCCCGTGCATAGGCTTTGCCTAATTTCATATTAAACTAAAGTAACGTTTTGACAGTCATGACAGTGATGATCATTATGATAAATTTGTAAATAACCACATGAGCATGTAAGTTTTCATTGTGCCAACTTTCATAAATGATTTGTAACAGTCTCCATATTTTCATTCAGCCTGTAAAAATGAACATAAGCAATACTCACAAGAAACGCCGGTTTAAATTTATTTTGTTTATGTTTAGTGCTTGTCTATGGAATTTGGTATGCATTCACTGCGCATTTGTTCTGCGCATTTACGGAAGCAGTCCATTAGTAGCGGAAGTGTTCGTTCGTACACACAATTTAACGTAACAATAAACAGAAAAAGTGCACGTAACATATTTTTAGGTATAAACAAAAACATTTTTCCGTGACAAAATGTTAATATGCAGTAATCGTTATAAGTTTATTTTGTCTGATAATATGTTGTTTCACACGTCTTTCCTTATCTCTTATTATCTCCTCTTTGACTTTGACATTTTTAACTTCATTCTGTACATTCGGATCACCTCGCCAATTACTCATAATCACGGTCTGATTACAACACCAAAGTAAAAGATTGCAGTAGTTTGTTCCTGGCAATTGACATAAATAAAAGCAAGGTAATAATTAATTTTCAAACAAATACTTTTTACTAAACAAGACTACATACCAAATTTTTTTCTAAGATATGTAGATTCTAATATCTAAAAAATATATTGTCATTGTTGTATTTTTCACTACAGTAACTCAATAACTATTCAGTTGACAGTCCATTTATCCGTGATCAGGTGGTTCATATTTTATGCAGTGAGTGGTGTTATCTAAAACTCATTCTATGATGGGAAAGCGACTCTTGCATCCCCGGTTTGTATGTCCAAATCCTTGAGAGGCACAAGGCTGTGGCCTAACACTTTGTTCCACCAATGATTGCATCCCTGGTTGGTATGTCCAAATCCTTGAGAGTCACAAGGCTGTGGCCTAACACTTTGTTCCACCAATGACACTGGTGAACACCTGAAAACACTGCTTAATTTATACATATATGTCATCATGGATACATTTTTAATTTCATATTTTCAGAAAGTTTGTTTGGAACTCAATAGAAAGCATGAGTGAAGGAACTGAAGAAACTATTGCTGAGTGGACAAATCTTCCAGAAGTTATTCTAGGCAACATTTTCAGCTACCTTCCAACTGTCGACAGACTTTGTATAGGAGGAGTTTGCAAAGCTTGGGAAAATGCTGTTCACAGACCAGAGGTTTGGGAATGCTTTGACTTCTCAGAGAAAGATGTTGACGAATTTGGTAATGATCTGGATGTGTTAAGAAGTGAACTTTTCTTCAGCGACTTTGATGGAAGCATTTCTGAGGCAATTGTTGAAACATATGTAGGTGTAATAAAACAGTTTGGAAGAAGCTTCAGACGCGTTAAGATTTTATTCAGAGGGAGGCATTCGAATAGGGTTTTATATACGTTGTCCGATTGCTGTTTAAATATTACCAATCTCAGTGTCCAGCGAATGCAGCAGAATGTCCAAGTTGTTAGAAATCATGATTCTTCTTACAGACAAGCAATACACAACATAATACAGCGAAATTCAAAACTGGAAGAACTGTACGTAAGAGACATAGACAATTATGCTGAATCGCAACAGAAAAGCCCTCTCCCTTTAGGAGCATCCCATTCCTACACAATTAAAGAATTAACTATTATTCAATCGTTTCAGTATTGCAACCTTGGAAACTTCATGTATTTGGTCAATCTACGAGAACTAGCACTTGAGCCCCATTTCCTAAGTTACAGCCTACTATATCATTTAGCCAGTAGATCTTTGATTAAGTTACACATCCTGGCTATCTCAAAGCATATGGAGTTTTACAATGAAGCTCTTCAAGATTGGCAGTGGCAAGAAATAAAGAAGCAAGGACCAAAGTTACGCGTTCATTGCCTTTTCAGAGTGGGACATGAATGGACTGAGAAAGATATTATATTGAAGAAAGAAATCCCAATGAAATGTCTCAAATATGCCAAATATCATTTGTTGAACTATCCAGTTTTAACCAACCTTGTATGTAACTATTCATCTACTCTTGTGGAATTTATAGACTTCAGCCACTTTTTGAAAAGTTACGAGCTCGCCCAAGGTAATCGTTCTGATCGACCTGAAATAAACAGGTGTATTTTGCAAATTGTGCTCGGATGCACTTTGCTTAGAACTTTAGCTGTTAAAGAAGTGTTATACAGCCAAAATATATTGTTTATGTTAAGTGCTAACAAAAATTTAGATATCTTTTTACGAGAGGAGCAGATTGAATATAGCGAGTTTATTTCCGATCCAATGCCATATGAAGAGTTCGATCTTATAAGTAGGTCATGGGTGAACTTTGAAAATTTCAAATTTGCTGTCTTACATATAACTAATAAGCATTGGAATTTTTACACGGAAGGCAGTGCAATGTATGAAAACTTTGTTAAGAAGCATTTTAAGCTTTTGTAATACTTATAAATGCAGCAGGCCTCCAGATCAATTAAATATTCAATGAAGCCCTTACTTCATTAGTAACAGGGCTGATAATTGATATGATGATAAAAATTGTAAAACAATGTCATAGTGTTTTAAAATGTTTAAATGTTTCAACATTCTTGAGTTTGATTTAAATTTCGTTACTCATTTCATAGGTACATTTTCTTTATATATTTTTGTGTGTGGGTTTTTAGGCATAAACCCTTAATCTCCTAGAACTGAAGGATTAGCCTTGCCACCAGTAAGTCCAATATCCACAGACTTTGTTGGCTAACTTTAAATTTTCATCTTGATATTCCCTTTATTGATAATGAACTGTTTCAAATATGGAAAAGTCCATTTAAGAAATACAGCAAGGTTTAAGGTACTGACACCTCTGAAGTAGCAATAATAGGCATTTTATGTCACCATTTATTATTGTTTTCTTACTATAAGAGAAGTTACTGTGACCATCTTTCCAGGAAAACTATAATTGGACATTTATTTTTTATACCTGATACTTTTTGTATTTCCTTTTCTTTATCTACCTCAGTTGTCAAAATCCTCTTTTTTTATTAAAATTTTGAGAAAAAGTTTATTTGTAAGAATATACCTAAATATTAGAATTTTATGTAAGATTTTTAGCTCGAATTTTCGCAGGATTATTGAGCTAATGAAGTCACCCATTTGTGGCATTGGCGTCCCTGTGGTTAAGATTTTGCATGTAAGCTAGTATCTCCATTGAAGAGAATGGATTGAAACTTCACACACTTATTCTCTGTGATTATCTTACATGATTGGTACAAGTCCCATAATTCTGATTTGCTTTTTTGCATAATTATGCCCCTTTTTGTGACGGATGCGCCCTCGCTATGTCATCTACACATGGGATTTCGTCGGCTACAATCGCGGAGGTGTCCTCAACCGAATAACAGCCCAAGAAATAGTACATGAATTTGATCCTATAAAACTTCCATACTTTATCGGGATATCTTAAAAACTTTCATATTTAGCCTTTTCAATTTCGAATTAAGTTATCCAAGTTAAAATATGAACGTATTTGATTGATAAAAACGTTGTAGCCCCCATAGTATTATTGCGCAATATGCAAATAACTGCTGAAACGATTTACCGCTGTCGAAAAAGTAGGACAGCAAATTATGCTATAATTGAGTAAGTTCAATAATTCATTAAAAATATTAGTAGGAAATAAATATTTCTCCATTAAACATTTTTTATAAACAGATCAAAAGTTTTTCGTGACTCTAGAATAACTCGCGCATTAATAAAAGAAGAACTCTTTCCGTGACTCATACCGCGGATTTAGCTGCATGAATATGCAGCAGTTATTAATAAATTAGACTACAGTACAATGGTTAGTACATGTATTATAAATATCTATTATTGAAAATGCATGGGATCAACACTTTACCACCGTGTAGTCTTTCGTGGTAATCTTTCTTGAAGGAAGTTATAATTTCAGTTCCACTTCCGATTCTTGTGTTTTGTTTACATAATTTTCTAGGTCACGATATGAGTTAACCTGCTATGAGATTATAATAGCCAACACTATTCTAAAAATAGATTCTGCATCACCTGTGCTGACTTTCGGGAGTACACATTATACATGTAATAAACCAGCGTATACTTACTTTGTTTACATGCAATACTTTAAGAAATTCTATTGTAAGAAGCAAACAAGTTGAAAATGGAATTTAGTGTGAAATTGAAAGGGACAACTAAACACTGTAGTGCTTAAGCGACATTTAAATTAAAATAAAAACGATGTGCTCTGGCCTCTACATCTTAACCTTGTAAATGAAAAATAATTAAATTTTAAAAAAAAATACACCATTAATTGCTGATGATTTTAACCAAAAATATTTTTAATGAGACATATCCAAGAGAAATAAAAATACAAATGACTAATATTTTATTGTTTATAATTATGCCCACTATGATATAACACGAAGCAATATTATTCTAATTAACGTTCTCACATGTATTATGTATTATGCTTGAAGTTTATTTGCATGGTTATATTTTAGAAATATTTCGTTGACAGTTTTTTTTCTATTTACTTATCATTTCTTGGAATAAATCAATAAGGACACTGATTTACAAGTTTGACCAGAGTTTTAAGACATAAATTTCATTCTGTATTTAAAAATTTGGACTTGTTCTGCTTGAAAGTAGAAAATCTGAATTATATCAGATTGGGACACATAAAATATATTGCACTACAAATCTCGAACTTGTATGGAACAAATTTTCTCTGTTACACCTTTTGTGGGTTTTTTTTCTCAAAAAAAGTCCGGTTGCATGTCCGTCGCATTCAGTGCTGCAGCACTTTGATTTTACTTAGATATTCTTGGTTAAGTTTTTGCGTGTAAGCTGGTATTTCTTTAGGTAGCAAGACACCTCACCCCCCAGACACTTCACCCCTCAAATTTTGAAGACACTTCACCCCTTAAGACACTTCACCCCCCAAAATCAATAAGACACTTCACCCCTCATCCATTTTTTTTCTATAAAGTAAATAAAACAAGTTGGTCAACAACAAAATGCTTATATATGTTTATATATATTATTTTTCGTATTATTTGATTAAAAATTTTGCTTATAACCTTTATTTTTACAAAATTTAAAGCTGATTTAGGTTAATTGGTTGTATTGCCAAATGATATATCACAGCACTTTCATCCATGAAGAGTTTATTGCATGTCACCTTGTTTATTCAACATGTTGATTAGTTGTTTATTCAACGGTTATCTCACAATTGATTAGATAATTGAATTAAAATGGTATAATTGTATGAAAATTAAATTTATTCTTAATAAATTAATTTAATAAATAAATAAAATAAAATAAATAAAATGAATATAAATGAATGAATCAGCTGCTTTATAAAGTATAGTAAATATAAATTATTTATCATCATTATCAGACCCAATTATCAAGATCATTCATAATGTCATTTATTAAACAAATAAATAGCACCAGTTATGTAAATTAAGCACAAGGTTAAAGCACACACCATCACGAAATGAACGTAACTCAATGATTATTATATGGTAAGGATCAAACTGAAAACAAACTTAAGAACCAAAACTTCACGAATTTAATCAACTCAAAATTTATTAGACAATGGGTTAAAACAATAAACATGCTCAATCACTATTGAATGTACTATTTAACATAGTCTACATAAATAATTGTTAAACACAAAATAAAAAAAATGAGGGGTGAAGTGTCTCAATCAAATTTCTTAAAATGAGGGGTGAACTGTCTGAGGGGTGAAGTGTCTGCAAAAAAGGGCCTAGGGTGAAGTGTCTGGGGGGTGAAGTGTCTGTAAGCCTTTCTTTAACTACTGAAGGGATGGATTGAAACTTCACACACTTGTTCTCTGTGATTATCTAACATGATTGGTACAAGTCCCATAACTCTGATTTGCTTTTTTGCATAATTATGCCCCTTTTTTTACTTAGATATTCTTGGTTAAGTTTTTGCGTGTAAGCTAGTATCTCTTTAACTACTGAAGGGATGGATTGAAACTTCACACACTTGTTCTCTGTGATTATCTAAAATGATTGGCTTCAGTCCCATAACTTCGATTTGCTTTTTTACATAATTATGCCCCTTTTTGTGTCGCCTTGAAAAAGGCGACATATAGGGGTTACTTTTGTCGGCGGCAGCGTCGTCGGTGTCGGCTAGCGTCCCCTAAAGCTTGTCCAGAGCATAAGTCAGTTATTATAAGTTGGATTGACTTCAAACTTGGTATGCATGCTTCTTATAATGACCCGAAGTGCAGTGCACAAGAACTGGTACTCTGCACTTCTTATTTTTTGAGTTATTGCCCTTTGTTAATTTTCATACTTTATTTTTGTCCGGGCCATTTCTCCTAAAGTATAAAATCTATGGACTTGAAACTTCATAGGATGATAGATCTCATTAAGAAGAAGTGCAGTGCACAAGAACTGGTACTCTGCATTTCTTATTTTTTGAGTTATTGCCCTTTGTTAATTTTCATACTTTATTTTTGTCCGGGCCATTTCTCCTAAAGTATAAAATCTATGGACTTGAAACTTCATAGGATGATAGATCTCATTAAGAAGAAGTGCAGTGCACAAGAACTGGTACTCTGCATTTCTTATTTTTAGCTCGACTATTCGATAAGAATAAGTAGAGCTATTGCAGTCACCCGAGCGTCGGCGTAACCACTTATGTTAAAGTTTTTGTAATAGTTCAAATATTTTCAAAGTCCATTGACATATGGCTTTGAAACTTTGCACACTTGTTCACCATCATGACCCCAACCTGTAAACAGGAGGAGGTAACTGTATCAAGCATTTTTTTTACTATCAAGCACTAAGAATAGTCGAGCGTTGCTGTCCTACTGACAGCTCTTGTTTGAGTTATTGCCCTTTGTTAATTTTCATACTTTATTTTTGTCCGGGCCATTTCTCCTAAAGTATAAAAGCTATGGACATGAAACTTTATAGGATGATAGATCTCATTAAGAAGAAGTGCAGTGCCCAAGAACTGGTACTCTGCATTTCTTATTTTTTGAGTTATTGCCCTTTGTTAATTTTCATACTTTATTTTTGTCCAGGCCATTTCTCATAAATTATAAAAGCTTTAGACTTGAAACTTAATAGGATGATAGATCTTATTGATAAGAAGTGCAGTGCACAGAAACTGCTGCTCTGCATTTCTTATTTTTTGAGTTATTGCCCTTTGTTGATTTTCAAATTTCATTTTTGTGTGGGCATTTCTCCTAAACTATATTGTTCACAAGGCGACACATCCGACTCGCGGAGTTCAAGTTTGACTTAGAAATTCTTGGTTCAGGTTTTGCCTGTTAGCTGATATCTCCATAACTACTGAAGGGTTTTCTTTTTTGCCTTATTTTTGGACAATTTTATGCATTCATAATAATCAAGCAGTGATTTACTTGATAAAACATCTTAATATTTTTAATTATAACCAGCCTGTGTACCTTTTCGGACAATTTTATGTATTCATATAGGTAAGCATTATTATACTCAATGAAACACCCTTGTGACAACTTTTTCGAATAGTTGAGCGTCGCTGTCCTCTGACAGTTCTTATTTTATATCTAAGGGATATAAATATGTATACCGTATCTGTGGATTTGAAAAAAAAATATATCAGAATTTTAATTTTACTATTTTTGAGACTTCAGAAATATGGAGTGGTAGTGAAAACCCTGTTTATATAGTAGATCAATTCAACATAGCATTCTTTGTTTTATCATAGAGAAGTGAATTGTCACGGTATGAACCTTTTTGGACACAAAGGGACACAATGTATAAAATGTTAGAATAACTTGTTGTACTCAAATATGATCAAATTGCCAACATATAGTCTTAGACTGAAGTAATAAAAACTCAGGTAAACAATATACAAAGGTGTTGTTTTTATTATAGTAACAATTAACATCAGATTGACAAGTTGGATAACTCTGCCTACAATATTTACAGAATTATGCCCCTTTTTTTAACTTAGAAATTTTGATTTAATTTTTTGGTCAAATATCTCATTTATTGCTTGAGATATTCAAATGAAATTTACAATACTTTTTAGTAACAATGTACATCAGTTTGCAAAGTTGCATAACTCTGCCTGCAATATTTGCAGCAATATACCCCTTTGAAAGAAATTTTGGTTAAAGGTTAAAGGTCTAAAGAACTATCAAAGATAATTACTTGAATCTTTACACATGTACATGTACATGTCATATTTGAAGGTCACATCTCAAGATCCACTCTGCCATGTATTTTGACTGTATTTTGACTGAAATATCCTTTTCTTGGTTAAGTTTTACATGCAAGTTTTGCATATCTGTGAAACTATTAAAGATACAAACTTGAAACTTCTTATGTATATTTGTGGTCATAAATAATGATCACTGAACAGCACTCATATTTGTATCATGTATTTAGGCTGATTTATCTCCCCCTTTTTTACTTAGTCTCTTGGTTAATGTTAACATGTAAGTTTTACATATTTCATTAACTATCAGAGATTTTGATTTGAAACTTCACATATGCATGAAGGGTCATAGTTGTATGTTACATGACTGTCCAGTAAAACTCCAACATGCCCTTTACAAAACTGCTGACTTGTTCCTTGATTTAAAAAGGAATTTGTTGCATATATTTTTATAAACAAAAATAAAGGTTTCTGATAATTTAATCTTTATACACATTTTTGTTCACAGGTAGAGGCCTTTTTAATAATAAAAGTGTACTCTTGTGTTCAGAAGTATTTTTGCTATCATAATTGTTCACATCTTTATTAAGACACCTTTTCACATTGTAATTTGACCGAAAGTGTACTTTGTTCAAAAGTGTTTTTGCGTTGTTTAAATGTTTATTTGCTTTTATGATATTCAGATTCTTATTGGTAACTTAAGCTTATGAGGACATCTTCCATTTTGTATATTCATAAATACTAATAAAAAGTATCAGTTGTTTCATATATACATGTAACTGCATCTTTTTGAATAAATATTTCAATTTTCACTTGCCGTACTTCAAACTTCTTTTCAAAAGTCATGTTCATAATAATATTCTGATAAATATAAAATGCATTTCCACTAAGCGAGCCGGGCTAGCACACAGGTAGAGTGCTGGTCTGTCAAAAGGTAGACCTATATTCAATCCCTGTCCTTTCCATTAGTCCAATGCCATTATTTTGATAACTGTTCTAATTGTCGAGCATGCTGTCATCGGACAGCTCTGATTTGCTACTTTCCAAATTTATGCCCCCTTTTATACTCATGGTTAACTTTTTCCTTTTAAGCTAGTATCTCCCGAACTACTGAAGGGAATGGAATGAAACTTAACATACATTTTCACTGTGATTTTTCAACATGGCACTTGGCACAAGTGATCACAATTATGAGACGATGTGCAGAGCGCAATAATTGGGTTGCTATCCCCAAGGTCAAACTTTAAAGTCAAGTGTTTAAAAGTGTACATGTTGTGTGCGCTCCATAACTTTTAAATCGCTGCAAATATTTTGAAATGACTTGGTACAAGTGATCACCATTATGAGACGATGTGCAGAGCACAATTATTGTGTTGCTACCATCAAGGCCAGTCTGAGTAAAAAGTCAAAAAGTCTTCATTTCATGCCCACTTCATAACTTTAAAACCACTGAACAATTTTTTGAAATAACTTGGCACAAGTAATCACCATTATGAGACGATTTGCAGAGTGCAATAATTGGGTTGCTACCCCCCAAGATAAGGTCACACTTTAAGGTTGAATGCTAAAAAGTCTATGTTTCGTGTCCGCTCCATAACTTATAAAAGGCTTAAAGAAATTTGAAATAACTTGACAGAAATGATCACCATTATGACATAATATGCAGAACCCAACATCCAGGTTGCTACTTTTAATGTCAAGGTTAAATGTTCCCCATTATGGAAGATTTAAAATAACTTGGCAAAAATAATTACTATCATGAGACTATATGTATACAATATACATGGCACAACATCAAGTTCATGGTCTGTTTAAGGTCAAGAAGTACACATTCATGTCTGCTGCGGACTGGGATTCAGCTGTCCTTTAGACTGCCTTGTTTAAATTAAAAATGGTTGTCAGACATATTTTCAATAAATTGTACCCAAACAAACTATATTTTCCTTTGGATGTCAAATATAATATACATTAGTTTTACTTTTTTCGAAGATTACACTCTCTGTTTCTGTTTACATCTGAAACCATGTGGTAGAACTACTTTCAATCTGTATTAACTCTGAGGTTATTAAAGGTAATAGCCTAGGCCATTCCGATTACATGGAAAGAAGCTATCCAGTAGGCTTAGTTAATACAAGGTCTGTGGTCTTACTTGCTTGCCTGAAATAATGATCTGAGGTCTTCACCCTTCTGAGCTGGAAAGTTGCATTTTTACCTCAACAGACATAAGTTGCTCTAAGTTATAATTAATACAGTACAACTTCTATTAGTCAAACTTTGGTTAGTTGTTTTTCCCAATGTGTCGAAGTAAAATGGAAGTCCCTATTTTTCCACCTATATATTCCTTATAAAAACCTATATACGAGTCAAAATTTTATCTGTCGAATTTTTCAACGTGTCAAAGTATTTTCATGGTACGTATAGAATAAATCGAGTACAATGTACCACAAATAAGTCTAAGTCCAATAGATTTCTACACATTTGCTAAAATAGCCTTTTTGATAGATATTTTTCATATTTGAAAGGATGATGACTTGCATTCTTTGGATTGAGTTAGGGGTCAGTTGAATAAAGGTCACTAGTGCTAAGAATTGATTTTTAAATTTTTGCCCATATATAGCCTTTACTTATTGACAGATATCTTTCATAGATATCTTGCATGGTCCTGTTCCTTTGGATTCAGTTAGGGGTCAAGGTCAAAGGTGCCAAAAATATATTTTTACACATTGGCTTATATATACAACCTTTATTTACATGTATAGCTTGATGTTTTTCATTTTTGGAAAAAAAATACCTTGGTTGGTCCAGTGCTGGGGGTCACAAGGTCAATGTTACTTGTGATGACAATAGATTTTTTTTACACTTTTTAACTCAACTATTCGCAGAATAATCGAGCTTAGATGCAGTCACCCATTTGTCGGCGTCCCTGTGGTTTAGTTTTTGCGTGTAAGCTGGTATCTCTACTGAAGGGAATGGATTGAAACTTCACACACTTGTTTTCTGTGATTATCTATCATGATTGGCGCAAGTCCCATAACTCTGATTTACTTTTTTGCCCCTTTTTCGAAGTTTTTGCGTGCAAGCTGTTATCTCCTAGGGCTGTGCATTGCCATTTTTTTCTGTCACGATACTTATCAAGATACTTGCTTTTCCAAACGATGCGATTCACGATATGTATTGCATACTTTGATAAAATGCGATGCATATTGTGATTTGTATGTTTCGATGCAATATGTATCACAATACTGACTTTCAGACTTAATCTATATAAAAAACTTGGTAATTTGTTCACAGCATTATTACGAATGTAATATAAAACTATTACAATAACAAAACAATAAACTCTTTATCTTGTTATTATAACATATTTTAAAGTTTTGATCTTTCAACAATATACATTACTTATTCTCTAAGGATTTTTACTTTTTACTTAAGGATTAAAGGTATTTTTCATTTTACACTAACTATTAGTGTATTGCAATACTTTTCTGCTATATCAATGCATTGGGTGGTGAAATATGTATTGCATCCTGATATATTGGAATTTATAAATTCATTATGATGCATACATCGAGGACAGGGCAGATCGTGATGTATCCATGCATCGATGAATCGTTACACCTCTAGTATCTCCATAACTACTGAAGGGAATGGATTGAAACTTCACACACTTGTTCTCTGTGATTATCTAACATGATTGGCATAAGTCCCATAACTCTGATTTGTTTTTATTTTTGCATAATTATGGATCTTTTTCGGCTTAGAAATTCTAGGTAAAATTTTTGCTTGTAAGCTGGTATCTCCAAAACTACTGAAGGGTTTGTACCTTTTTTGGAACAATTCTATGCATTCATTATAATAAAGCAGTGATTAACCTTTTAGGACAATTTTATGTATTCATATTGGTAAGCATTATTATACTCAATGAAACACACTTGTGACAACTTTTCCAATAGTCGAGCGTTACTGTCCTCCGACAGTTCTTGTTTTATACAGCCTTTGTATTTTTTTACCAATGTCTCATATTTATAAGGAACATACCTTTGGTGGTCCTTTAAGTTTGGATAGAGTTTGGGGTCTCTGGTTTCATGGTAAAGTCTTGCATATTTGTATATTTGATAAATTTTAATATTTTTCAACTTCATCACAAGTCATAGCAATGACTTGCCAACTTATGTTTTTCTTAATTACAAAATGCCATAACTCTGTCAGGTGTTTAAAAAAAAATTGGCAATTTTTCTGTCCATAACTGAATGAATGGGTAAACATTTTTTAGAAATGTTGCTGACAAGAATCTGAGCTGGGGTCATTTGTGTTTTTAACAATTTTTCTCATTTTGTTTTCTTTAAGTCACATTTTGCATTAACTATACTTTTAAGATACAGTATGTACAATGTATGTGTTCATTTTTAATTTCATATTTTCAGAAAATTTGTTTGGAACTAAATAGAAAGCATGAGTGAAGGGACTAAGGAAACTATTGCTGAGTGGACAAATCTTCCAGAAGTTATTCTAGGCAATATTTTCAGCTACCTTCCAACTGTAGACAGACTTTGTATAGGAGGAGTTTGCAAAGCGTGGGAAAATGCTGTCCATAGACCAGAGGTTTGGGAATGCTTTGAATTCTCTGAGAAAGATGTTGATGAATTTGGAAATGGTCTTGATGTGTTAAGACGTGAACTTTCTTTCACTCATCTTGTTGGAAGCATCTCTAAGGCAATTGTTGAAAAGTATGTAAGTGTAATAAAACAGTTTGGAAGAAGCTTCAGACGTGTTAAGATTTTATTCAGAGGGAGGCATTCGAATAGGATTTTATATACGTTGTCCAATTGCTGTTTAAATATTACCAATCTCAGTGTCCAGCTAATGCAGCAGAATGACCAAGTTCACGATTGTTGCTATATACAAGCAATACACAACATAATACTGCGAAATTCAAAACTGGAACAACTGTATGTAAGAGACATTGACAATTATTCAGAATCAGATCTCCCTTTCGAAGCCTCCCATTCTTACACAATTAAAGAATTAACTATTATTCAATCGTTTGAGTTTTGCAACCTTGAAAACTTCATGTCTTTGGTCAATCTACGAGAACTAGCACTTGAGCCGCATTTCCTAAGTTACAGCCTACTATATCATTTAGCCAGTAGATCTTTGATTAAGTTACACATCCTGGCTATCTCAAAGCATATGGAGTTTTACAATGAAGCTCTTCAAGATTGGCAGTGGCAAGAAATAAAGAAGCAAGGACCAGAGTTACGCGTTTGTTGCCTTTTCAGGGTGGGACATGAATGGACTACAAAAGATATCATGTTGAAGAAAGAAATCCCAATAAAATGTCTCAGATATGTCTCAGATATCAAGTATGAATTGTTGAACTATCCAGTTTTAACCAACAATGTATGTAACTATTCATCTACCCTTGTGGAATTTATAGACTTCAGCCACTTTTTGAAAAATTACGAGCTCGCCCTAGGTGATCGATCCATGCGACTTGAATTAAACAGGTGTATTTTAAAGATTGTCCTCGGATGCACTTTGCTTAGAACTTTAGCTGTTAAAGAAGTGTTATACAGTCAAAATATATTGTTTATGTTAAGTGTTAACAAACATTTAGATATCTTCTTACGAGAGGAGCAGATTGAATATGCGGAGTTTAATTCAGACCTTTTGCATCCAATGCCATATGAAGAGTTTGATCTTATAAGTAGGTCATGGGTGAACTTTGAAAATTTTAAATTTGCTGTCTTACAGCTAACTAATAAGCATTGGAATTTTTACACGGAAGGCAGTGCAATGTATGAAAACTTTGTTAAGAAGCATTTTAAGCTTTTGTAATACTTATTAATGCAGCAGGCCTCCAGATTAATTAAATATTCAATGACGCCCTTACTTCATTAGTAACCGTATTGTTAATATGGTGACAAAAATTGTAAACTATGCTATAGTGCATTTTAAATGTTTAAATGCTTATAAATTAATGTTTATACATTCTTGAGTTTGATTTAAATTTGGTTACTCATTTGATAGGAGTGCTGCATAATATGTACAAATTTATTCGCCTATTTAGTATTAAGACCATAAATTTTGGACTGGACGTGATTAGCTTTGCCACCAGTAAGTCCAATATGACCAGGCTCTGTTGGCTAATCCCCTGCATTTATCATGGAAAGTTCCAACTATGGAAAACTCCATTTAAGAAATACAGGAAGGTTTAAGAGACTGACACCTTTGAAATAGCAATAATAGGCACTAATGACACCATTATTGTTTGCTTACTATCAGTTATTGTGACCATCTTTTCAGGAAAACTACATTGTATAATAATTGGACATTTATTTTGTATACCTAATACATTTTGTATTTCCATTATTTTTTCAATCTATCTCATTTATCAAAAACTACTCTTTTTATGCTCCCACAAAGTGGGGAGCATATAGCGTTGCACTTGTACGTCTGTCCGTCCGTATATCTGTCCATCCCTACATCTGTCCGTATGTCCCGAAATCTTGTGAATGCAACTCCTTTTAAACCGGATGGCAGATTTTGCTTAAACTTCCAGGGATGAACAACCTTAATGTGTAGATGGTAGTAAAGGAAGGAATTTTTGCTGCGACCAAATTTAACAGAATTATGGCCCTTTGTTGATTTTTTCACTATATACTATGTAGAAATCTTGTGAACGCCACTCCTCTTAAACCGGATGGCAGATTTTGCTTAAACTTCCAGGGATGAACAACCTTAATGTGTAGATTGTAGTAAAGGAAGGAATTTTTGATGTGACCAAATTTAACGGAATTATGGCCCTTTGTTGATTTTTTCACAATATACCATATAGAAATTTTGTGAACGCAACTCCTCTTAAACCGGATGGCAGATTTTGCTTAAACTTCCAGGGATGAACAACCTTAATGTGTAGATGGAAGTAAAGGAAGAATTTTTGCTGCAACAAAATTTAACAGAATTATGGCCCTTTGTTGATTTTTTCACTATATACCATATATATGTTGTCAGTAGGGGCAATTGTGTCCTTTGGACACAGTTCTAGTTTTAGCTCACCTGACACAAAGTGATGAGATGAGCTTATGTGACCGCCATTTGTCCGTAAACTTCAAACAACATCTCTTCATAAACCAGTAAGTCAATTTCATCCAAAATTCGCAGGAATATTCCTTCAGTGGTCACCTTTAAAAATTGCTCAATGCAGAACTCTGGGCAAAATTGGCACCAGGGGTGTTTGACATTTCTTAAGGATTAAAAAATAATATGCATTTCTGAGGCATAATGTACTCTTCTTTTAAAAAACCAAAGAGTTACAGGATAGATATTTAGCTTGAAACATCTTCTAGTGGGTGTCTACCATGTTTGTTCAAATAAAAGCCCCAAGGGTGTTGATTTTTCCTTACGTACATGTATATAGTAAAAACAAAACAATTTTCTTATAGAAAATCCAAAAGAGCTAGAATTTAGATGTTTAGCATGAAACATTTTCTAGCGAGTAACTACCAAGTTTGTTCAAATAAAAGCCTAGGGGTCAAAGTTAGCCCCGCCTCGGTTATTGCACAATTTTCCCATAGGTCAGATGTGATTTTCCTACGATATTCCAATACTGATAAGCCACACAATTAACCCATTACTTCATATACACGCCTTTTAACGCCTTTTTCACCCCCCCCCCTTTTTGTTGTCTCAAATGATGAAAAAATGCCTTATTTAGGCCCCAAACACTTGTTTTTGTTTGAGAAATGTTGTTAAAAAAGTGACCCTTTTTTCGGCGCGGCCCCCCAACCAAAAGATACATCAGGGGGTTGCCAGAAGGGGGATGTGCCCCCTTCTGTTTGGGGGGGGTTTGAAGGGGGGCGGAGTCCCCCTCATCGCCAAGAAAATTTGGACTTGTGAGAGGCTGTAAATGACCCCAGATTGATCATAAGGTAACGTGTAACCAACGCTGAAAAGCATTTGACTCTATCTCAATCCATTGAGAAGTTGCAGCACTTTGAAATCAATTTTGATGGAGAAAATCAACGCAAAATAGTGATTTTTGGCAATTTTGAGATGTCCCCTCGTTGCCATGGTAACAGAAAATTTAAGCCTGAGCATGTTGTTGCAAGGGCAATGGTCCAGTCAACATTTGTGCCAAGTTTGATTAGTGTTGAAGCAGTTTTTATAGTATTATAGCAATTTGAACTTGTAACGGGAGACTTTTCAATGAAAACAGCCATTTTTCACAAAATGCTCATGAAGTAATGGGTTAATGAAAAAAATCAAAAAATCTACAAAACAACAATTTTTCTTCAAATTTATATGACAGGCCATGTTTTAAACATGAAAAAACGCGATTTAGGGTAATTTTCAAGCATTTTCATCATTTTCTGTTAATGAAAAAATCTACAATACAACAATTCTTCTTCAAATTTATTTGACAGGCCATATTTAAACATGAAAAAACTCGATTTTGTGTAATTTCAAGCATTTTCATCATTTTCTGTTAATGAAAAAATCTACAAAACAACAATTTTTTCTTCAAATTTATATGACAGGCCATATTTAAACATGAAAAAACGCGATTTAGGGTAATTTCAAGTATTTTCATCATTTTCTGTTAACCCATTACTTCATATACACGCCTTTTAACGCCTTTTTCATCCCCCCCCCCCTTTTTGTTGTCTCAAATGATGAAAAATGCCTTATTTAGGCCCCAAAAACTTGTTTTTGTTTGAGAAATGTTGTTAAAAAAAAGTGACCCTTTTTTCGGCGCGGCCCCCCAACCAAAAGATACATCAGGGGGTTGCCAGAAGGGGGATGTGCCCCCTTCTGTTTGGGGGGGTTTTAAGGGGGCGGAGTCCCCCTCATCGCCAAGAAAATTTTGGACTTGTGAGAGGCTGTAAATGACCCCAGAATGATCATAAGGTAACGTGTAACCAACGCTGAAAAGCATTTGACTCTATCTCAATCCATTGAGAAGTTGCAGCACTTTGAAATCAATTTTGATGGAAAAAATCAACGCAAAATAGTGATTTTTGGCAATTTTGAGATGTCCCCTCGTTGCCATGGTAACAGAAAATTTAAGCCTGAGCATGTTGTTGCAAGGACAATGGTCCAGTCAACATTTGTGCCAAGTTTGATTAGTGTTGAAGCAGTTTTTATAGTATTATAGCAATTTGAACTTGTAACGGGAGACTTTTCAATGAAAACAGCCATTTTTCACAAAATGCTCATGAAGCAATGGGTTAAGAACACTAAAGTAAAGGTAGATGAAACTAATCGTTATCTCCTTCTAAATCTATATAAATAAGGGAAAGGTTCAAAAAGAAGGTCTTTATTTTTATTACTTATTATTTAGACAATTATCACACATGTTTTTATCCAGAGGAGCTTGCATGAGGTAATAGATGTGTCCAGAGGCACTTCTATGAAAAAATGAGTTAAAAAGTATATACATGTAGTTAAACTTAAAGAATCTTTTTTAAAAGAACCCAGAGATATAGCTTAGATATTTAGCATGAAACATCTTCTAGTGAGTGTCTACCAAGTTTGTTGGAGTCAGAATTGGCCCCACATCACAGAGTCATTGATTTTTCCAAATATGTACTCATCTTTTGGAACTGTTCTTTTCCCTTAGCAATAGCAACCAGTAATTTTTTTAAACATGCACTATTTCAGATACAAATATGAACTGTGTGATATCAGTATAAGATTTGGATTTTACATCTGCTTTTGTTTATAGTTTACAATATTACTTGTTCCTTGTCATGGAAAGTTTTTATATTCAGATGAGCAATAATGGCCCTCTTGTTAATAAAACTAATTAATTTTCATGTTGTTTATTTGTAGGATTATACCTAAATGGAATTTTCTACCTTTTTATATGTAAGGGTCTGTGGATTTGAGACTTTAGAAATATGGATTGAACCACAGGAGCTGACATTCTATCACTAATTGTAAAATATAAGCAAAAAATTGTGTTTATTTATAGTATAAAGGGGTATATTTGCCGTTATTTTTTATTTATTTGCTTATAGATTGTCAATTTCCTGTGATTGAACCTAAAAACCCAATATATATATAGTAGATCTATAAGAAGCAATTACTTCCCCTGATCGTTATACAGCAGTAAATAAAAGAAAGGAAGGGAGATAATGGATGGAGATTTGACCATCCAATACTTCTGAGGGATTTGTGGGGCAATATCACAAAAGTTGTTGGTTTATCAGAACAGAACAGAACTATTTCACATGTACAACATGTGCATCGTGCACATAAATATCAGAAACACAAATAGTTTTAAACTTTTATTAATGATAATCAAGATTATTGTAACTGTTTTTATAATAAGCTGATATATTATTAAAACGATAAACTTTAAGAACAGGATAACAACATCGGCAAGTTAACATACATGCAATAAAAATTCATCATTAAAACATATAATGATATTTCAAGCTAAAAAGAACAAAAATTAGTCAAACTTGAGCTAAGTGAAAGATTATACATGTAGTTCTGAACCAGACTTGATAAAAAAAACATCTCGTTTTTTAGTTACATCGTGTTGATGAGCACAACTGATAAAAAAAATTTCTGATAATTATTCATTATAGAATTTTGTAAAAGACATTTATTGATCAATATTCTTTTATTTACATCATGATTTGGATTAATTTAAAGTCAGAAAAGGAAAACTAAAAAAAATTTTTTATTCAAATAGAATGTGTAACAATTATCTTGGCCTATCTTGAATCAATAAAAAAGAACAGAAGATGAAAGAAAGTGTTATGGCAGATAATAAATGAAAATATATTGATAATTAAAGCCGCATGCCTTAAAAAATTCTAATTTTCTAAATTTACAACAGAAAGTGCTATCAGGAATATTAAATAAAATGTATTCAGAAGTAAAATATGGTGAAGTGAACAAAGAAAGTAATTAAGATTATATTGCAGACAACATTTACAATCCACATAAATTACCTAAGAAAGATGAATGCAAAAAATAACCATTTACATGTACACTGTAGAAATATGGTGATAAATACTGTAAAGTCAGATAAAATGTAAAGTATTACTTGAATCTTTTGACTTCTTTAAATCTTTGAACATTTTTCTCAAGATTTTCGTAAAATATTCTTGCTCAACTGGAGGCATGCAACTTTGACAGGCAAGAAGTATTGAGATCAACTGATAAATTATAATAATTTTATAAATTTAAACAATAAAGATTTTGTTAATATCTAAATACAGTGTAATGTTCTTTTTATACATTAGGGGTTATAATTTTAAAAGATAATAAAGCATTTTCCCATTGTAAAAAAAATTTTTCTATACTTTAAAAAAAAATATATTTTTTTTAATGCCTATGCGCAGTTTTATGTTTAAAAATACAATAAAAACCACCATTTTTCAGTAAAACAAAAAATACTTTAGTTTTTTTTAATCAATAAAAACGTTTTGTCTTTATTTTTAAACTTAACAGAAGTATTTTTGTCTTCATCAAAATAAAGCTTAATATCATAAACCTTGTCATGTACTGTAAAAATGCATTTGAAACAATAAAACTTTCTAATGTCACAATGAACAATATTTTACCTTATGCATTTAAAATACAATATACATGTATAATTCTGTCAACACCACGCATCACACTTTAAATTACTCATTAATTTTGATGATGAGTTGAGAACAATCGTTTATTCTATTTTCATATCTATGACTGGTCACTCACTTTGCTCACATGTCCTTTTGATCACAACAGTTAGTTCATTCACTTTGTTTTTCATCACATTTGGTCATGTTGATAGGAGTACTAGGGTACCGGTCACTGTCATTTGTATTCTGTGGGAGATGAGAGTTGCTGGGAACCATTCCATTATAATAAGACCACCACAAGTTTCTCATGGCCAGAATCTCGTTGGAGTAAGCATTAACGTTCATTGTTTGAGCACTGTACTGCTGCGGGTACACATACTGATTATAGTCACGTGACCACTGGTCACCAACAGACAAAGGAGTAGAATTGTGATAACTTGATCCATAGTATGTAGGATGATAGGCGCTTTGTGGGTACTGCTGATATCCATAGTGTGGATAATTGTAGTATGTCGTCTGCCTTTTGCTTGCAGGTGCCGTCTGCTGAGATGATGTAATATCCTCATTACGTTTACGTTTAAGAGATGGCTTGTTATCACTGACACTAGAGGGAGCACTGTCAACGTCAGATATCACGCTCATAGGAGTTGGAACAGAGTCATTTCTGGCATTAAGGAAGTCCTCTGACACACTTCCGGCTAATGACACAGAATCACTATGGAAACAAGGTTTTGGCGGGAGCTTAATGTCTTTTCCCAAGCTGTCATCAGTTGATGGGTATTCAAATGGAGGGAGGCCAAGTTCCTCCTGAAGAGTGAATTTGTAACTTTCATACTTAGGTCCCTTTGACTGACGATTAAATGTGTAAGATTTCACAAACTTGGTGTTAACTTTCCATACATACACTGTCAAGGTGTCTTGATTATCTCTTTTCTGTATTTTGTAGAAACACTTGCTGTTTGAGAGAGCATGACGAATGCTGCTTTTCCACCCCGTATACTCGCCACTAAAGAAAGGAAACATCTCCGTAAGCTTGTCACGAATGCCAGCAAGTGTAAGTCCTTTCTCCTCAGAATTCAAGATGGCGACTATTATCATTGCTACGTATGTGTAAGGGGGTTTGTCTTCTTGTCGTTTGTACACAGTTGGATGAGCCATAGCTTCATTTTGATTTGTGGCTTTCAACAGGGAGTTCATGGTAAATGTTGGATATTGTCCATAATTCACAGTCACATTAGATTGAAGTAGATTTTCAGTTTCTGATGTCTGATGTGGTAATGTGTTACAGAGATCTTTTGCGGGTGTAGAGTGGCGTGGACTGTAGCAGTGACGTTCAATGCCGAGAATATTGTCCATGTCAAATGATCGATCAGATAACTCTTGTTTTTCACCTGTACAGCTTTCTGATTCAGAAAACTGCTTAGCGCTGCAAGTTTCAGGAGTGTCAATTGCTGGTGTAGAAGAGATTTCACTGAGAGCAGGTAACTTGTACCAGCAAGCAATATCAGACACTGTTTGATTGAATGTGTTGAATGATGGAAGTGGCTCGTTTGTGACTGAGCTTGCATCACCGCATGCTGCTGGTGTGTCCAAGTTGATGACAAGGTTAGCTGGAGACTCTAGCAGTGGGTAATCGTAATCTAACAAATTCTGGCCCTCCATATCTGAAATAAGATATTAAGTTGATTAATTCAATTATTAAATAAATTATAACAATTTAATGAATGCAAGTTTGTTCGGTTTATTTTCTATCAAGTATTGACTTAATGAATATGCAGACATTGTGATACATTGTTAAAAAGCTAGATTACTTCAGAGCTTTTGACATGTACATAAGAAGTGTGTATTGTAAAATATATATACAATACAATAAGGTTTGTTTCTTGTATAAAACCACAGCCATTGTATGAAAAATTCCAGCAATAACAAAAAAATAATGATCTTAAAAAGCAAAGCTGATTGCACAATTCAACAAGAGCAGCTGTCATAGAAGACAGCAGAACAACTATGAAATTAAAATCAATTAATATATTTTATTATATACTTATAATTGAAATATTGATGAAATAAAATGCATATTTTCATTTTCCGTATTTTCATTCAAAAATTATTTTTCACTCTCGGCATATTTTTACTGGTGTCTTGTTGGACTCCTTTCTTCAAAATTTGGCCAGTACAAAAAATGTAAGGTCTTTCAAATTGTAAGAGAAAAATAAATAAAATAAAAAGAAAATTTAAGTTTTTTATAAATACAGGATTTATTTTAATGTAGTGGTATGAAAATTATCTTACTTATAGCTAGCACCATTCATGAAATATTTATTTTCATACCACTCAATAAAAATAAATCCTGTATTAATAGAATTAACTTGAATATCCTCTATATTTTTTCAATATCAAGAAAAACAAGCAATTATCATAGTATTGCAAGCAATCGTTATGTCCCCTATCGGTTAGAACCCCATCAACATTCTGAATGGCCATTGGCCATTCAATAATGTTTCAATTTTTCTCTTTTTTAAGAAAATTTGTTGGAAAAGTTCTTTAAAAGTGATCACAGGAAACAGTTTTTATGAACAGTCAGGCTGAAGGACACTCTAAAGTTAATTTTTTAAACATCCCTGTTACCAAAATATAACATTTCTAAAAGCAAAATTCCTAAAGAGGAGATATCTTGAAATAAAGATCCAAGATGTCATACATGATGTGAGTGTAACAGAACAATTAGTAATGATGCTGTTCATAATGAATGTTGATTTTAAATTTGAAGTAAAAGAAAGTTAAAAGAATGAATAAGAAAAATTCAAAGCAAAGTTTAAGGAGGAGATAATTCTGGAAATATGGATGCTAGATTTATAAACCTTGTTATATTGATATGATGTGGGAATTTGAAGTAAATCATGTAAGTAATGAAGAAGTTGGAGTAAAACATACCAATTTCTCAAAAAAAAGTTCAAGGGGTACATTATTCTGGAAATAGTCTTGCTAGAGTATTGAACTTTCTCACAAATGATTTGAGTGATAATAAGAAAGTTTGAAGAAGTTACATTAAGAAAAAAAGAAGTTATTTAAAAAAACACTATCAATGGAGGCAATTCTGATAATTTTTGTGCTAGAGTTAAAACCTTGTCACCTGATGACCATAAAGTTTGAAGTTTGAAATAAATACCTTAAGAAATAAAGAAGCCTAAAAACTAGAATCAGAAATCTTGACGAGGTTGCCGACATTTGTTAAGTATGACAACTCTCAATATAATCCCTATAGAAAAGATTAAAATGATGTGTGTAATTTCCATTCTACCATCTATCCATATTTTAAGTTTCATAGAAATTCAGGTTTTTTTTACTTATCACAAATATTGTTATATTTGCAATGTTTTAAGTCTATTTGTTGTCATGACAACCAATTTTTTTCAAAAAAGGTGAAAAGAAAAAGTCTTGCATAATCTCCATACTGCCATTTACCCATATTTTAAGTTTCATAAAAATATTTTCAGTACTTTGCATTATCACTAGATCCTGTTTATGTGATAAATTTGCCATATTTTCAGTCTATTTGTTGTCATAGCAACCAGAAAATTCTTTCATAGGAAGAAAAGAAAAAGTGCATAATTCCCATACTGCCATCTATCCATATATCAAGTTTCATAAAAATATTTTCAGTTATCGCGGGATCCAGTTTTGAGGACTGACAGACGGACGGACAGACGGAGGGTTAACCTAAATTCCCCTGCGGTAAATCGGTAGGGGTCTAAAAACTAAAATTGCACATGCACAAGTTCAAAGTTGCATTTAATGTGTTAATAAAAATTTTAGAATACATTTCAAGTTATTCGCCATACAAACATCATTATGCATCGTGAAGGTAGATAATTCATAAACTTAGCCAGAGAAGTTATTGTACTTAAACTTTGCACTTCCTCAAACTTCTTTTTTTCTATAACCATGTGAAGGTTCAATACGATATTATAAACAGTTTTACTCCCGACAAGCATTATCAAGAAAAATTTATGTATCAAAAAGGGAGATAATTAAGCAAGGTAGAATTACCACTTTTGTACACTGCACTTCCTCATGCTTATCACTAATTTCTTCAATATTTTTTAAGTAATTCTCTAGGCATTATTATTAAATTTATAATAGGGAGTTAAAAAATCTAAGTAATGTAGAATTATGGTTCTTCGGCAATGCACTTCCTCTCATTAGCCTCTACTACTAAGTTTGAATTAGATATGGTGGTATTAGTAGTTTTCCATGGCAGTAAGCCACATTGAATTTACCAGAGCACAGTTCAGCCACTGTAACATTCCTGGGCAAGCTGTCAAGCAGTTTACCAGTACTAGTTGCCTTCCCTTCGAAATGAACTGAAACTTCTGTACATGCCAGAGTAGAGGTACATTGTGAATGACGAAGAAAGAATTTCATGATCAATAACAACAAAGTGACCTGTACCGTTCGGGAATCAAACTTGGGTTGCCTGAGGTCTACCGATTGAGCTAACTGGACGGCTAGATATCATAGTTTAGAATTTATACTTCCGACAAGCATTAATAAACATCATAATAGTATCACAAAAGGAGATAATTAAAAAAATTAAGCAAGATAATTATTTGAGGCTGCATTTGTTTTCACTGGTATCTTTCACTGTGTTTTTCTGCTGGCAAGTATTATTATAATTTAAGATAATTAGAAAAAACTAATTACAAGATAAGACTAGAAATAGGACAAAGGTCCCCCCGCCCACACCACTGTTTTGTCAATCTTATGACTCAAATATTTTTTGGGCTGCATGTAACACAAGTTGAAAACTAAAAATCTTTACTATGTCAAGGGCAAAAACTTTACAAATACCAAAATAAATCCACAAGCAAACCCCAAGGTGAATAAAAACATATGCTGACCATCATTCTTGTAAATTTTCAGGCCTACAGGTTAAATACTTTTTGAGCTATGCATGAAAAAGTTGAAAATTGCAAATTTATACTATGTCAAGGGCAATAACTCCCTCATAATTATTTGTGTGTAATTTCAATGAAATGTCAATTATACTTAAGGTAAGCTATACTATGGACAAGAATTTTATGCCTCGGAAACAAATAAATTCACTTTTTTAGACGGATCAAACATGAATTTTATAATGTAAAACTAATGATGGTTTTAACTGCTTATTACCTGAAGATAGTAATGATAAATTTGAAATAATGTCATAAAAGTAGCAAAATGTAATATTTTGACTTCCAAACAATATACAAACTTTTACTTTCTGCCAAAAAGCAGATGGAAAAGATGGTTCAGGGGTTAATTATTGGATACTTCAACAAAAACACCAAAATTGTAAAGTTTTTGAGAAATAAAAATAAAAGTATTTATGAGGCATAATGGGTGAGGGACTTTAAGGGAGATAATTTTCAAATTAATTGTGATAGAGTTATGACTCTTAGATACTGCACTTTCTCTCAATGATCTCTATCACTGTGTGAAATTTAAATACAATTATTTCTCAACACTTCTGTTATTCTGTAGACAAGAGTGAGACTGATGGCAAACAGACGGAAGGACGAACAAGCATCAACTATTATGTTCCTTTGGGGAACATAAAAATTAAAATGATGTGCATAATCACTATATGGCCCTCTACCAACATGCCAAGTATCAATTAACTTGCATGACTGTGTAGATAAAAAAATAAAATGTAGGCTATAAACTGCTGGTGACTAATTAACCTCTAAAATAATAAAATTGTTACAGTTTGAAAAAAGTAACCATATAGTCTGAACAATCTTTTGCTTCTGTTTCATTTTTTAGAATTTTATATTAAGTTCATGTATAGTATTAGTGATTTTGTTTACATTAATAACTATCTCTTACACCAACCTCCATTATCAGTATTGTTTCCATAGTGTTAACATTTGACTTTTTATTGTTTGGCAATATTGACCCAAGACTTTGAATATCCAATTATCTTTTGTTGGTAATTGTTGGATTCCAAAGTAAATCATACGGATTTTAAAGTGTGGCATTACGGTTTGGTTTACATATAACTTCAAGTTACCGACACAACACTTGTTAAACTAGCCTCGGTGTTAAGGAGTTAAGAATTCTACTTTCAAATTGAAAGTTGTAGGTTTGAATCTAAATGAAACATTATTTCTTATGTCCAGATTTCAGATTTGGTTTTGGTGTAGTAAATATTTTCCACTTTTTCATGTCTTAAGTTATCAATTTCAAACTTCAAATATATGTTCCTTATCATCAACCACATCTTATCTGACAAGGTTCATAACTCTAGCCCCAATATTTTCAGATTTATCTCCCCTTGAACTTAGAATTTTCCTCAAAAAATATTATTTTTTACTATAAGTTTTTCATTTCTTAAGGTTTCAACTTCAAATATATTTATGTTCCATATCATCAACCACATCTTATCTGACAAGGTTCATAACTCTAGCCCCAATATTTTCAGATTTATCTCCCCTTGAACTAAGAATTTTCCTCAAAAAATATTATTTTTTACTATAAGTTTTTCATTTCTTAAGGTTTCAACTTCAAATATATTTATGTTCCATATCATCAACCACATCTTATCTGACAAGGTTCATAACTCTAGCACCAATATTTTCAGATTTATCTCCTTAACTTAGATTTTTGCTTTTTACTATA